GCAAAACTTTGATCGCCCATTGTGGCCCCACTCTACCCCGGGGGTCATGAATTGAACAAACTTGAATCTACACCACCTGAAGATGTTTCCATATAAATATGACTAATCATAGCATTGGTGTTCTTGAGAAGAAGATTTTACCTATATACTCCTATGTAAAACTTTGATTGTGGCTCCACCCTACCCCTGGGGGTCATGATTTGAACAAACTTGAATCTACACTACCTGACGATGATTCCACATGAGTTTCATCTTTCCTGGCCCATTGGTTCTTTGGCCCATTGGTTCTTGAGAAGAAGATTTTTAAAAGATGCTATTAATTTTTCACTATTTTGAAATTATCTCCCCTTGGAAGAGGGCACGGCCCTTCATTTGAACAAACTTGAATCCCCATAACCCAAGGATACTCTGTGCCAAGTTTGGTTGAAATTGGCCCAGTGGTTCTGGAGAAGATGAAATTGTGAAAAGTTAACGACAACGCCAATGCCGCCGACGACAACAATGACAACGACAACAGACAACTGACAAATTTTGATCAGAAAATCTCACTTGAGCCTTCGGCCCAGGTGAGCTAAAAAGATCTGCTAATAACGGGGCACAATTGGCACCCATGGGAATTCCAATAGATTGTTGGAAGACCTGGTTTCCAAAAACCATATAGATATTGTCAATCAGAAACTCAAGCATCGTTTTAATGTAAACTTCAGAGTACTTGTGTGTACAATCAGAGTGTTTTTTAACAAAACAATTTTGCAAATGACCAATGACAAGGTAAGTAAATTTATGAGTTCCATTTTCATTGAAAAAGCAGCTGTCAATGATATCAAAAAGCCTGGACTTTAATCTATTGTGGGGAACGGTCGTGTATAAAGTTGAAAAGTTGTAAGTTTTTAAGCTGTTGATTCTGGTAAAATCTTGTGATTTCAAATTTTCCAAAAGTTCCTTGGAATTTTTAAGAATCCACATCTGATTTACAATACTTCTCAAATATACTGTTGCACAGTACTCTTGAAGTTTCTCCTTCACTACTGTTAATATCTTAGTGAGGAGTAAAGAAAGAGGCTTGATTGAACATTTACTGGAACCCGCTATGTATCTTTGTTCGTAAGGATTTTTATGAAGTTTCGGAATCCAATATAGATATGGTAATTCAATTTCATTTTGGTTGTTTGGAATATTAAAAATATTCAAAACTGACATATGATTTTGAAGAATATTTTTGAAGAAAGGGAACTATAAGTTGGATTACCACTTGTAGAATTAAATCATTCTCAACCATGCTATAATGAGACTACCGAATTAAAAAATTCTCAGGAAAAGGGTCATTGTTCTATTTTACCAAGATATTGATGATGATGACCTTTCATTATTTATGACAGTTCATGGTGCCATACTTATTTATTTATAGAAATACCTATTCCTGGGGTTCTGAGTATATATAGAAATGAATGGAAATTTCAGAGCCTAAACAACCCCCCCCCCCCCCCCCCCCCCCCCCCCCGAAAAAATAAAATAAATGAGTGAAAAATAATTTCATAGAGAATACATCTTTTAAATATTCCTGTATTCATCACATATGGTCTGATGAATTTAATAACTTGACCTATTGTTTTTAGACTTTAGTTTTAGTGCACATACAACCTGAACTTCTGATGTACAGTTTGAGCATTATAAAGTTTTCTGCTACTTAGTATTCATCCTTATTATCCTTTATGGCAATATATGGTTCTAATGTTCATCAAAATAAAGAATTCTTCAAGTTCTAATCTAATTATTCATATGGCAATATTCAAAAACTGTCAAAGATTTATTATCTTTATGGGTATGGGGTGCTGCTACTTGAGTTTAATAGATACATGCATGTCCTCTTGATACATTAGCTCATCAGAACCAAAGGCTCAGACTTCAAAGATTATTTTCCAGAATTTTTCTGTCATCTTCAATTTCTTGACTTTGAAATTCTCCACAATTATCGGCTACTTAGGACAATGCCGCTTTAATGGTTATGAAGAAGTGATAAAGCAATTTGAATTACAATTGCTACATGCTTCCATTAAAAGAATAAAGTTAAATCTTAATTTATCCAGGAAAACTTTGAGAAAAGTTTGATGAAATATTGACAAAGTGGTTCTGAGGTAGGCAAAATGTCCAAAGGGTGATGTACCTAGGAAACACAACAGACAGACACAAAATTGTAATGGATCACTGGCCATATGATTGAACATGTATTAGCAGTTGATTCTGTCGACCCTTCCAAATTTACGTCAAGTCTTAGGTCACTTGAGACAGAAGACCAATCGATGTTGGCTTTTATCCGTCATTTGTAAACTTTTCAATATTTCTGGTTTTTCTGAAATGGCTGAACCAACATCAACCTGTTTGGTATGTAGCATTCTAAGAAAGAAGGGAACAAAAATGAATCCTATGGTATATCTTTAGGGGCCTAAGAGCATAAATCATCTAAGATTTTCATTCATGGGTTGGCAAAAAGAAACATAAATTAATTTTTACCTTGTTTTTATACTGATCGATAGAAATACATGCATCAATAAATAAATATCACAGTTTTGAAACAAGCGTATGTACAGTTTAACTTTGTTATCTCGAACATCCATATCTCGAATATCAGGGATAAAAGTGAGTTGGCAGGCCCAGCAACTTTTTCTTTGTGTTTTTTATTTACCCACATTATCTTGAAGATTAAGCTTGGTTTAGTTCGAGATAACAAGGTTTGACAATGTATAACATTTTTAGTCATAAAATGATCATAGTTGTTTGTTATCTAAAATCAAATGAGCAAATAACCTGTGGTAAAGAATTTGAGCTAAAGTTTAAAAAATATACATTTTTTAGTTTCCTGACAAAATTCTTAACAAATCCTCGAAAAAACAATTATAGCGAACTCTGAAATAGCAAAGTTATGAATACCGGTATATAGGACTTATTTTTTGCCCTATAGAGGTTAAAAATAACAATATTAACATCTTTTAAAACAAATTTTCAAGGACTTCAAAATTTAAAATATTGAACTGACATTAAGGATATAGTGAATTAAATGCAGGTTCCCAGGACTTTGCTATAACCGAGTTTTACGGTATTACCTCAAAAAAGATAAATTACCAAATATTTCTCATAAAATGTTCCTGCTTGGAACAACATTAATATTAAATATAAAATGATCACAGATTCTATTTGACCACTTGAATATGAGTATCTAAGAAAAATTTTCTGATTCATAAAATACAGAGTAAAAGTTTGTAAGAAAATATATATATATATACATGTATATATAATTGTTAAAGTAAAAATATGTAACATAAAATCAACATATAAATAATTTAAACAACAGGGTGATCGACTAGTCAGTGTATAATGCCATTATCAAACTTAAATACTTCATTAAAAAAATTTATTGCAAAAGACTTTATTACCATTTATCAGTATGTGGAGCATTATTCCCTTATGATCATTATTTGAACTATCTTGATTAAAATCACACTTCAGTTCATCATGAAGCTTTCATATTAATTTGAACAAGAGACCCATGAGCCACAATACTCACCTGAGTCCCTTTGACACTACTGTTAATCAGCAGATTTTTTTTTCCCTATACCCTTACATGTATGTGGGTTTGTTTTTTTTTGTTTTCGAAAACCTTTGATCACATTTTGTCACCCCATCCTACACCCAGGGGCCATAATTTGAATAAATTTGGATATACACTACCTGAGGATGTTTCCATATAAATAAAAAAAAAATCATGGCTTAACTCTTCTTAAGAAGAATTTTTAAAGATTTTTTCTTATATATTCCTGTGTAAAACATTGATCCCCTATTTTGGCCCCACCCCTATCCACAGGGGCCATGATTTCAACAAACTTGAATCTATACTACCTGAGGTTGCTTCCATATCAATATGACGTATCATGGCTCTGCCTATTTGAGAAGATTTGTCAAACTTTGATCACCAAATGTGGCCCCTGCTGTGACCCTACCTCCAAGGGCTATGATTTGAACAATTTAGAATTAACACTACCTAAGGAGGTTTTCATGCAAGTTTAATCTTTTCTGGTCCAGTGTTTATCATTGAAATATAGAGAATAAATCTTTAAAAATCTTCTCAAGAAACTTTGATCCCCTATTGTGGCCCCACCCTACCCCAGGGCTATGATTTGTACAATTTAGAATCTACATTACTCCAGGAAGCTTTCACATAAGTTATATCTTTTCTGATCCTGTGGTTCTTGAGATATTTTAAAAAATCCTATATATTTCAATGTAATAATTTTATCCCCTATTGTGGTCCCATCCTACCCATGGGGACCATGCTTTGAACAATTTAGAATATTCACCAATTCAAAAAGCTTTCACATAAGTTTTACCTTCTCTGACCCAGTGATATTCCTGAAAAGAGGACTTTTAATGACCCCACCCTGTTTCTGCCTTTTCTTGATTATCTCTCCTTGAAAAGGGACTTGGCCCTTCATTTGAACAATTTACAATCCCCTTTACCCAAGGATACTTTGTGTCAACTTTGGTTAAAAATTGCCCAGTGGTTCTTGAGAAACAAATGATTTTAGGAACAAAACTTCAAATGAAAGTCTTTTCATGAATATTAATGAAGGAAGTGCATTTTTTGTTTATCAATCTAAAAGTAGCGACAGTGTCATAAGATACATTAATATATATGGAGGTTGGGCATTACATTCCTAGTAGGAAAACAAATCAATTTGACATTTTTATAATGAATTCAATTTCAATATTGTGTAATTTACAGCATTTTCGTAACTTTATTTGGTAAACAAAATAAATAAATTTCCAACTTCATTTTTCATTGATGCAATTAAGTTATAGTCTGTATATCTGTGATCATTTCTCTTCAAAGGATTTAAAACCTTTCTTATAAAAAAAATCTGAATTCCTCTAACACTAGAAAGATTTGTATTAAGTTTAGTTAAAACTGGTCTAGTGATTCTGAAGGAGTAAGATACATAATAACTTTACAGATAAATATGCAGATGAATGGGTAGGGATGGATATTGATCATTTTTTTTTAATAGTTCACTAGCTTCCATGAGCCTCAGGCTCAGATGACCTAAAAACAATACTATAGCCTGTTAATCTTTGAGTATTGGCATTCCCAGCTTCCACTAGCTCACTAGAGTCTTAGGCTCACATGATCAGAAAAGGGATACTGTAGCCTGTTAATCTTTGAGTTGTGACATCCCCAGATTCCATAATCTCACTTTAGACTTAGGCTCACATGAGCAGAAAAGGGACACTGTAGCCTGTTAATTTTTGAGTTGTTACATCCCCAGATTCCATCATCTTACTTTAGCCTTAGGCTCACATGAGGTCACTAGAGTCTTAGGCTCACATAAACTGACAAGGGATACTGTAGCCTGTTAATTTTTGAGTAGTGGCATCCCCAGCTTTCTTCTCAGTGCATTCGGAATATAAGGATTGGAGTTACAATGCCCATGTCTGTTAGGAATATCTGATTCACGGTATACATGCAGCTTTACATGGGAGCGCACTTCCACATCTATATCATTCCAAACCTGAAACATTTACAAAATAAATCTGCATAGAGGGAAGGTCCTGATATGTAGCTAGGGATCTTTTCATTTGTTTTAATGGTTCTTTGATGACATGAACTAAAAATCTCATTAGCAAACAAGTATTCAGAATTTAAACAACCCATCTACCTTATATAATTTTCACTTGTATGTAGGAAAAATTCTCTCCATTCAATCTCAGTTTAATGTTTTATATTAGGGGCGTATTTTTCTTTGAAGCTATTTGATGTATGCATATATAAATCAGTAGATGTATTTGAGGCATAACATACACAATTGAATTTCATCAGTATCTCAAACACTGATATCGAGAATCCGATGGATATGTCAATGTGAGTTGAAGTCCCAACCACTTTTTCTTTGTGTATTTTAACTTCAATATCTCAAATTCTCAAATATCTTTCTGTTGTTTTTTTTTTGGTCCCATTGAGTTTTAGAGAATGAGGTTTGACTATATCATAAAATTTACCTCTTCTCCTAGAACTTTAGCAAACTGTTTGGCGACCTTGGCCTCAGGTATCCAGACGTTGCCGCGGGCAAGTACAGCGTAATCTTTATACTTCCCAAGAAACATAACTCTGACTTTGTCTGCTAGCAGTGGGAATTGATCTGGAGAATTCTCATCCACAATGGTTGACAATAAATCACTGAAGCCTTGGTTTCTCTCCTTATATGTACACATAAGATAACCTATGAAAATATGACTTGTACAATCTTAATCTCAAAAAAAAAATACATACAAAGCTTTTGCAGTTATGATCAGATGATTTTTTTCAGTGAAATTAAAAACATCATAATGGAATTTATGTCAAAGTTGTTATTCTCTTACCAGGACAATCCAGTTTCATTTGTAATGTAGCCTTAGGAACATTTACAAATAAGGAAAAGCAATTAATGTTTTAAGTATAGCAAAACGTCTATATAGAATGTCAAGATAAGTCCAACATTTTTAGTTTTAATGGGATAAAATAAGATACTTTAAATGACTTACTCTACCTTGACAGCATGATAAAACACATTTTGAGTACCGGTATATTTGTGCCAGGTACACATCTGTAAGAGCCCATGGAGGGAACACGAAAAATGCAGTAGTTAGCTTACAATTTCTGAAACAGGGACATACTTATAAAAGCCAACATAGAGGAAGTATGAAGCATGTAGTAGTTAGCCCACCATTTCTGAACCAGATACAAACCAATAAAAGCCCACAAAGAGGTAATATGTAAAATGCAGTAGTAAGCCTATAATTCAGTACAATGTACATATACATAACTATGAAAGCCCATGTAGGAGGGAGTATAGTAAAACACACATACAGCGAAGAGCCAGGGACCAACAATTTTGATTCATTTTAAACGTAATTCATTATATCCATTCAGTTCACAATAGTTTTAAAACTACAAGGAAAGAAAATCACTTCGCTGTAAGCATAAATTCATTATTAGCATGTTCGCTATAACTGTGTTTTACTGTATGTAGCATGTACTACCTTAGCCCTTAAGCTCTGTACCAAGTGTAACTTATAAAAGCCCACATAGAGGGAGCATCTAAATTACAGTAGTTAGCTCATGCCAGGTACATACCTATAAAAGCCCATATAGGTAATGTTCCTGCAGTAGTTGACCCATACCAGATTCACAGAGAGTGAGTAACACAATGTAGTTACCCTATACCAAGTACATACCAATAAAGGCCCACACTGAGGGAGTATGCAGCATACAGTAGTTAGCCCGTAAGTTCTGAACTGACTCCATTACTGAGTAACATGCAGTAGTTATCCCATACCAGGTATATAGGGAGTGAATAACATGCAGTAGTTAGCCCATACCAGGTATATAGGGAGTGAGTAACATGCAGTAGTTAACCCATACCAGGTATATAGGGAGTGAATAACATGCAGTAGTTAGCCCATACCAGGTATATAGGGAGTGAGTAACATGCAGTAGTTAGTCCATACCAGGTATATAGGGAGTAACATGCTGTAGTTAGCCCATACCAGGTATATAGGGAGTGAGTAACATGCAATAGTTAGCACATACCAGGTATATAGGGAGTGAGTAACATGCTGTAGTTAGCCCATACCAGGTATATAGGGAGTGAGTAACATGCAGTAGTTATCCCATACCAGGTATATAGGGAGTGAGTAACATGCAGTAGTTAGCCCATACCAGGTATATAGGGAGTGAGTAACATGCAGTAGTTAGCCCATACCAGGTATATAGGGAGTAAGTAACATGCAGTAGTTAGCCCATACCAAGTACATACCTATAAAAGCCCACATTGAGGGAGTATGCAGCATACAGTAGTTAGCCCGTAAGTTCTGAACTGACTCCATTACATCCTTAATGGCCTCTTCTCGCATCTTTATTAATTCAGCATCCAGTTTTCTGATCTCTTCCTGGTAGTCAACTGCCGTGAAAGAAGACAGTAAAGTGAAAATCTATTTATAGCATGCAACTGCCCTCTTAAGGAAATATCGTAATATTGTAAATTATATTGTCATCATTACAACGAAGATTACATGATAACCCTGTTATGCTTCAGCGATTCCATTTACTTCAAGGTTTAATCTCTAGCTTACATTAAAGGGTATCTACTTAACTTGTAGTACATCATTTAAGTACTCACAGTGATGCTATCTGTACCATATTTTCCTGGGATTCAGATTAAACAAAAGGCTAATCTCAGTGTTAAGGGTATTTTATGTCTTATTTCTCAAAGGGTATTAAAATTGAAATTGCAGACATAGTACACAGTTTTTGAAACTTAATCTGCAAATCATGATCTAGTGACTCTGGTTATATTCAGCATTTAATAAGTCTGGTCATAACTTAACATGTGGTATATCTAAAAAAAAAAATCACATAATTTGTAGATGTTCAATCTCAGGCATGCATCTATGCTGCATCTGTCAACCTACATATGTATTTTATACTTATCTGACTCCTATTTACATGTATATGGATGCTAAACCGAATTCTCTCATGAATGCGTTCAATGCTACAACCGACCTACATTTTATGTTTGAATGCCTTTGGTTAGAAGTACAGCATTTAGACCTCTTATTTAGAACTTATCCAAAGAGATATACAAACCAATTACTGAAAAAGCAGAAATATTCATTGGGGGATTAAAGTTTGTTTATTTCATTGTTAACAATTATCAACGAAATTAAATCCCACAAGAATTGACTATAAATTGAGTAGGGGTACTTTCAAAATAACGAAATTTAATGCCCACAAATCTTTTTAGAGTACAAATCAACAAACTTTTATCACCAAGAAAATTTGTGCTTCTACAGTATGCAAATGTATTTATTTTTATGTCTACTGCAAGGTTCCTTGGCAGCATTTGACATTACATTGCAGGTAAGACTGACTCTGATTAAGGTCAACATTTGGAGCTGTTTCTAACTTTCATAAGTGATATACACAGTAGAAGTGTGTACTCCATTTTTTAATATTTTTGTGTGATGTCTGCATTGAATTCTTTTACTCAGGAGGAAGAAAGGATTAACCTTGTTCCAAGATAATCACAAATGAATTAGTGCCAGCTTAATAATTTGGAGCAGCTATGGATGATTTGTTCTCTAAAGTATTTCAAATGCCCCAATTTTAGATTATGTCCCTTTGGCATATAATTTGATTAAAATAAAGCAAATTATTAATACTATACAACTTTGTATATAACTGCACATTTAAGAACAATAAACTGACCTTTTGTAGCAAAGTTGATATACTGATTGTTTGCCACGGCTGCTCTGGCTTTACTGTTGCTGTGGTAGGCTATCACCTGACACATCAGTAACCTTGACAACTGAACCACATCTAGGTCAGGGTCAATCAAGGTCAATATAACAGGCAATGAAATATGCTTATGCACCATATTCTCCACTTTCCTTGGTTTTGGTGAAACATCAAAATCCTCCTCAATGTCATAATCACTCTCTGTTCCATTGTCATTATCATCAGAGAAATCATCTACATCATCATCCCTTTTTGTTGTGCACTGACTATCACTCACAGACCCTCCTGGAACTGATGCTGTCTCAGAACTCACAGTTTCCTTGACAACCAGGAGATCCTCATCCTCACTCTCAGTCATAAAACACTTCACTTGTTCTGTAAACAAAATTTTAATGGTCAATAAAATTCATACGAGTTGTCTTTCTTTTATGTAAATAAGTGATTTTCCTAATCAAGAAGAAAAAAATGGAATGATTAAAACTAGTAGTGAACAATACTTTAACATTTTTTTATTTCATACAAGGTTATTGTGAAAATGTAGTTTTATTATGAAGAGTAATAGTATAGAATATTACTCACATGTTTTTGACAGTGAGGTTAAGATAAATTTATTTATAAAAAGTTTCTGTGCAAAAGTAAACTTACATTGAAATCTGCATGTGGGAAATAGTGAATTATGAATATTTTACAACAGTAATTCATCAAAGACTGGACAGAAAAGAATCTAATCTGACCCTACTTTTCTTCTAAATCAAATTAAATTTCAAAATGGTGCTATATATTTCTATAACAAATGCCCCATATGTGCTCATGTAATGAATCAGAAAACTTACAGCCAATTTATAACAAGAGAAAAAGAATTTTTAAACTTTCAATCTCACAAAGTACTTGAGTTCCTGATAAACTCCTGAAGGATACCAACCATTAGCACAGGTGTAGACCTTTTTCACTGCCTCTTTGGCCATCTCAATCCAACCTTCTGGTGGGAGTCCATCATTTAGGTCCATTTCTGATAAATCTTTGGATTGTAACAGCCAGAACTCAATAAAAGCCATACAACCCAGAAAACTAGATAATGAAGGCTTAGACTGACTGGAGAAAGTCTTGATCATCTGAAAAAAGAAAATGATAAAAATAGTGAATCATTATGCAACTGGTGTCAACTTCACCCATACCTGGGCATACAAAATGTTTAAAATAGTTAATCTGTTGGCTACATAAATATAATATACATCAAAAGGATATGGATTAAATTTATCTTTATTTAATTCTTTTGTTTTAACAGACTAGATCTAAGAAACTTGCAAGTTATATGTACATATGACAATTAGTTTAGAAATAATATGGTGTAAAGAATACTTCCTAACCTTTGTCAAATGTTGTAGCTTTGAATTTGTCAGTACACATGGATCATCCACCCCACATCCTGACTCAGTCACTGGATCCACCACCACTGCTGCTCGCCCTTCCTGTTGCCACTGTTCTACAGCTTTTCTGGCAGCATTCACTTTTTTGGTTTGATTTTTGTTCTTCAGTTTTAAAAATAAATTTAATTAAAAAATAATGCAGATAGAGTGACATGACCGCAAATTGTATAGGTGTTGATCTTCCAAGTACAATGTAAACTACTAATATGTACAAAATTTGAAAAAATAAAACTGTTTGATTATCATGTCACAACAAAAGTGTTGACAGAGAGACAGACAATATGAATTGATCCTATAGGGCTCCTTATGTCATTTTCAATAAACTTTTAAACAACCCACTGTGTCTTATTAAAATTATTGAAATTTCAAGATATAGCAGTATAAAATGAGAGAGAGAAACATAATGTTTGTCTTAAAACAAAATTAATTAAATTGTTCTTTGGCAAATTGTTGCTTTTCGAAAATAGATAAAAGTTAAAATATTTGACATAAAAAAATCTCTAACCAATCCATGCAAAAAAATTCAAAAGCCAAGACAATTGATTAGGGGTGAACCTTAGCCAAGGTAGACAACTCTCAAAACTGTTCAATTTTTATGTTCCTGTTAAATAAATGTAATATTCCATATCCAACAATAATTTGTCTCAAAGTTATCCCAGTACTGTATACTACTTGAATTTTTTAGCCCTATTTTCTGTCAGGAATTTGTCATCATTACAGATAAAATCATTTTAATAAGCATTGGATTAATCAGTCATCATACCAAAACAAAATCAAAACGTGACATGCTCTTATGATATCAAGCTCTGCCTGTGCCTACACTTCCATTTACTTTTAACAACTTAATAAATTATAGCATTATAGTGTGACATACTCTAATAATATCTAGCTCTGCTTGAGCCCACACTTCCATTGTCTGATCCATTTTTTCGTCGTACTTCTTTGTCATACTGTCATCAATCGTGAGTCCCTCTCGTGGATCAAATACTTTTGTCAGGGGTAAATCTTTTTTATTATTGATTTCAGAGTAGAGACATTTTACAAGGTCTTTGTATGCAGTTTTCTCATCTACCACGTCCTTGTCTGTTAAAAGAAATTGTATCTAGAAGTCACTGATGAAACTGAAGCTCTACTGATTCAGACAATATTTCTCTGCAGTATGAAAATTCTTAATTTAATTGAAACACACAGCATGTTGAAATAGTTTCAGGATATGCATTAACAGAAATTCTATTATTAGGAATTGGCAGAACACTGCATGTTCACTGAATTATTCAGAAACAAACACAAGGAACCACATATCATGAACTAAGCTAGCTTGACTAAATTGTACAATTTTCATTCAGATCTTTTACAAAAAGGAGAGGTACCATTATGACATTTTCACACAGACTTCATTTATAGGTATCTAGGCATCTTAGCCATCAAAATTAAAATACAGTGAAACCTGTCTTATCCGACATGCTGCGGGAAATAAAATCAATGTCGGATTAGACAGTGTGTCGGATTACCCAGTGTTGAATATTTCTGAGCGTTATGATTGGTGTCAAATGACTTCAAAAACAATTTTTCATTAGGTTTAGAGTACACGTGTATTTAATTGTCAAAATGTTTGATAATTGTGTGTTTCTTTGTTGTATAAAATATACCTTCGTTAATTAGCATTTCTTTGAGCATTAGTATAAACTCTGTAGTAATACACGATGTTTGTTTTTTAAATGGACAAAACAGATGGAACTGCCATTCACTTCGAGATGTTGCAATTTAATTTTTAGCATTTTACTAAAGCAGTAGATGGTTAAGTAAATATTTCGTTTACATGTACCTTCTTTACACAGTGGTATTATTTTTTTTTCTACACTACATTTCTCTCCGAATTTTCTCTACTGTTTACTTCTCAACATAGACTGTGCTATTAATACTGTCACGCGACTTTTCATACAAACCGGACCTAACTCTAAAACATTGTGATTTTTATCAAACAATCGTAATATTTTAAAATTTAATGGGCAACTTAAAGCGGTATTTTTGCTTCCGGAAAATCCTTTATGTGCACAGCCTTGCTTAATTCAGTGTATATATATATATATATACAAACCGGACGTAACTCTAAAACATTGTGATTTTTATCAAACAATCGTAATATTTTAAAATTTAATGGGCAACTTTAAGTGGTATTTTTGCTTCTGGCAAATCCTTTATGTGCACAGCCTTGCTTAATTCAGTGTATATTAACCCTGAAATGAAACTTTTTATTTTAGACAAGATGTACCATTCAACTTGTGTATTGTCTACATGTTACGTTCGCCATACTCTTTTTTTTTTTTCGGGACATGGCTTTATGAAGGACTGACTGCATGTTTGATTTTAATTTCAAGCTAAAAATCTTAATGGAATCAAAATATCATGTACTCTTTTTATTTTCTGTCGCGTGGATGCTATTTCTTAAATGCGAGAATAAAACTGATAACAACAAAGAGAATTGATTGCCTAATTTTTTAATTTAAAAACTGATCATTTAAAGCTAACATAAACACTTTCAAACTTACATGTAATTAACTACTTTCTAAGTAAACCAATCTTGTGGCCAAACGGGGTATTCATGTCACCTGGCCTGCGGCTAATTACGGAACACCCGTGTAATTATGTCGGATTACCCAGGTGAAATCATAATGTAATTATCTAGTTTTGATGACAAAAAAGCGCCGGAATTCGGAATGTACAGTGGTCGGAATATACAGTGTTTTGTTCTATATAAAATTTAAAGAAATTTTGGGGAATAAAATATGAAGTCGGAAAGTCCAGTGTGCCGGATTGCACAGTTGTCAGATTGGACAGTGGGCACTGTAGCAACATGATTATAGTCTAGCTGGTTCCATGCTCCATACTTAAATAATTTTTCCAAATGATTCTGTTTCAATTTTCACCTTTGTTTCCATGTAAAATCAAATCAACCAATCCATGAGTGATATTGGAGTTAATTTCTCTAAGAATCCGTGACGCCCCTCTCCGTGTACATTCTGTTACCACGGCAAGCCAGAATTTTCTCAGACACTCTTCTCCTTCTGTTTAAGAGAAAGCATGTCAATCACTCAAAGATTAAAATAAGACTAAGATAACAGTTGATGTGGATAAAGAAATAACATACCTATAACAGTTCTGATGGTGTCAGCTGGCAATGAGAGAACATAACCAATCATGGTGTAGAGATTTGGAAGTTTATGTTTCATTCTATCTTCAGGTGAGGTGAGGAATTTATTGACAGCCTCGGTAAGTCTGTTTTCCAGTGAAAACTCTTGAATGCAGGCTGTAACAGCAAATAACATCCTTTAAAGGTATCCTATATAGCAATTATAGTTAGTTTAAACTCTCAATTCAAACAATAATTATATTTCATACACTTGCAGATAAAACAAGTTCAGGATGTAAGCTCTCACTTTATATGAGTTAATTAACAATATTGTCACAATCAATCAAAATCAAATTTAAGAAAACCACTTAAAGAAAATGTTTGACAAATATTAAATTTCATTTGCAGTACATCTTACTTTTAAATGACCTTGATGAAAAACAAGATCATCTCACCTTGACAAGTTTGAAGGAAGCAGAATATCATCTTCAGCTGTTGGTCGCTGGACTTGGTGTCAGTGAGTCCTCCTACCATTGACCCCAAAACCATAAACATAACATCCATCTGCTGAAAGTCATAACCCAGGGGGTCTAAAGTACAGAAATATCCTAGTGATGGCTTTAGTAATACCTGTCACAAAAAAAAAAACAGGAAAATTGCAAACATTTACTAGAGGTTCTGTGAGCAACCTCACAAAAATATTTCCACCACTTCAAATTTTCTTTTAAAGGACTTATCACATGTCACTTAAAACTTCATTTTTTTATGCGAAATTCATTCTATGTGTTTACAAATAAATAAAAATATTATTTAAAGGAATTAATTTGCAAAGTTTTTGAGTTTGAAAGCAACAAAATTCAAATCTTCCGATATGCATATTTTCTTTCTCGATTTTACGCGCCATTATGTGTGACGTCATATGCGACCTTCGTGTGAAAACAGCTGTTAGCCATGTTGTAATCTAATCGACAAACAAACCAATTAAGGCAATTATCCTGTTAACGGATTACAGATAACGGTAAATAATGGTGTTTTGTGCTGCGTACGGGTGTGTTAGCCGCCAGAAGAAGGGAAGTGGGTTGAGTTTTTTTAGTTTTCCTAAGGAAGGAGTGAGGAGAAAGACTTGGGTGATTTATTGTCGGCGCGAGGATTTTGTGCCATCGAAAAACAGTCGTCTATGTTCCTTGCATATATCTAGAAGCTACAGCAGAACTCTTACCTTAACTCTCTCCCAATGTTGTCTGGTGCAGTACAGAGGGAGCCAAGCATTGATTGGTTCTCTTGACTGGCCAACAGTGGTGACACCTAGTGGTTGAGTGAAATCAAACCCACCATGAGCTTTAAGTTGTCCTGAACAGTTAATCTTATACTCGAGAGCATCCAACATGGCACTCCTGCTCACAAGTGTTCCACTAATAGAGTGAAGTTCTACCTGTGCAATATAACCACACATTGTTTTTTTTTAAAAATGACACTGATATACATATACATGTTCATACTTATAGACATGACAGAATTAAATACATCAAATATTAACAAATTTACAGAGAATGTTAAACAAATGTTCAAATTTATCATGTCTTCAAAGAAAGATTTCCTGAGGTTAAAAAAATATCAAACATTTTTTAGCGCAAACTCTAAAGTGCATGCTATAGTGAACTCACAAGTGTTGGGGCATCAAGCACATGTTCTTGTCTGCGAACAGCCAGGCCAAATCCAATGGCATCATCTTTGTCAGAGTCCAGTAAAACATCCCTGATATTGTTGAGAGACAGTGAGCAAACAAAGAATTCTTTGGCTGAACTAGACATCTGTTCTATTTCCTGATGATTTAAGATGAGCTGGTCAAGCTGGGACTGAGCAGTCTGTAGATTAGGCATGTTCTTGGCCACTCGCTTGTCTAGAATCCTCTGTCTTCTGGATTTTGAAAACTAAAAAAAGTATGGTCAATTCACTTTATTCCTGATGATGTTAAATTTTTAATTTAATCTTAACTTAATGGGATTACAGGTACAACTTAATGGGATTACAGGTACAACTTAATAGGATTACAGGTACAACTTAATGGGATACAGGTACAACTTAATGGGATTACAGGTACAACTTAATGGGATTACAGGTACAACTTAATGGGATACAGGTACAACTTAATGGGATTACAGGTACAACTTAATGGGATACAGGTACAACTTAATGGGATACAGGTACAACTTAATGGGATTACAGGTACAACTTAATGGGATTACAGGTACAACTTAATGGGATACAGGTACAACTTAATGGGATTAGAAATACAACTTATAATGGGATAAAAAGCACAACTTCATGGATTTACAGGTACAACGTCATGGGATTTCAAGTACATGTATGTGATTGGTACTAAGTTTTATATAGGAGAAGAGAAATAAATATACCTTTGCCTGATACCTCATGTCATGAGCTCGAGCCAACATCTGCACAGATTGAGTGTTTCCTCGAGCATACTCTGCCAGTACTGTTCTCATATGATTAATCTAAAAGTAAAAAGACACAAAAATTAGCAATTTCCTTAAATTCTTATTCAAAAGTATGTATTCACTTGCAAAGAGGATTTTTATATAGCTCATTTGCAAACTTTTGCTGAATCTGAATAAATCTGTTTGGTATCCCTGGTGGGTTGTACTTTTTGCATGATGCACAGAAGAGACATATGGGATTCACTAAAAGGGCTCTTTATTTTAAACAGGCTTGCAATGATATGGTTAAAACCAGCCATGAACAATAAAGCTGCAACATGTATAATTATTGATCATACTTGCAAGCATGGCATGGAAATAATAAAAAAAAAACTTGCATAAATAGCTTCAGACTATGATTTTTACTTCATTCAGAATTTTATTTTTGCATATTACAATGCTCTTTGTCAGATAAGGCGTGCACATTATTCCATTTATATGCATGTGCACATACATAATAACACCATATAAGCTGCAAAAAATGATTCGAACATTACCATTTATGTAACAGAACTCTCACCTTTGTTTTTATATCATCAAGATGAACTTTCATGCCCTCCCTTATTTCTTTGTCAAACTCGCGTTTGAAGAGTGGAACTCGAGACACTCTCTCTTGTAGTTTATCCACTCGACTTGTCATGTTATCTTTCACTGAAAATATTAAATATTGTCATGTCATATGTTTATCTTAGTAAATGATCTTTTTTTCCCTCTATATTGTAGTAATTTTTCTTTTAGTATCATATGAGTGTTTTCTTTTAAAATGATAACAGACTGTACTAAACACATGCAGTAAATAAACAAATAAAGTAAGATAAAGTAAATGACCCACCATTTCCGTCATTAATGGCTTTTCCTATAGCTGCTGACAGAACATCACAATTTCTCTGTAGAACCTTCACGTTCCACATGACCTTCTCCTGAGCATCTATAACCTGCCTTGTTGTCATGGTAACTTCACATGGAACCAAAACTTTCTCTACCTGCTCATTCTGTGGCAGATTTAATGGAAAACAATTGTTTGAATTCAATGGCTTCTATGCTACAGAATGGATTTATAAAATTTTGGAACTAGCTTTTCATTGTTCATGTCTTTGAATTTAGATTATCAACTTCAAAATTTCACTTTTTGCTGACCTAAAGACAAATCTTACACATACCTCTAACACTGTCATCTCTACGTTTATTGTCAGATCAGTTGTATTGGCCAGGGATCTATATATACCTCTAACACTGTCATCTCTATGTTTATTGTCAGATCAGTTATATTGGGATCTATATATACCTCTAACACTGTCATCTCTATGTTTATTGTCAGATCAGTTGTATTTGGATCCACATATACCTCTAACACTCATCTCTACATTTATTGTCAGATCAGTTGTATTGGGATCTATATATACCTCTAACACTGTCATCTCTACGTTTATTGTCAGATCAGTTGTATTGGGATCTATATATACCTCTAACACTGTCATCTCTACGTTTATTGTCAGATCAGTTGTATTTGGATCCATATATACCTCTAACATTCATCTCTACATTTATTGTCAGATCAGTTGTATTGGGATCTATATATACCTCTAACAATGCCATCTCTACGTTTATTGTCAGATCAGTTGTATTGGGATCTCTATATACCTATAACAATGTCATCTCTATGTTAATTGTCAGATCAGCTATATTGGGAACTATATATACCTCTAACACTGTCATCTCTACGTTTATTGTCAGATCAGTTGTATTGGGATCTATATATACCTCTAACACTGCCATCTCAACGTTTATTGTCAGATCAGTTGTATTGGGATCTATATATACCTCTAACACTGTCATCTCTACGTTTATTGTCAGATCAGTTGTATTGGGATCTATATATACCTCTAACACTGTCATCTCTACGTTTATTGTCAGATCAGTTGTATTGGGATCACAGACAAAAATCCACAGATCCAGTCCCAGCTCTCTCTTCCCTTCAAATAACAAACTCAAGTGTTTAATCCTATAAACTTTATATACATAAATATTCCACAAAGAACTTAAACTTCATCTAAATAGATGCAATGATATACATGTGTACATGTATCTGATTTCTTCCATTGCTTACTGTAGATTCCTAAATATATGCGAGGAATTAATTATCCTGTAATTTTGCGAGAAGCACCACTCCATACACTCGCGAAATAAAATTACTCGCTTTTATTTTTAAGGTGCTGAAATCCATGTAAAATCTCTTGATCACCCTTCCACTCATGGATTATTGTTCTCGTGATTTGACGTTAAAGAGCCATTTTGCGACAATAAATACTCACGGAAAATAAGGAATCTACAGTATACTTGCTGCTATTTTGTTGAAATACAGAATTTGTGAAGTATACATGGTTTCAATCATGTTCCCAGTATTTTTACACTCTACATAAATGTATTTTCCTGATAAAGCGTGTAGAAATCTTCAGCATTCAATTAAGCAATAAAATGCTTTCTTTGGTTATTAGTAAGGGAATTAATGTCACAGCCATTGCAGAAAAAATACATAACCTGCATAAGCAGCCACGTTAATTCCCATACTAACAAAGAAAGAAAAACATTTTATTATTTATATTTATATCTGTATAAAAAAAACATTTAAAGTAAAATTAAGGATGTTAAATATTGTATTACAGATGTGTATGTCATGGTATGCATAATTGATGGAAGAGCCTAAATTTGCTCAAAAAATCTATGCAGGTGGCTTGCTTAGTGTTGTTTACTGACTGATAAACAATGGTTTTCATAAGAAATTAAGGAAATAATATTCAGTGATGTAAATATTACACCATAACATGGATGGGAGGTCAAAAGATTGTTATGACTTGTATTTTGATATCACAAATGATGAATGCCGTGCAAGTGCAACATCCCAAGTGAAAATCAAAATTTCATGTTCACACTGAACAACATTAACTGTGCCTTCAATTTAGCTGTACAAATGTGGTGTGTATCATTTAAACAGGCATAATATACTGGTACTCAAAGAAACAATATTTTATCAATCTACCATGAAATTTAAAAATGTACCGTAAACATAAGCATTGAGTTATAAATTTCGGATGTTCAACGTGTCACGAAATTCAATTTGTCAGCACACCCATGCATTTTATGACACGTTGAACATCCTAAATTTACATACAATGCTTCAGTATTTACATTCATTGTAATTTTCTTTATAAAATCCACTGGAAATCTACAACATTCAATACCCTATAACACGCACGAAACCTTGTCACTGACTAAGAATACACAGTAAGAACTATATGCATTTTCAACACTCTAGGAACACCAAAATGTATATTCTTTAGACTCAGTTTAATCAAAAACAATTACCCAATTATATTATTGTAAAAATATAACAACTGTACATTTAATTTGTTCCCTATTCCCTTGCAATATTCACTTGCATTATTTGACTTTCCACATCACAACGTCTCTTACATGTACATCTATTAAGCACATCAGTTCTGAAAGCACTAAATTCATAATAAAGTTTAACGAAGAGAAAAAATTAGAGAATGTAAATATAAGCATTAAATTCTTATTTTTGGATGTCGACAATCCTATATCAGCACCCATCCGTGCTGACAAAATATCAGACAGCTCTAACACGTGGTTTTCAATTTGTCAGCCCAGGTGCTGTTATAGTACCGAAAACATCCAAAATCAAGTATCTGTAATTGTTTGGGCCTTGGATATCCACCTGGATAGCTCAGTCGGTAGAGCACCTGACTAGTGATTCAGGGGTCCCGGGTTCGATTCCCAGTCCAGCCCTACATTTTCTCCTTTCCTGTTACAGATTTGGTGCTGTTGACCACCCCTGGACTTGCAGGTGAAAGTCCTGCCAGGGGCTAATAAGAACTTGGGTTGTGTCTTCAAGGGCAAAGACAATTTAAGGAGGGAGGAATGTAACGGTTTGGGCCGTGGATATGGGCCTAGGTAGCTCAGTCAGTAGAACACCTGACTAGTGATGCAGGGGTCTCGGGTTCGATTCCCGGTCCAGCCCTACATTTTCTCCTTTCCTGTTACATATTCAATGCTTACATAATGTCACTAGCAGATGACATTTTCCCATGAAGTTTTGTATAGAGATGACCTTGATGATGTAGCTGAAGTTTATCATTGAATGATATCCATTACGTTTATTCAAACTGAAAAGCTATACTAAACACAGTTTGGTTAAATTTTAGGTCCTCAAAAATGGAAACTATGGCTGATAATCTGCATAAATGCTATACCTGAGGTTTCATCCGTAGTTATCTCCCCTAAATATGTGGCAGTATTTTTTGTTGTTCCTCCCTCCAAAATCTGATTGGTTCCTGGTATTGAGACATTAACTTTCATTGGTGCAGTGGCACTACAAATTTTGAAGAATCATGTGAATTTTTAAAGCATATAGAATACACTGAAGTCAAATTCTGACAGAGCTCAATTTTCAGTGGATAATTCAAGTATATTTTTTAATTCCATAAAAACTTAATGATAAACTACAAAATAAATTTAATGTATATTTCAAGAAACAGTATAATGTTCATTAACAACTGAGACATACTTGCTGAGAACAAAATCAAACAGTTCCTGGAGTTTGTCTCTCAGGACTGTCGGCCCGTCCTTTGGTTCACAGTATCGGAACAGTCCCTCACCAGATCCCTGCTCTGTCAACTTCTTCAGGAAATTATAGTGATGTTCTGACAATAAATTATTTGATATTAAAGCTTACATTATGCCTTGAGGTTCTGCTTTGGGGAACAAAATTTTAATGTTCAATAAGTGAAAAAAAAATTCTGACAATGTACCATGAAATCAATATTATTCGTAGGGTTTTTTTTTTCATGGTTTTCAAAAATATGTGATTTCACAGTATTTGAATGAAATATGGAGATAATATGGAGATAACAAACAGTATTCAAGCTCAAAGTCCATTAAAAAAAATCTGTTTTATCTGTTAAAATCTGGAGTTCCTTTCCATGTTAAAATCTTTCATAATCTGTCTATCATTCAAATACAATGTAAAGCAAATTGGCAAGACCAGAATAATATCATTTTTATACTCAACAAAAAAACAAACACAATTAATTCACTCTTTGGTAATTAATGGGCACAACACAATGAGGCAAATAACCTTTAGAAAATCCCACTGTGTGAATGGTATATGGTGAGGTCACCTCCTTCAGACTTCCCATTAGAGTTTGGAACCACTCTTCTTGAACCTGATTGGTTCCATAGAGACTAGAGTCCATTCCGTCCGTCAGAAATACAATCACACTTCTGTCTATCTCCTTCTCTTTAATAATATTTTACTGCATATTATAAAACTATTTGCTGATGTTTTTTAAATATATCTATTGAAAACGAAATTTTATTTTTATTCCATCATTATGTACAACAATAGGCTCCATGCATGGGCCAGCTGCTGTTTTTCAGAACATTTTCAAAAGATTTTTTTCCTCTTTATTTTTTTTTGAATGAGGATGTTAATTTGATAAAGAAGAAGGTACAGTTTTGGCTTTATTGTGCCCTAAAAATTTAATGTTTTCAAAAAGTGTTGAAATTGGCATAAATATGAGTTGAGTATATGAGTGTTATAATTCATGAAAGAATATGGCATGGAGGAGGACCATTCTGCAAATATGGCATCATTAATTTCGTATTTTTCTAAGTATTAAGCAGAAAAAGGCTTAAAATAACTCATTTTAGGGGGTATTTTCCTTGAGAAAATAGTATCCACAGCCGTCGCCCACTTCAATATTCTGATATGTTGTGTAAAATTCTTTGAAAAATCATATTTCTCAAAATCTTTGTGGGCAATGCATGTGGTCTATATTATCTGAAAGAAAATTTCACTGAAAATTGATGTCTTCTGCAACTTTTTAAGAAAATACGGGAAAATGCACAAGTTTATGACGTCACAATTAGCACTAGGAAGTCAAATGAGAAAAACGATTTTTTTTATCATAGTGCATGGAGTTTCAACATTTCAGAAAGCATGAATTTTAATTTCTTTCATCACTTTCATATTTTAGAAAAATACAGGGCCAGATTTGTATTGAAACTGTACCTTGTTCTTTGTGGAATACTTCTCTGAAGCAAATTTCTAATGTCAATACCTGCTTTTTCTTCAATTCTCTTCATTTCTGCTCCCAAGTGACTGAAAGCCTTGGAGAAGCAGGTCCCTCCTGAGGCTTTGATCTCCTCAATTTTGTGTAAGTAATTTGATCTGTCAAAGTCCACAGTGAAGGCCATGTTGTTGAACAGAAATAAATCTGTAATGATGTTGGAGTGTTGTAATGCATTCCCTAGTATCTCTGTCAGTGCATCTTTCACCTAAAATCAAAATATTAACTTCCTTCAGAGGTATATTATAAACTGCACCTCTGGGTTCATAGTAATTAATCTCGCACATTCTGTTACTGAAAATGACATGGAAACATAACAAAATTGACAAATGACTTATAATCCTTGTAATTGTCTCAGTGTTTCACTTGTCAAATATCAAATATTTTATTGGCACAAATACAATTACAGCAATAGGTAAAGGCCCAAACAAAACATAATAAGCATGATAATAAAGTAGAACACAACAAGAATACAAACAATCAGTGTAGCAAATAATGTGTACTCATCAGATACTAAATAATTAGGTCTTTCCACCTTTCTGCGGAAAGACCTATTGAAATTGTTCTGTTTATTATTATCAAGTGTGTTTTTGAGTTTCAAGATTTATCGAAAAGATTTATACTTCATGAGAATGTACTCCTTAAAAGATTTTTGCTGTTACCTCTGCGTATATGAACTTTTACCCCTTGAGGAGTTACTACCCCTTTTGCAATATAAGCTTGTTATTGCTATTCCTTCGAAACTGTAAACTGTAAAGATACCAAACCATCACCAATGTCTTCAACTAACTTTATAGACGCTCTGACCTATTTAGTGGGAAAGGATTTAAAAACCCCTTTAAGTAGTTATTGCCCCTGAAACTTTTTGATGAATACAAATAATTAAAAATTTTCTTAACAACAAGTCAATAAGACATGGGACCAACTGCATCAGATTCTTTGACCTAACATCTTGAAATTAAGGTCAAGGCCATTCAAAATACGAGAAATTTAGCTATTTTTATAGCTCTTTTGTCTTTCATCATATACTAAATATCTTTGCATCTTTAATATGACCTCTTAAAACTAATTCAAAGATTTCATTCTTATCCCCTAAGCCAATCTAATTAAAATTAGATCTTTGATCTGCTCCAACTAGATCGCTGTAGCGATCTAGTTGGAGCGGATCAAAGATCTAATTTTAATTAGATTGCCCCTAATCTTGACCCCTTTAAAAGTTATTGCCCCTTTCACTAAAAATCTAGATCACTATTCCCTTGAAACCATAAACTGTAGAGACACTGAACTTTCACTAAATGTCTTCAGGTTCTTTAGACAAAACTTCAGTCTATTCAGTGCAAAGGGATCTGATGACCTTATATGAGTTATTGCCCTTTTACATCTTTGCGCTTACTATTAAACACTATAACTTTAAAACTAAAAGTCGTAAAAACATGGGACCATTTGCAATGTGACCCTTGACCTCTGTCCTTGAATAATTGTTCAAGGTCAAAGATCAAGGTCATTTCAACTTTTTAAAATATTTCATTTTTTCCATCTTTCAAACCATTTCTGGTTTCTTTTTCATGAAATTTAATTGTTAAGAGTAAATATAAAAAAAAGTATTGAAATTCAAAGAAGGTGGAAAGACCTCTAATTGTTCAGTGAACAATTAGTCTACTAGTTCATATAAATGTAGTTACTCATTTACAGAGTGACCCTGATTATCTACTGAATGCAGATATGCAAAAATATTCGGGTCCCATGCCTCACATTTTCATTTGGTTTTCCTTGAAAAGAATTTTTGAAATTCATATTTGCATCCAGAATACAAAGTTAAGATATCAATGATTTACAGTATATTAAAAAGAAAACTAGCATTTTATAAAACTTCAATTTAGTGCTTCTTTTCAGGTCTCTCAAGTCCACTCATTCTTTGTCATCCTTAGTCATAAAAAGAAATATCAATTATTGGTAGATTATCAAAGTTTGGCAATTCTCTTACTAGATTAAGAAACCCATGAAATCATTAGATCAGCATGATAATGCTGGCATATTAATTCAACAACTTATAGCATTCATTGTTTTTCCTAAAAACCATCATCTGTAAATCTATTTATTTTTCACCTTGGTATGAACAGTACCTAACAGTAACTATCTACTTGTAAATTGTTCAATGAAAGGATGACATTTATTTTTCACCTTGGTATGAACAGTACCTAACAGTAACTATCTACTTGTAAATTGTTCAATGAAAGGATGACATTTATTTTTCACCTTGGTATGAACAGTACCTAACAGTAACTATCTACTTGTAAATTGTTCAATGAAAGGATGACATTTATTTTTCACCTTGATATGAACAGTACCTAACAGTAACTATCTACTTGTAAATTGTTCAATGAAAGGATGACATTTATTTTTCACCTTGGTATGAACAGTACCTAACAGTAACTATCTACTTGTAAATTGTTCAATGAAAGGATGACATTTATTTCATATCCTTACCTGTGCTAATGGACTTCCTGACATGGACATACTGATGTCAGCTAAAATCAACAGGTGTGTTATGCTGGTTCGGACCTCTTCCTGCTCGGAGTCTGGCAGCTGAATAGTGATCTTAGCCAACTGTTCTTGGACGACCTGCATCTTTTTATCTCGGTCTTTATCCAAACTCTGGTCTTCATGATTTTTATTTTGTTGATCTGCACAATTTGATCAAATGTATAGTCAAGTCGATAAATTAAAATTCAAATTAAGACAGGGTCATTATCTCCAATAAATCAACATTTCATAACTCCTGGAGCAGTAAATATTGCTATGTAGATATTTTTATGATGAATTCATACCAGAATAAAATCCCTTCTCTGATTCAATGAAGTCTATAAGAACTTGTGCCTGTAGTTTTTCCATTTCTGTTTGCTTTTTCTGGAAAATAAAAAATAAAAAAAGAACATGACTTCATATACTTTGTGAAAGAAATTACCAAATCTAATCCTGTTATACAATGTCATTTGAAAGCAAAACTGTGATTTGTCTGATTTTCAATACATACGATGTTTAGCTGTTCTGTTTACATGGATGATGAAGCACAATCAGTGAATCACGACAAGTAACGTTTATTTATCTTAGGACGAATTCTTTCCTGTCGTTAAGTCCAGTTTTATCTAATTCTGTCCCCACAGCGTCTTAGATCCTGTCTTGATACCTTCAATTTTCTGAGAGAGCAGTCGACAGGGGTTCGCGTCATGTTGCCAAGGCCAGTAAAAGTTTGCTTACGATATAATGTCAACAACAAATATTACATTCTCCTATTCACACAACAATCAAAAATGGATTTACTGTAGCTTGCAATATATAGTAAAGCTATAAATACATTGCAGCAGATTTCATCATCATTGATATTTAGCGGTTTGTTTCATTTCTACACGATTGCATCACCACAATATTTAGGCAAGAATGTCGAGCCCGATTGCTATTATTACGACACGATAATCTGATTTAAGTTACATGTTTAAAAAAGTAAATTAAAATAATAATAATAATATAATTTTGGGATGTAATATAAATTTTTCAAAAAAAAAATCTTTCTGATGGAGGATTTCGCAATGATGTTGAATTGTAATTTTAATTTATTATAATAACTCCCTTTCTAACGTAAAGTATCTATAAATTGCTAAAATAGAATCTTCTTTTTTTTTATAGCACCAATATTACTTAATTTTATCACTTTACATCAAATATCACACATGACCAAATGTTTTAAAATTAAATGTAAACATTTATTTAACAGTTCATCACCTATCATACTTAAACTTTTCCAAAACTTTTGAATATAGTTTCTGATGACCTTGAATAGTTTCTAGTGACCTTTAAGCTTGAAACTTTCATTCTAATATTAGTTATGCCAAAATTTAGTTGTATCTACACTTTGTTCAAAATAAGCTTGGCAAATTTTTAGGTGCCTCTGAACATTGACTGCTACAACTTTGATCTTGTTCCAAGGCGTAACTAGGCCCCAATCTTTAGTGAAGGGGACGGGACTGTTGTCCGCCTATGGCCCACAGGAAGTCCAGGACAGTGCCCTGGTTGGGGGGAGGGTTTAAAGTCCATCGGAAACTCATTGGTTTTTACAAACTCAAGACTTAATTTTCTGTTAGTTTTTGCCATAGAAACAGTCTACAGCAAATATGTGCATGACTGACATATAGGGTCGGAATAAATCAGTTGCACTCCTTTGCATGTCATGCCATTTCACACTTCAAATGTAAGGTGGCAGAGGTCAATAAGATAAACTTAACATCAGGTACATGTAGTACATTACTAAGTATAGTGTCATTCAAAAAAGGAAATAGTTGGGAGTGTCAAGAAAACATTGATTTAATATTAATCTCAGACTTGAATAACCTTTACCCTGAGGAGGGCATCCTATTAAGGCTAATTATGGAATATCAAATCTCAACATAACTTCAAGAAAGATACGAAATCTTTTTATCTAATTAAGCTCTAACAATTTTATTATTTTAACTGGGCTTTTGCAACCTGAACTTATCACCAGTGGAATATCTGTTGTGTTGTCAAAAACTGAACATGATAATGAAAAAGATGTAAAATATGCATGACAAAAAGGCAAATCCAATTTAAATAATTTGTGTCTTGAAATGCATTGTAAACTCCATTCAATTTTCAATCAAAGAATATACATGTATCAATCTTAAATATACCCATCCCCCAAAGGCCCCTCACAACACCACAATTCTAGACATCCCATCATAATGCAGATATTTAAACAATTATTTTTTTTAAAGAATTTATCAAGTACAATGAAACAGATAATTTATTCAAAGTAGTACTTTTGTTTTTTGGTTTAAAAAAAAATACTCGTACTCAAAATTTTTGGTGAGGCATTTGCCTCACTTGCCTCAATGGTTGTTACAGCCTTGTGTTCCAACTGTATTCCATGTATGTATGTTAATAAAAATACACAAAACCTGAAAACCAATGTTATCAAATATTGCTACAGCTAGTGACTTTGACCTTTGATCAAAGACATGAAAATCTTTTTATCAATGATCACATGAAAATCTTTTTATTAATGATCACATGAAAAGCTTTTTATTAATGATCACATGAAAATCTTTTTATTAATGATCACATGAAAAGCTTTTTATTAATTCATGTATCATAAGGATAACTTTTTTTTTTTTTTTTTTTTTTTTAATAGAGTGGAAATGTTATCAAAAAATTGAGACTTTATAGTAGAATGGTCCAAATTAATCCTAAAATGTTTGCATGGGACACAAATGAATTATGGAAAAAGATTCATAATACAAGTTATTAAAAATATTTTGATTTAAAATTTTTTATTCATTTTTTGAAAGAATTTAAAGAACAAAATTAATACAACTGCATAAGATGACTGCATAAACATGCTAGACTTTTTAATACTGTATTGTATTGTACAAGCAGGAATTCAATGTGAGATTATAAGGAAACCAACACCGTCCCAACTATTTAAATGTGCATACAAAAAACTAGCTCATAGAATCAGATACCATGCCATCACATGTACAAATGAGAATAAAACCTTTTTTCCCAAAAAATAATTTATTACAGTTTCTGCAAACATTTCAATAGAGTGTCCCTGATTTTTGTCCGAACTATTTCTTCTCCATTACAAATAATGTGGGTAGAATCTCCCTCCACTTGAATCAATGTGTCATCATTGGGCTGCAACAAAAGAAATACAGTGTATATGCAGAAGAAAGCAAAGGTGTATCAAAAATAAAAGATTATTCAAGATCCTTTGAACCATATTCAAAATACATAAATTAAAAAAAAAAACTTAAACATAACATAAATGCATATGCATGACCAATTTTCTACATGTACATAAATCCGATTTACAAAAAAGCAACATTAACTTTTCTCAACAAAATTGCAAAAACAAGTTTTCCTCTGAAAGAGATATAAAAATCACAAGTACTGTACATGTACAAGTATTTATGTTAGTGAAATCAAGTGACTGACAATGAGTCCAAAGTGCAACTAAAATATTTTGTTTAAAGAGGCCTAATTCTTCCTCCCGGGGCTCCTACCAAGTAAGGATTATTTCTCCTCTTCCGGAAGCACAAACTAAATGTAGCTAGATTTTTTTCTATCATAAATTTGAGAATAGCAAACATTTTTTTTCCAAACAAAGAATATAAAACAATGTTTGTAAAGGATGACTGCACTTAAGGACATGCGAAAATTGCGACAAAATAAACTTTCAAAACAAGCATTTTTCTTTTAATTGCACGAATGGTCAACATCTAATCTTCAACTTTATGTAATTACATTAAATAAAAGTATGTATATACGAAGTACAAAGCTGTTTTCTAAGGCGGGGGTCATCACAATTCCTTGAATCTCCGTACGATAATGAGGACGCCCACTTTTTCACTGACTTTATACATAGTCAGCACATGTTTGTCTATTCTTCTCTGTTTAACAGTAGTTGTATATTTGCATTAACAATGTTGTGTCAAAAGGAGATTAATAGACAAACATGCGCTCATGGTTTAAACGAGAAAAAACTGCTTCTTCTGCATTCGCTCTCTCTATTGTAACCAAGGGCTGTGACATGTTGAATATTATAATTCACCACCTGATTTCTTACATCAGGTAACTCTGTGAATACTAAACTCCGTCACGTGACTTGTAAAGTAGCATGTTTTGTGCTAACTAGGACAAAGTGCTCGAACATGTTAAATTGTAAGGCATTGATTTAAAAGATTCTTTACTCACATGGACATCGCTCCTATTGTTAATTTTGTTTTTGAAACCTCTGAAAATAGTGTACTTGTGCCATCAGAATAAAGAGGGAATGGGAAAGAGTGATCTCGTATTTTTTTAATACATGTTATTGTTATTTATCTAGTCTAATTTTAGACCCATTCTTACAATATTAGCTCCACCTCTCATGCATACCTAATGTTTAATCAAGGGCAGGTAAGTGTAAATTCTCTATATTTGGAAAGAGTAAGGACAGAAAACATAGAACCATTTTATTGTATCACAGTCTAAGATCATTTCAATATTTAAATTCAGCTTGAAATTGACAGGATTCTTTCATAAATATATATCAATGAAATAAGATTATGATATAAAAGCAACAGAAGCGACCGAAAAAGACCCAAAACCCGGCGTTAAGTGCAGTCATCCTTTATTCGTTGCTGTTTTGCTTGTTTATCTATAATTCAAACATAGTGAAGAAGGAGCTCGTTAAAACCTGATGAATTGAAATGCACTTATGTTCATGAAAATTTCTTCACAAACCATTTACATGGTCTTATTACATATAGATTTCTTTTTGTCATTTAAATTTTTATCTTGATAAAAAGCTAATCTAGCAATAAGGCTTACTAACTCAATAATTCATCCATACATACATGTTTAAGATAATCAAACAATAAGACTTACTAAATCTAACAAGACATACTAAATCTTTCAATATTAAGATTTACTACAGTAAATCTAACAAGACTTATTAAATCTAACGAGATTTACTAAGTCTATCAATAAGACTTACTAAATCTGACAAGACTTAGTATATCTATCAAGAAGACTTACTACAGTAAATCTAACAAGACTTAATTACTAAATCTAATAAGATTTACTAAGTCTATCAATAAGACTTACTAAATCTAACAACACTTACTAAATTTATCAAGAAGACTTACTAAATCTAACAATAAGGCTTACTAAATCTTAAAATATAAGACTTACTAAATCTAACAATATGACTTACTAAATCTAATAAGGCTTACTAAATCTTTAAAAAATATATGACTTACTAAATCTAATAATATGACTTACTAGATCTAATAAGGCTTACTAAATCTTTAAAAAATTATAAGACTTACTAAATCTAACAATATGACCTACTAAATCTAATACATGTAATAGGACTTAATTAATCAAACAATAAACTTACACTAAATCTAGCAACAAAACTTACTAAATCAATGATTGATCCATCTTCAGTGTCCTCTACCTTAATGTCAGTTATCCCTTGCTGAAAATTGATAAAAAATTATTAAAAATTCATAATAGATAAATTCTCTTTTAAATGCTTCTAAATTTACAAACAGGAGTTCCATGGACCAAAATGCTCACCTGAAACACAATTAATGAATCCATAGATAATGTATTCATGGATAAATGGAATTCCCCTTATTGTAGTTCTCAAATCAATAATGATTTCAACAATGTTAATGAACAGTATATTGAGGATTAATGTCAACTCTGCAAATTGGAAGTTTTCACGTGTTTTGCCATTTTTGGCCAAGTGTGCTTGAAAAGTATATTTAGATGATTTCAATCAATTTTCAATATTTATTTATCATCTCTCTTGAATATAACATGGACCCCATTTGAACTCTCTTAGATTGTACCGTACTCAACTGAGAACCCTTGTGCCAATGTTTTGTTAAAATTAGCTTCATAGTGGTGCTGGAGAAAAAAAATTAGAAATGTGAACATTTACAGATAGAAAACAACTAATGTTACAACAGAAAGATCCATAAAGATTCTTGATCAGAAAAGCTTACTTAAGCCTTTGGCTCAGGCATAGGTCAGACTAGCTTAAAAATATCATAGATTTCTGATGATTTCAAAACTTCATAGAAAACCGATAATGTTTCTTCTGATTACCCTTGTAAGTGCATCAACAAAAGTCTGAACATTCAGACTGCCCCAGATATAAGACTTCTGCCGAATTAAGCTGCCATCTGCTCTTCGCTTCTTTCCTGACAAATGACCTTCTGGCAACATCTTAAGTGAAATCGAAAAATGAATGTTTAGTTTCACTATCAGAATGTGGTAATTTGCATAAACAGCAATTCATACAAGATTATGAACATATCACTGTACCTCCAGCGTATATTTGTTGTCCTTGATATTCAGGGCAGCTGTAACCATGGATACCATACAGCCTGGTTTCACTTCCACAGGACCAATATTCTTGGCCAGCTGAGGGGTGATTTCTACAGTTTCAAACTGTCTTTTTATGGGTAGTGTTAAAATCTCTCCCCTTTTATAGGTAAGTGGCTGTGGGTCCTGGAGATTAAAAAAACTGCATTTAAAACACTAATGTCCTACCCATAGCTAAATAAAAATACTTCAGGATCTTTGGGTTATGTCTCTACTCAAAGTAGATCAACCTAAAATAACTGAAACTCAGAGTCAATCTATGGCTGATCATTAAACATTCATAAATTGACTGAAAATCTGCAGGCATGGTAGAAAATATCTGATTAGTGAAATTTTCATAACAGTAGAACCAAAATTCTGTAGGTCAATGAATGACATTTATATTTCATCTGTATTTCAAAAAGATCTACAATTTATAATTACAGCAAATATATTTCAATGAACCTGAATTAAGACAATTCTCAAAGACCAGTCTAAGAGCAAAAACTGGGTCAATTGTCATAAAACAAATGCTCATCACTAGAGTGTCACTATATTAGCTCATTATCTAAGCACAGCAAAAAACAAGTCATACAGATTTTTATGCTGGAAAGTCAGTGACAGAAAGACTAATGGAAAGAGGTTACACTAAATGACATGGGCATAAAAAGCATAATTCAAACATTAAGTATTTATTTTAATAACTTTTAATGCCCTGCGTGTAATATATATCACCGTACAACCTACATCTATTTGCTTACATAATCTATGACAAGGTCTGTTTTGTGGGTCAGGTTAGCCGGTGGGTGCACATAGGACTCTGACACCACTAGATGTCCTGGCTTCAGATCTCTCATTAATTTGTTCGCTTGTGAAAAATTCAGGCTTGTGTCAATTGGGCAATAGCAAACCTACAAAGACAAACACCATGGAAAGAAACGCACACATGACTGCGCTTCTACAGCAGTGCAACAAGTTGTGGATTTCCTACACTGAGTCAACACAAACTTTAGAAACCTAAAAAAAAAACTGTACATGTATATAGAGACAAATAACTGGTATACAGCATATTGTACCTTCATCTGAAGTGGTTGGAAGGGTGCTAAGGCTTCTATGTAAGGGAAATCAGGCTCTGTAACAGAAAATTAATACTAGTAGATTAATAGTTTCCATCAAATTGTAAATAACCTCCAAGTTAAAGGCACTTTTACAAAATATACATTATACATGTAATATTCTCCAAATATTTAGATTTAAAAAAATTATTTCTAGCTGACCAAAAGGATTACTAATCTTGTCTTTAAATCTAAATTAATTGATAGCAAAGTTTCTGATCTGTGAAGAGTACATGAATTATGTTTTGATAATACATGTAGTAATCATGAACTATTAGTAGCATAGTGAGGCTGGAAGATTTTTAACAATCCAATGAAGATTCTGGTTTTTCTGGAAGATTTTCAACACTATGGTGCTGCTATAAGATATTCAACAGGTAGATTTAAACAATGTGATTGAAGATTTTGGAACTGTACAAAATTTAACGATGTGATTGAAGATAATGTACTGTACAAGATTTTGTAACAAAATACCAGTGAAGAGTATAGTGTTGCTGGATGATTTCCCCCACAGTTCCATGAAGTGTACAACATCCCCCATCCTCAGTGATGGATGACCAGCAAAAACAATGCACGGAGATTTAAAATCATTCTGTAATCCATCTGAAAGACACAAAAAACAACATTTTAAAAAAATCAATTTTATTAGTAAACTCAACATTAGAATAAGACATGCACAAGCTACTGTAATTCACATTTTATTTGTGAAAACTTCATTAATATGTACAGTAACTTAATAAGACAGTCTGAAGGATCACTTTTTATTTATACATGTAATTGTGTTTTATGGTTTCTCTTTTTTGCTTCTCATTTTTTCTTTTTGTAACACTGTTTCACATTTACAATGCATACAATATATAAGAGATTTTTGGAGAAAGACATGTAATCTGCTATTACATCTTCTTCATCTATATTTACATATATTTTTTTAAGTAAATACATGTACATATAAATTTCATAAACAATCAGTCCTTTTCCTTCATTTGATGACATACCATGTATATTTGTGTAATGTCTAAGTCTTCCTATTGACACAAGCTGAAAGTAAACAATATTATTTTATTCACATGTAATTCCTGGCATGTAAAATATCAAAATCGTGAAAACGCCTGGAAAACGTAAAATATTTCAGACTAATGCAATTAAGAAACAAAACACTTTATATTTTAAATATGTGTAAATACATGTATCTATTTGCCTGTATCCAAACTACATACACCTCACAACTTAAGTTTAATTATGAAAGTAAACTCATTGAAATACTCTACCTCTGCATGAGGAAATGGAGGCTCAGGTAGATACACTTTGGATTGTTTGGATGTTGATAACCTAGCAAATATAAGCTTAAATGTGAAAAGTTCAACATGTACATGTATTTCTTATCAAGAATATTATTAACATCAACATTTCTACTGGATTCTCTGTCAACTATATACAAAAATAGTGTATAAAATACATCCCCATATGTGAACTGAATTTTAATCAACACCTCCATCAAAAAAAATTCTGCATCAATTATTTTGCAAGTGCTAAATTAAAAAAAAAACATAGGTAATCAAAGATTATGAAGCTCGCCTTGACGAATGATATCTTTCGGTACTTGGCAAATCTCATCATATTTTTTCCTAGTTAGTGTGCATCCCAAGATCAATATCCATGTAAGTTTGGTTTCAGTAGGACTTATAGTTAATTGGAAATGGACCAGCTCCAAAAACTTTAACTTGTTCACTAATCAAGAAAATTAGGTCAGTTTCAACATCCGAAGCAAGACTGGAAGTGTCCATCCTTAGAAGCATCATCCAAGCAAGCTTAGTCATAATAGGCCCTATAATACAGAGCAACTCCAAAACAATTATCCTGTTCACTCATCTGGAAAATATAGGTCAAAGTCAGCATCCAAAGCAAGTCTAAAAGTGTCCATCCCTAGATACATCATCCTTGCTAATTTTGTTAAAGTATGGCTAAAATTCATCATCTGGTAAAAGTAGATCAGTTCCAGCATCTGAAGCATGTCTGGTAGTGTCCATCCCTAGATTCACCATCCATACAAGTTTGGTCCAGATTGGACTTATAGTTAATTGGGAATGGACATGCTCCAAAAACTTTAACCTGGTCACTCATCTGGAAAATGTAGGTCAGATTCAGCATCTGATGCAAGTCTGGTAGAGTCCATCCCTAGATGCATCATCCATGCAAGTTTGGTCCAGGTAGGGCTTATAGTTAATTGGGAATGGACTTGCTCCTAAAACTTTAACAGGGATGCCAACGCTAATGCCGATGCCGGGGGCAGCATAAGCTCATCTCGACTTCGTCAAGGTGAGCTAAAAGATGATTAATGAAAACTTTCCTTGCATTAATGAGACTTACTGATTTATATTTTCATAAGCAAACATAACCCCACTTTATCTTTATTGTATACTTCTACAATTTTCATCCTTTTTTTGTAAACTTTTACATAATTTAACAAACTCATAATTTTTATTATTTTATACCATTCTGCGTAGATATTGGAGTATGCTAATGAACTGTCTGACACAGGAGACAGGAAGTACAAAGGAACTGTGGTTAGTCCACAACTATCAAGATGGCCGCTTAAACATTCAAAAAGGTCAAAGGTCATCCCTGATGGGTAACAAGGTACAAGGACATTACCACCATTCTTTATTGTCACCACTGAAATAAAAGGAGCTCATTCAAAACTGCAACTAGATAATGAATAATTTCAATCAAGTAGACACTAAAATCTACAAGAATTCTTTAGTCATTTCACTTAATCTTAAGACGTAAAAGTCTTATTTTGAAAATTTGATTCTGACATTTAGTGTTGATTTTTGTGTACCTGTGTTCACACAGAATTCACCAATCATCTGATCCGGGTTATAACCTGGAGTTTTTGTCATAGAACTGAGAATAATTAGGTCACTCTGTCTTAGAGGGTCTGTGTCCATTGGCTAGAAAAAGAGAGAAGTAAATGGCAATGTAGTTTTAACTAAACAACTCCTTAGTTCTTGTACATGCTTCACCCATACATTGTTTAATCAGCTGCAAAAGTCTTGTGCCTTTTTTATAAAGTGATTTTTTTTTTAGATTAACACTATATAAACTCTCACCAGAGTAGTATGGATTAAACTTACTTTAGGGTGGGTGGTCAGAGTTGATGTTCCAGAAATGTAACAGATCTACAGAGATAAGAGATAAAATAAGTACAAATACTTTATATGTTTCACACATTTGATTCCCGATAATCTGCCAAAGCTGACAAGTTACAGGTACTTTCTGATAAATGTAGAAATCCACTCTCAATTCTTTAACTTTTGGTGTGGGAATTTTTAGAAAATCTACTTATGTTCTAATAAGTAAGCTTTTGGTAACCAATTGTTATAAGGACGTGATTGTCCAATTATCAGTGGAAGATCCAGAAGTTCATGGTGATGGTGGTGGTGGTGGTGGGGGGGGGATAAAGGGGGGGGGATATTAGGGTTTGTTAGGGTTTGTGAAATTTTTATAAAAATGGCTCCAAATGGTGCATTTTTGAGTAATTTAGAATGAATCATTTTGTTTTCTTTCTTGCTTTGACAGGTCTTCTACTGGACACATAATGATTTACCACAATTCATTGTACAGAGTTGTAATGGTTAGTTGGGTCTAATTAAACATCATTCAATTGGAATTTTTAATTTTATATTTGCAGATCTTTTAAACAATTAAAGTGTTAAAAAGTTTATTTCATTGCAACTTCCATCTATACAAGGAACACTATTCAACACATTTTTTTTAACATTATAAACTTTACACTTTTGGTACAGGTAACAATGGTAAACTTTCACATCTGGAGGGGTTTACTTTCCAAATAGTAGTTGCAGGCTCCAGGGCCATACCACTTAATAGTGGAAAGTGAGACTTAGATCTAAAGTGAGCTCATCTAAGTTTTATGGGCCTGGAGCCAGAACTGTAGCTCTCCAAAAAAGAAAACCTTGTCTGGTCTTTCAATATATTTTTCCAAACCCTGGAACCCCTCCCCCCTGAATCTGCCATGGCATCAGATGCTACAATCTACCATTTGGTGTGGGGACTTGGTTGTCCAATTACAACATCAGATGCTACAATTTACCTTTTGGTATGGGGACTTGATTGTCCAATTACAACTTCCAATGCTGTACCCAGAACTACAGGCTGTGATTGTTAAAGCTCCAAATATGTTCTGTAATTAAAGTACTTTAATCATTAACCTGAATTTTGAACTACATGTACAGCATTTAATCTGGATTTTATGAAACAATTTGCTTATATCAGTTGTATGCTATAGTTTATACATATATTTCATATGTATAAAGTAACTCAAATTGTATATTAATTGAGTGACTTACTCTTTTCTCATTGTATCCAACAGTCTGTACTTTGGAGAGGCAGGCTTGAATATCATGCCTGGTGTAACATTCCCGCCATGCTGTGGGTCGAATTGCATCCCTGAGGGGGGCTGGTAGAGAGGCGAGAATTCCGTCAGATTTCCACTTCGAACATTTCTTATTTCGGGGGTTCCTTTCTACATAGGTTACCAGCTCCTCCATATACTGTCTGAAAATAGATTTAAAGAAAAGCCTGTACAAGTGTATCATTTACAAAATAATGTGACATGGCACACAAATTTGATTTGTGTTATTTTCACTAGAAGATGCAAGTCACATTGGTACTTCCAAGAAAAGTTTGAAAATAGTCTGTTGCAAAAATAAGGTGTATACATGTACATGTAATTGTACACCAGTATTTGTTTTATCCTTTTCAACTCTCACTTCATACATTTTACATGACAGTCATATTGATACATTTTACATGGCAGTCATATTGATACATTTAACAATTTTCTTTTTGTTGACTGAGCAACATCTAGAAATCAACTGGCTAATCAGTATAACCCATCAATACCTAATCAATCTGATACAAAGATAACATCAATACCACTAACTACATGTGTATCTAGGAAATCCCTGACTTTACACTACCTTCCTATCTGTAGAGTAGGTTCTGTACAATAAATTGTCCCTTTGAATCCTGAATACTCTGTTATATATGGTAAGGCCAGCATTGTATTATGATTGGACAAAAGAATAGCATCCACTTCTGAAAGTGTTGTCATACCCAGCTGGAAAACCAAGCAAAATATTCATCACCGAGATTTAACACTTAATTCATATAAGGATTGAAAGCAATTTCAAATTGTATATTAACCTTCTCTTTTCTATTGCTGAAATGTAATGTTTATAACCATCTTTATTTCTCTATGTTAAGATTTCTTTTTTCCAATGTCTCACCTCTGGGGAGCAAAATTCCGGTGATCCATCTACAAACACAGATCCTGCTACTTCTCGTAGTTCATCTCCCTGGTAAATGAATTTTAGTATCAGATATTTGATCAGTTGTAAAGCTGTTTTTATATTATCACTTTAAAGAGTTATTAATTTTTGTCTTAGTTATTTCATTTAAGATTGTTTAGTAGGATTTTTATTTATAGTACATATATCCCTTGCTCTTTGTGAGTAACCATTAAAAAATTATATAACTGGCCTTGATAAGAGTGTTAATTGCTTTTAATGAGCAACCTGCTATATACAGTTAAACTTTGGTATCTCGAACACAGATATCTTGAATACCATGGATATGTCAAAGTGATTTGAAAGTCCCAAGCACCTTTTCTTTAAGTATTTTACCCTCAATATCTCGAACCCTCGGATATCTTGAAGTTTTTTCTTGGGCCCATCGAGTTCGAGATAACGAGGTTTGACTGTTTTCTGGGCAGAGTATGTACACAAATAGTCATTAAATGTTATCATTGTTAAGAAATACATCCAGGTGTGTTTATCATGTAAAATACAGAGTAGCCTTGTCATCTGTATTTAGAAAAAACATATACATGTAATTAAAAAATGTAAATTGTTAAGCAACAGTATTATGCATAAATTAAAGATGATGAGAAAACAAAACAAGAGGCCCATGGGCCACAATTCTCGATTCACTTTGGCCCAACTGTTCTGCTTCAGATTTTTTCCCAATATACATGTATTCCTATGTAAAATTTTGATCGACTTTTGTGGCCCAACCCTATAAAGAGGGGCTGTGATTTTAACATAAATTAATCTACACTAGTACACTACCAGAGGATGCTTCCACATTAGTATGATTCATCATAGCCTTGCTGTTCTTGAGTAAAAAAGTTTGAAAGATTTTTCCCTATGTAATCCATATTTTGGCCCCACTCTATCCCCGAGGACCATAACCTGAACAATAGACTCTTTGCAATATCTAAGAAAGCTTCCACTTAAGTTTCTCTGGTCCAGCAGTTCTTGAGAAGAAGGTTTTTACAGATTTTTCCTATATATTTCAATGTAAAACTTCGATTCCCTATTACCGTTCACGGTAGCTCAGTCAGTAAAGCGCTCGCTCGCTCCGTGATTGGGAGGTCGTGAGTTCGAATCTCAGCCGCGACTGACCTAAGTCGATAAAAAATGGGTAGCAACTGTTCCTTCGCTATGCACTCAGCACTTTGAAGTGAAAGTTGCGGGTCCTTCAGATGATACCTTAAAAACTGAGGCCCCATGTCACGGCAGGCGTTGGCACAATAAAGATCCCTCACTGCTCAATGGGCCTGAGTGCCGAGTAAAGGTCAAAATTTGAAGCCCTTCACCGGTATATGGTGACATCTCTATATGAGTGAAAAATTCTCGAATGGGACGTAAAACAACATACAATCAATCAATTCCCTATTATGGACCCACCCTACCACCTGGGGCTATTATGTAAAGAATTTAGAATCTATACTACCTTAAGAAGATTCCACGTAAGTTTCAGCTTTTCTGGCCCAGTGGTTCTTGAGAAGAAAATTTTAAAGATCTTTTTTTTTACATTTCAATGTAAAACTTTGATTTCCTATTGTGGTCCTATTCTATCCCCGGGGGCCATGATTTGAATAATTTAGAATCTACATAAACCCAGGAAGTTTCCACTTAAGTTTCAGCTTTTCTGGTCCAGTGGCTCCTGAGAAGAAGATTTTTAGAGATTTTTCTTATACAGTTGAACTTCGGTCTCTCGAACACTGATATCTCAAATACCATTGATATGTCGAAGTGATTTGGAAGTCCCAACTACTTATTTTTTTAAGTATTTTACCCTCAATAACTAGAATCCTCGGATATCTCCTTGAGTTGGAGATAACGAGGTTTGACTGTATATTTCAATTGTAAAACTTTGAGTCCCTATTGTGGCCCCACCCTACTTATGGGGGCCATGATTTGAACAATTTAGAATCTAAACTACCTAAGGAAGCCAGATAATTTCAGCTTTTCTGGCCCAGTGGTTCTTGAGAAGAAAATATTTAATGACCCCACCCTATTTTTGCCTTTTCTTGATTATCTCCCCTTTGAAGGGGGGCTTGGCCCTTCATTTCAACAATTTAGAATCTCCATTACCCAGGGATACTTTGTACCAAATTAAGTTAAAATTGGCCCAGTCATTCTTGAGAAGATGTTGAAAATGTGAAGAGTTTACAGATGGACAGACTGTTGGATGGACGATGGACAACTGGTGATCAGAAAAACTCATTTGAGCTTTCAGCTCAGGTGAGCTAAAATATAAAAAGAACAAAAAAATTAATGCTCACCAATATTTTGTCCTTTTCTTTGTCACTGTGAGTCCATTTTTTAATTGTATTGTCAGATCTGGAAAAAAATTATATCTAATTCACTTACTAAGTACAAAATACATCCTCTTTAAGCATCACTGGATTGTTGTGAATTTTATGTTTGGCAGTTGTTACAGAATATGATATTTATCAATGGCAAATAATTCATACTTCCACACCTAACTTTGTAAATGATGAAATGATAAATCTACATAGGTCTACCCCTCTATAGTACAGTGGGGTAGACATATAGACTAATCATTTTGTCATTTACAAGATCGGGTAGGGAGCACATATTAAATATTTGAGTCAACAGTTTTCTTTGCTAAAAGAAACGTGTTTATATGTTTAAGATAAGCATAAGATCAAAGATATATAGACAAACAGTAATTCTTTGTTAATTAATGTTGCTATTTGTTCCCCACTGAAATCCTACTTGTTTGGTGCCACAGACAATGGCAGAAACTTGAGAATCTGAGCAATGTCTAATCCACAGTCCAGCATCAAAGTGACTCCTTTAAAGTAAAGGACGAAGCACGGTTTGCTGGGGTTTCCTGACAAACATGACTGCAAAGAAAAATAAAAATGTAACACTTTGTAAAACATTTGAATCGTTGCAGGAATAGATTGACTACATCAGCTGTACATTCAGATTACGGAAGGTCTACTCGGCTGCAGACTATTCCCAATCTTTAATTTCAGTTGCAGAATAGATAAAAGATTAGAATCATGCAAAGAATTCCATATGATAATACCAATTTCATTCTTTTGGTTTCTTTGACTGTCTTCTTCACATGGGCGCAGACATATTGAATTTTGAATCACAGTCCTTTTAATGTTTAATTGTTGCTGCGCTGCAATTCCTGACTATTTCAAGCGTGTAAGTGATCCTGATGTCACGCAACTTTCATTTTCACAATTGTCTCAATTGAATGAAAATATGGGTACAACATCAGAGCCAAGTTGTACTCTTTACGTGCGGCATCTGCCGTCTGAACTTAACACAAATGACAAAGAGGATTTACTTATGCATTTCGGAGCTACTAAAGTGAAAGTCATGGGAATAAAAGGACCGATGGTAAACATATATGCACTCCCCCATCTTTTTTCGTAAATGAAATCAACTTTGATATATTATAGTTAAAGTAAAGGGGAGTAGATCTTTAAAGACTCATCATTTTTAATTTACGAAATTAGATGAGAAGCACATATATAAGTATGTTACTAACATTAACCGGTACATTTGTAATGTGATATGTATAAACATCTGAACACATGCTGTTCCATTCAAAGTATTGAATTTTTTTTTTCAGAAACATACTGCATTTGCCACTTTTTCTGATCATGAATCTGCTAAAAAGGTACTTAAAAAACTTTTTTTTTTTTTAATTTTTTACAAATTTAAATTTTTAAGCAATTACTCTATCTTGAACAACTGATAATTATATGTGTATGTCACCTGTATAGTTTTTTGTATTTAACAGGCATTAAACCAGCTTCATCAGCTAGAAGTATGTGGATGTAAACTCATTGCAGAATTTGCCAAAAGTACACAAAGAAAAAATTTCCCTTCACTGCTAGAAAATAAGAGGTATTCCTGTGAAGACAGGGTCAGTAAAATGCTGAAACATCAGTGAATATTGTATAAAGTGTTGAAAACATCAGTGAATATTTTATAGTGTTGAAAACATTAGTAGATATGGTATAAAATGTCGAAAACATCAGTAAATATGGTATAAAATGTTGAAAAAGTTAAGCTTAAGCATCTTATTTTTATGAACAATAATTCTACAAAAGTATTTTTTATAGACTTAGACTAACATATGACACCATTTGAAAAATTTGCTTAATTAAATAGAAAAATACAATCTGAAGACAGTGAGAATCTTCAGGAGACAAAAGATCATAAACCAGAGGAGTATCTGCCTACAGAAAATACTTTTAAAACTTGGAGGTAAATATGCTTTTCTTCAAGCACTGATAGAAATGAAAACCTATATCACTGTTATTTAGATAATTGGTAATCTATCAACATATCTATAATAAATCAATATAGTAAACATAAGTACTGTTACAGTAGCAAATCAGCTTTTGATTGTTACAGTATTTTTTCCTGGCATATTCAGTAAAAGTGAATGAATATCCACAATGCAGAGACAGATTTGTACCTCCAAATGGATTTGAACCCATGACCTCTGGCATGTCAGTCCAGTGCTCAACCAATTGAGCTAAAAGGTAAACCCTCTAGCCAAGCTAGGAGGAATATATCATACACTACCACTCTGTCCTCTTTTGGAATGCCAATGCCTTTGGGTGCAAAATTTTAAAGGCAATCACTTTCACCTGCCAGAGAATACCCAGATCCCAACGTTGCCACCAAATGAAATACAGGCAGATTTGTGCCTCTTAAGAGATTTGAACCTGGAACCTCTGACATGCCAGTCTAGTGCTCTACCAACTGTCAGCTAAAGGGTTAACCCACTAGCCCAAGCTACATGTAGTAGGAATCCATATATCCAGCACTACCTCAACAAGATAAATGTGCTTTCAGAGTGACACTTAATATATACAGTACGGCTTCATTAATCTGGACTTTTGTGTTCCCAAGCAAATTGTCCAGATTACTGAAACATACTTCGTACATTTTTAAAAATATAAATGGTTCCCGACAAATTTTGTCCAGAGGGTGAAGTGTTTGGATTATTGGTAACCAGTTTAAAGAGGTTCCACTGTATCCCAATATATTATGAAGATATTTATGCCAAATACATGTATAACATAATGAATTTAATACTTACAACACTAAATGTTCAGGGAGAGCACCTGTCTGCATGAATGAACATTCTTAGATATTGATGAAATTTGGTGTTCACCATATAATTATCAGTAATTATCTGACATCTGACATCTGGCTCCACATTTCAAACTTATAGAACTGACAAAAAAATGCAGGATGTTTGAGGGTCTGTAATATCAAAGTTTAAACTCTGTGGTATGATAGGATCAGAATAGCAGATACATGGCATGAAGTCGAAAGAGCAGTGGTCAACATAATAAAGTTCAACTGTGTCATATTACTTTCTATCTCTGCTTCAAGTATCAGACTGATTACAGTAAAACTGGGAACTTGTGGATTTACTTCCTTATATCACGAACTTGTTATCCAACCATATAATGTTTGTGTTTTTTTTTTTAAAAAAGAACAATGTCTAAGTAATGAATTCTCAATATACAAATTTTCCTTCTTTTGACTACCAGATATGCTCTTTGAACTATTGATTAGAAAAACTACATAAAATAAGTAATATATTTTTCTTTAATCCTTTAATTAAGGTTTATACCCCTGTCTAACTTCCTTGTATCAAGGTCAAGAAATACTCTTTTGTCTTTATCGAGGTTTTTTCTGGTCATCTAGCTTCTATGTACCATATGTGAAGGTCCAATCATACTCATTTCTTTTTTAACTTTATCTTTGACCTTTTGACCCAAACTTCAATATTTTTCTTAGTTTTCCACTTTTCATCCTTGTGGCAAAAGAAAAAATTAAAAGATGAAGTAATATTCTCTATTTTGTCTTAATGATAAATGGTTTGCAGATTCAAAGGAGGACCCAATGCTATTTACATGTGCTCTGCAACTTTAAAGGAAAGTCTGCAACATTAAAGAATGGTACCTTCTAATTTCTTTTTAGGATGGAATATCCCAGGAATCCTAAACTACATTATTTGTATCCTCCCCCAACAGTTGCCATAGTAACCAATATTGCCAATGCCCTGGCTTCATATCCAAAATTCTATGTCCAGGTAAGCATACAAAGAATCATATTCAGTAAATGAGACATTGAGATAATTTTGTGAACACAAGCAACTGTGAAAATCCTGGCATATTTGAAATATTCTGTTGTAGTATAAAACACTCAGTTTCAAATTTACAACATAAACCCATGTTAGATGGGCTTGTGTGAGTTAGATTTGAACCAGATACAAGTAGAACTGTAGATAATTTATATAATATCTAAAGAATTTCTATTATTTCCTTTTAGGTGCTCCATCTAATGAACAAAATGAATCTGCCTGCCCCGTTTGGACCTGTTACTTCCACTCCTCCCATTGTGAGTATGACCTAACCTTACAAACATCATTAAAATCATACTGCAAGGGCACAAATTTCCAGTTTTAGCCATAGGTAAAAGTGAATAACAGCTAGCTAAGGGATGGTCTCCCTTGTCCAAATCAATTAAAATTCCTAGAGATGCAGAGCCACAAAATTGTTTCATTATGCTATAGTACATTGTATCTCTCTTATCAGTCACTCAAGCTAATATTGAATAACTATAATGACTGGAATATTGCCCACAGCCTGGTGATAAAGAAGATACTCTGATGCTAGGAAAAGATCAGCTAGAAACGGAGGAAATGGAGGTTATAAGTGAGGAGGAGTCAGAGATAGAAAGTGAAAGTGAAAATAATGGGTAAAGTCATCATTGGAAACACTGATACAGTGTACTAATGCCTCTTTGATGATTTAAATCTGCATTAAACAACACTTCTTAATAGTACCTCACTAATACTAGATTTGATTTGTTCTTAATATGAAATATTATTTTTGAATTTCTTGATTTTCTGAACAGAAATATTAAAGAAGAAATCGCTGCCAAGCGACCCTTGAAAAGAAAATCCAGATTACCTAAGAAAAAGTTAAAGTTAGCTCCCTTAGTGGCCTCTACAGAGACCACACCTGTCCGACCAGCACAAGTGATACAAGCTCAGGAGGTGTTCGAGCAGCCCACCACACAGGTCCAGTCTAAAAAGATAGAACTGAAACTGCCAGAAGCAGTCCTTCCCAGGGATGAAGGTTTGGTTTTTTGATTTCATTACTTTTTATTTTTAATCAAGTACAGTCAAACCTCTTTATCTCAAACTCGAATGAGCTAAGAAAAAAAATTTGAGATATCCGAGGATTCGAGATATACAGGGTAAAATACATAAAGAATAAGTAGTTGGGACTTCATTATTACTTCGACAAATCCATGGTATTCGAGATATCTGTGTTCGAGATATCAAAGTTCTACTGTAATAAAATACAGTTTACAATCATTACAATAAATGCTCACATATTTAGTTACAGAGCATCCAGATTTGTTGTCAGTGGTAGAATCAGCTGAACAGACTGGAGGGGAGGAAGGTGGTGAAAGTGGCTTTGGGAAAATTCAACCAGTAGAGAAGGTAAAATATTCTTATAAAATAAGGGAGACTTACCAGTCAATAGATCATGTGATTAAAAGTGATTAACCCTTTCTGTACTGGCATAGTTTATACAGTATACTTTAATATTTTAGTTAAGAAAATATGGAGACCCTCCTTTTGTAAAGTCTTGTCTTAATCTGCTACTCATCAAATTGGCCAGTGTAGAAAAGAAGGCTGGGGGATGATATACCGTATATCTGCAGTCTTTTTCGCATTTTTGAAATTTTGCAAATAAAAGGGTAGATTTGTATAGTTTTTATTTCATGTAAATTATTTTCTGCAATTCAAAAATTTTTTTTTAAAGATGATAATGTTTTTATGGCACACAATAACCGACATAATTAATGTGTGGGGTTTTTTTTGCGAATTAAAAATGACGCAAAAAAATGCGAAAAATAGATCATTGCTAAAAAAAATGGATATATGGTATGTAATTCTCCCGATTCATTATAAGACAACTGGCAGCACAATATGAACTTTGAACTTTTTCTTTTTCTAGCCTCCACCAGAAGAAGAGTTGAGGGAATCAGATCTACCCTATACTGTGGATCCTGAATTGTTCTTGTCTCTAGATGATATCAAAAAGGGCAGAATATCCCACTCAGGTATATAAAAAGTGTGTCTTGTGACATTTTATATTAGTTCATCTTCTTTTATTGTACACATTTAGCAGATGTGAAACCAGTTGGAAGAAGGAAAGTTTGATGCTTTTACTTGTTTACTCTTTTTCATAGCATATTAATGATATGTTGCATTTACATTTGTTTTAGAAATGAAGAATTTTTCAGTCTTTAAAAAATATGAGGCTGGTGAGATGGCAGGCCGGCTGTACATCAAGAATCTCGCTAAACACACCACGGAACAGGTAAAACTGTACCTCCATACATATATGTGCATGTTTATATAATTTTCAATAAAATTAAACTATGGTTCATGTTGACTGAAAATTGGTTAATGTGGTAATACATGTATTTGTGACTTTTTTAGTATTTAAAGCTACCAGAACATTAGATCACAATTATTTAATCAAAATTTAATGTAGAGATAGTATGAGTATCAATCTGTGCCCAGAGTTGTTGTTCTTTTCCCTCACATACACCTCTATGTGCAATGTAGTAAAGCTTATATATGAAAAAAAAAAACAATTTATAAACAAATATGTCAGAGAATGAATTCCCTTGAAGCTTTTAATATCTTTTTTTACAAGAATCATATAAAATCTGATACATTGACTCAGGTGAAACATCAACACTGGGTAGCGATTGTATATACGTGTATGTATTTGTTAGTCATTAATTATAGTAAATGTATTATATAATTATTTTGGCTTCATGTAAACTAATCCTTTTCTTGAACAGGACCTGGTTAATATATTTGGAGGCTTTGTGAATTGGAGTGATGAGTTGGAAAAGAACATGTAGGTTAAAGGAATCATTCACCATGAGTACCTTTCTCTATGGTTCTCTATAGAAGATATAACGTATTTAAGCTTTGGTTTATAAAGATATTGTAACATGTATTTGGATTTTTGTACAGATTTGACATACGTTTAATGAAGGAAGGCAGAATGAAAGGACAGGCCTTTGTCACCTTTGCCAGTGAAAAGTCAGCTTACAAAGCTCTTAAAGAAACAAACGGCTTTGTGCTGAATTCTAAACCCATGGCAGTGGTAAGTGCACCCTGCTGACTGAAAATATGAAGCCGTCTATATTTAATAGTACTTCTGATCCAAAGACTCAAAGAGCTAAGCTATGGCCATTTGTGCAGTGTGTGTCAACTTTTTGAAATGTGGTCCATATCTCAAGAACCCCTGGGCCAAGTTTTGTCAAATTTTTCGCAGAGTATTCTTAGTCCAAGGGCTTTAAATGCTATAAAATAGGGATGTGGCCCTTAAACAAAAGGAAACAATTAGGAAAATAAAAACAAAAGTAGTGGTTGTTAAAAATATTCTCTAGAACCATTGGGCAGATTAGCACCAAACTTATGCCTAAGGATGATGATATTTTGTAGATTAAAATTTGTTCAAGGCATCACCCTGGGGCAACGGGCATGGTCTTAAGGTCACTTCAATGTTGACCTGAAAAGATCTTTTGTTAAAACTATGATGTTTTGCCCACTTTAAGGACTATAATCATCAAATCTTAGGACATCATGTTATGTTGAATCAAAGTGGGTCACTGACTTACCTTTTGAATTTTACAGGTATTCATTTTCAAACAGATTTTGATGCATATCTGGACACTTTGAAGCCTGTGATCATCAAAACTTGTACATGCATCAAGGGGCCTTAAAGTGTAACAACAAAAAAGTCACTGTGACCTACTTTCTGAATTTTATGGCTAATCATTTAAAAAAAAGCTTAGAATCATCAAGCTAAAACAATTGATGTATCTTAGGTTCTAAAAGTGTGTTTGCCAAAAAGTAGGTCACCATGACCTACTTTCCAAATTATATCTAAATATCTTGGATAGGCTTAAAATCATTAAACTTTGTAAGTTGATGCATCTTATATCCTCGGAGTGTTTTAATCAAAAAGTAGGTCATCTTGACCTATTTTTGGAATTTCACACTTTTTTCTGAATATTCAGCACTCTAAGAAGCTTAGAATTATCAGATTTAGTAGGCTGATGCATCTTACATTAATGGAGTGTGTTGGCTAAAAAATTTTGGAATTTTATACCCGGTAGTTGAATCTCAATATTTAAGCTTAGAATCATCAAAGTTTGTTAGGTGATTCACTTGGTTCCTGGTATGATGTCAACCAAAAAGTAGATCACTGTGACCTCCTTTTGGAATGTCAAGGCTATATCTAAATATTTCCATTAAAAAGGGGCTTAAAATCATCAAACTTTGCCAGATGATGCATCTTGGGTTCTCCAAGTGTGTAAACCAAAAGTAGGTCATGGTGATCTTCTTTTGGAATTTCAAGCCTTTATCTAAATATTTAGGATTCTAAGAGGCTTAGAATAGAAATTACAGAGTTGTACAATTTACCAGGAGAGCGATTCTAGACCCTGGAGACTCTGTTACATTAATAATTTAATATTCATATATAGCAATTTGCAAGATCAGCAAAGGCAAAGGAACCCAATGAGAAGTCTTCAAAGAAGTGATGTCAGGAAAAAGTTCAAGCTGAGACTTTCTTAAAGGTCAGAGTAATTGGAAGAAAAACACACCAAGATTAAGTTTAATGGCAGCAGGAATGGCACCTGGACTGTGATGTACATGTTCTGCCATGCAACAAAGGGTGAACAGGATTTCAGAGAATTTTAAAATTGTAAATTCTCTAACCTCTTCTTGAGCTTGATGCTAGTAACTGAAATATGAATTAACATCTGATAAATACAAGCTTTAAGAGATTGTTTCTGGAATCATGAAACCCACCAGTACATTTGCAAATTTATTGTAAAGTTTAAATATGTTGTTTCATTTTGATTTTCAGTACACCTGGAATAAAATTATACAGAAAAATTATTTTTTGTATCCTTAATTATTTAATTCAGTCTGTTGGTGAACATTTTTATCCTACTCATGGCGGATAGTGTTTGTTCTGTCTGCCTCCATAACTCCACATTCCCTCCTTTCATCTGTCACACTTTACCTTGAATTAGAGTTTCAAAGATACTGTTACACATTTCTTTTTTTTCAAACTTAAACATTGAGAAGTATTGGTAAGAACAACCATGTCATAAATTTCTGACCTTGACCTTCCCTATGACCCTTATTCTCATTACTCCCCATTTTGTGTTTATCTTAGTTTCATAATAACAGTTCAATAGGTTTTCTTCAGACTTTATACACTGATGCAAATTGATAAGAACAGTTCAATTGTGTCATCATTTTATGTCCTTGACCCTCCTCCTTAAGACCTTGAACTCTCTGTTCCTCATTTTACATTTACCTTAGTTATGAACAATTTATTTTATCAAACTTATACACTAAAACAAATTGTAAGAGCAATTCAACTGTATCATAAAACTGTATTTTATGACTTCGACTTCTCTATGACCTTGAACTTTATTTGTCAAGAAATTTTTATCAAACTTCATTAGGTTATACATATCTCTGTGAGAACAATTCAAATAAGTTGTAATTTCTTGTAATTTTGATCTTTCTTATGATCTTAATCTTTTTTATGACTTTAAACTTCACCTTTCAAGATAATCAAACCTCATTCAAAATTACATGTACATATAGGTTACAGTAATTGTTTCATCAACCTTGACCTCTCAATGATCTTCACCTCCTAATCCCCTTTGTTTGCCTTTCTTTCAAATAAACTATGCAAGACATTTTCATCAAACTTCATACACTACCAACCTGTGAAAGCAATTCAACAGTGTTGAAATTTCCTATGTCCTTGATTTCACTTTTCATTTAATTCTTTGATCATCTTATTGCATTCCATAAAGGATTACTTGAGAGATCATAAAAGAAGACTACATACCATCCTACAACAGGCAGGAAGACAACAACTGTACAAAAGGTATCAGTTCTATACATATGAGAATTATTATAGTGATAGGGGTGTCCATTCGTATGTCTGTCTGTCTATCCCTTACACTTGGGGATACCCATCTCTTACTAGCAACCCCTCCCACACCACACAATAAAATTTAAAGAGACTTTCGAAGAATCTTTATTACATTGTGCAATTGTGCACCTCCTATTTCACATTTTGATCAGACATATATTTGGCCTTTCCCATAGTAAAACATGGACTAAGCCATACTTGTATTAGAGCTGGGGTATCATTTTGTGAGTTCAGTATACAAGGTAACTCTATTTTCTTCTTTCATCACATTTTACTTGTAGCTAAGACTAAATTAAATAGGGTACAATTGCTGCTTTGTTGACAAATTTCCATCTCATCAGAGGCTTCTAATTAATACAGTTGAACTTGGATATCTCGAACACTGATATCTTGAGTACCATGGATATGTCGAGGTGATTTGGAAGTCCTTACCACTTATTCTTTAAGTATTTTACCCTGATATCTCGAATCCTCGGGTATCTTGAAATTTTTCTTGGTCCCATCTAGTTTGAGATAACGAGGTTTGACTGTACTTTATTCCTTAACCCATTACAGACAAAAAGTCCAAGACAATATAATTTACATTCATAAATTTATTGTCTGGTGTATTCTTCAAACTGACATAATAAATCACATGATTTTTATAGAATACTTATGTTCTTACACAAGTATACTTATATCACTAAAACACAATACATAATTGCCTACATGGCACACATAAAACAGCTAATTAAAGGTGCGACATCAGATCAGCATCACAGAACATTTGGCATGGAATCTACATGAATCATAATAGCCATAATCTAATGTCAAACTCCAATTTTACCTCATCAGTAATCTAAAACCTATCTGAAGTGACAATAAAATGCTTGTATCACATCCTCTTGTCTATAAATATGTTTAAGCACACTCTTGCAGACTAATTTTATTACTATGGATTATCATAAACTCTCGTCACTCTCTGCAGCATGTAACTGAAATTCTCCTGAGGCCTCGTCAACATGCTCCTCCATCGGTAATAAAACTGTAACAACAAAATTAATCATCGTGAGCATAAAAATCACCAGAAGATGTACAGAGGAACTAGATATAAATATTTGTTCTACCAGAGACATAAATAACAGAGATTTGTAACTCCCCCATTAATGTATTTGTGATGCAGCAATTACCCTTTAGTGGCTGTGTATTTCAGTCTAAATTTAAATTACTAATTAAATAAATTTTATTTAATACATATGGGTGTATGATTTTTAAAGCTTTAAAACTATATATTGATTACTAAAAGCAAAGTGGGCAAATTAAAGTGGTCAGAGATCAGAAGTTGGGGAAATCTTGGAGACAGGGACAACCATGGGCCACATGTTGGTATTTCAGATTTCTCCTTTGTTATTGTATTAATAAACATACAAAAATATAACATGTGAATAGTTTGTTGATATGAATAAAAATGTTTTACTTTATTCCCACTGATAATTGTAAAGATTTAAGTGATTTAAATGGCACAAAAATTGGAAAAAGTCAACAATATGGCTTGCAAGAAATCATGAGATTTGGAACAGTTGCAAATCTATTACTTTTGTCTCTGGCTCTACACATTATCTTATCTCTTCTTTAGGGGAGAGATTAACAAGTCCATACACCTCTCTCTCAAAATAAATTATTATTTAATTACTTCTTTGAATATACAAAGATATACATTAAACAAAATTTTCCTTTGCATGAGAGAAATCTTTTGGAGAACCGATAATCATGAGTTTGTTGGCATGAACTTCAACTTATTCCATATCAAAAAAAAAATTTTAAACCTGAAAACCTGCCAAAAATATTTGCTGGAAGGGAACCATTGTTTACAGTTATCAAAGTAGACATGTTGACAAGCTTAGAGAGCGGGTTTATTTCAGACTGACCTGAATCATCTATTTGAGAGGAGGCCTCATCCTCGTCTGTGGCATAACGTTTGTCAATGGCTTCCTTGATTTGGTTATTTATTCCCTTTGGATCCAGCTCCATAGCCCAGGAAAAGTTCATTAGGGCCAAGTGGGTGTTTCCTAGCTTTTTGTGCACCTAAGAAATACATGTACATGTAATTTAAATCAATTTATTTTGATACAACTAGTGGAAAATACTTTTGTACACTGAAATGTCACATTATAATGCTAATACTCTGGACAGAAGATAAATCTAGTGTTTTGTTACCACATACTCTTGTAGAAAATAAAATGTACAATGTAATGATGTAACACTCTTCATGATAATGGATAATTTTAGGTTATAATAAAACAACTGAGAGAATACAAACGTTTACGTGAATGATATTTAGCTAAAAACTGCTCTCATTGCATAGTTTAATTATTTCAAGATCAATCTGTGAATTTACTGGATTGATTTTCCAGGGAAAATGATGCTAAAGACAAGAAAATCAGAATAACATTATTCGAGTGAATTGAGAATTTGACCAAAGGTTACCTTTCCAATGAGGAAGTAGACAAGAGATTCTTTGGGAACAATCTGTTTTAAATGCTCTAGTTCAGTCAAGGCCTCCTAAATAAAAACATTAAGGATTAAAACCACAGCTCAAATTTTCATAACAATTTTCCCTGACACACATTTACATGATCATAATTCTATTCCAGGCTATTTCTTGGCAATATATACCTGTACCTTATGTTTATCGCTGGAGAAGAGGATTGAAGCTCTGTGGAATCTACATAGAGGGTTTTTAGGCTCTATAGAGATAGCATTATTCAATGTTATCAATGCCTTCTCAGATTTCTGTTGAGCATGTTGAACCTGCAATATATGTTATATTTTGGTCAAATTCAATATGAAAACTTCTACAGGTGTATACATGATCAGTCAAAACTTTAGGATAAACTATCAATAACTGTGGATAATGCGGTGATGGACTTACAACTCCTATATGACACAGCAGGGCTGGACTTTTCGGGTTAATACTGAGAGCCTTTCTAAAGTGAACTTCAGCCAGACTAAATTTCTCTTGTTTTTGGTAAATCATTCCCACACCATACCTGTATATTATACAAGGAAGTATGCATACATGTTCATGTAAATTCAGGGGTCGAAATTAACGGGAAATACTCGCTAAATGCGAATTAAAAACAGAAATTGCGAGTTAAAAGAGACCTGCGGTCGCCAACTTTTGCGAGTAAGAAAAAAACCGGACTTTTTCGGATTTTTTTTCCGATTTATTCCACGGATGTGCTATTAGCATTGCCTCACAATCGGGACTACCATTTTTGGGGGTCGGACTAGTGATTTTAAGCACAGAGGTAGCCCCTCGGGCTTGTAAAAATTAAAATTACCCATGTAATACATGAAAAGCACTACAGGTATTTCTATTCACTTTTTTTGCTGTTTTAAAATTATTTACGATCACGTAATCAACTAGAGGAAAAGTGTTATGTGATTTTCCAAAAAAAAAAAATGTATTTCCAGTGTATTTGATGATTTCAGATGAAAAAAAAAAGATTTTTTGCTTCAATTTAAATGAGCTAGTGCAATGACCAAATTGAAAGGAAGATAATATATTTTTAAAATCATTTTTTTTTAAATTTTCAATCATAACTATTGATTTATATATGATTCAATTTTTCTAGTGATAATTAAACTTAATTTTAAAAAGAATTATCTTTAATAAGACCCTGACTTTTTCCATGATAAAATATATTTTTCATTCATTGTTAGTTAATTGTTACTTTTCCCCCCTACGTTTGAGCTACATGTAATAGCTTTTTTACTTGGAGCTAGTGATTTTATTGCTGCCACTAGTCTGTGGGCTAGTGCTTCAATTTTTTAATTGCACACCCTTGTATTTGTTCAGATTTCATCTTGTTTAAAACAATCTAAATTAACACACAAATTGTAAATTAGTTTTCTATGAAATTATTCAAATAATTCCTATGTTCATTATTATGTGAAGAAAAAAATGCTAGTGAAAGTTTAATATTGCTAGTAAAAAAAATTTCCACTAGCTAAAATTTGCTAGTGGTCAAAAAAGTTAATTTCAATCCCTGAAATTATCACAAAATAAAATGGAGATGTGTCGGTACTTTAAAAAGATGTAATTACCATGCGTTATAATGCCTGGGATCTACCCGAATGGCATTCCTAAAACATGACATGGCTTTGTCCAACTCCTCAGTAAAAACATACTCATGACCTAGAAGTGTGTAAGCATAGGCAAAACCACTGTCAATCTGAAAATAAGAATTATATTTTATAAGAAAACAAAATACTATACTCATGTTAAGAAATTGTTCAAGGCAATACACTCCCCTTATAAAAGGAATCCCAGTGGGTGAAGTATGCATGAGACGATACCAAAAGGAAGATTATATATATGTACCAAATAAGCACTATAATATGGACAGATACACGTGAAAAATAAAAGTGATGTAGTTGCTGCATAGAACAAGGATGATAATATGCAACCTAAAAATATCCCTAAGCTTCTTTAAATCCTGTTCTCTTTACCTGTATGGCTCGTTGGAAAAATTTAATTGCTGTATCGTGTTCTTTTTGTAAACTAAAACAGTTTCCAGTAACACACCAGGCCTGAAACACATTTAAATATTAAAAATACTAATTCAGTTCAAGATGCTAACATTTTCTTTAAAAAGAGTTTATCTACAAACTATTTATCAACACTTTTGTTGAACAAGCTATATGTGAACAAGCCACATGTACATGTACCCTTAGAGATGAGTAAATCTGAGCAATGTTCTTACCTGTGGAGAGGTTTTGTCCAGATCTGATAATTCTTGTGCCAGTGACGACAGCTCCACCTCTTTCTGCAGGTGCCACAATGTCGTGCTGTAAATCTCCATGCCCTCAAAATAGTATGGTTCTTGTAACCTCATATCAGAAAAATACTTTTCTGCCTGAAGATAATAACATGAGATCAAGTCATTGAGGGGAATGTTCATTGTTAAACTACAGACTACATCTTCTGTATGTACATAACAGTGACCATAAAAGCAGTGGCCAATAACTCCAACATAATACACACCTGAGAATAATCAGCCAATTCAAAGTATGCCCTGCCAATCTTACTTCGAACAAAACCAGTGTTATATTGATGTAAAGGCAGTTCTTGAAATGTCTCTATAGCTCTTTTACACTCGTACTGTGAAAGTGACTGAATAGCACGTCCAATGCATTGTAGGAGGTTTAAAATACCCGCTGTAAAAACATTCAAAATTAAATTATACTAAAAACTATAGTTCCTATCACAGGTGTAACAAATCACATCAGCATCAAAAAAATTTAGGAGTACAAAAATAACACACATGCCCTAGGAACTGGGGGGGGGGGAGGGGAATGCCCCCCTTAATAATTTTGCCGATATGTAGAATACTATAGAAAACATAGATACCATATGCTTGTGCCCCCTCAATAATAATGTCTGATAACCTTTTTTTTTGGCTTGTCAAGGAATTTCTGGTAGTTGATAGTCCCCCCCCCCAAACTGAATATGTATGGTATGTGCCCCCCCCCCCCCCTCTCAAACTGAAATTGCTTCCAACAGGCCTGACACATACACACAAACATAATTCATACTCACTAAGTGACTGTTGCTGCATGTGAAAAATTTCTGTCTGAGTTGGAGCATCAACACTGCTGACAGGTTTAACATCCAGTTCTGGTTTTCTCTCTATACTCAGTTCTTGAGATTTTGTGTTCTTTGTTTTTGATTTTCTTCCAAGTGCTCGGGTTGACTGAAACCTTGATTTATTTCCCTGGCTTTTGTTATTTTCCTGAAAATAAGTGAGGATATCAATGATTTCAGTTTCATGTAAATATCTGACAATCCTAATAGTCACTGAAACCCTGACTGACCTTAACAGAACTGGAGTTATTACTACCAAACAATCGGGAACTTCTTCTAACAGGAGGTGGATTGTTCTGAATTCTGAAATAACAAATACATGTATCATTACTAAGCTGCCTTAAATATACATGTAAATGAATTTGATAAACAGTCAGTAAAATACTTACCCTACAGCGGGTTCTCGTGAGTTGTTAGAAGCTGTTGTTAGTTCTCTCGTATTATTAGTTCCATTGTTTACATTAAAAACAGGTGGCTTTATCAGGGGAGCATTCTGAGTTCTCCTTGTTACTGGCTGTTGGATTAAAACAATCTAGATTACAAGATCTGTGTTCTTAAAAGTTTAAAAGAATAGTTTCCTTTTAAGGTTAAGATTCCTTTTAACAAAGAACAAGAGGCCCATGGGCCACATCGCTCACCTGAGCACATTGGCTAGGAAAAAAAGCAAAAATCAGTACAGTATTGAAAAAATTACAGGGAGGGGGGTGTTGAATTTTAAACTACCTGATGATGCTTTCATATCAATATAACAAATGGCTTTGTTGTTCTTGAGCAGCAGATTTTTTCCCAATATATTCATTTGTAAAAATTTGATCCCCCATTGTGGCCCCACCCTACCCCCGGGGGCCCTCATTTGAACAAATTTCATTCTACACTACCCAAAGATGCCTCCATATCAATTTGACTAATCATGGCTTTTCTGCTCTTGAGAAAAAGACTTTTTCCTATATATTCCTCATTGTGGCCCCAACCTATCCCCAGGGTAATGATTTGAACAAACTTGAATCTACACTACCTGAGGATGCTTCCATAAAAATATGACCAATCATGGCTTTGCTGTTCTTAAGAAGAAGATTTTTAAAGATTTTTTCCTATATATTTCTATGTAAAACTTGGATCCCCCATTGTGGTCCCACCCTACCCCCGGGGGTCATGATTTGAACAAACTTGAATCTACACTACCTGAGGATGCTTCCATATAAATATGACCAATCTTGGCTTTACTGTTCTTAACAAGAAGATTTTTAAAGATATTTTCCTATATATTTCTATGTAAAACTTGGATCCCCCATTGCGGCCCCACCCTACCCCCGGGGGTCATGATTTGAACAAACTTGAATCTACACTACCTGAGGATGCTTCCATAAAAATATGACCAATCATGGCTTTACTGTTTTTAAGAAGAAGATTTTAGAGATATTGTCCTATATATTTCTATGTAAAACTTTGATCCCTCATTGTGGCCCCACCCTACCCCTGGGGTTATGATTTGATCAAATTTGAATCTTCACTACCTGAGGATGCTTCCATATAAATATGACCAATCATGGCTTTACTGTTTTTAAGAAGAAGATTTTTAGAGATATTTTCCTATATATTTCTATGTAAAACTTTGATCCCTCATTGTGGCTCCATCCTACCCCCAGGGGTCATGATTTGAACAAACTTGAATCTACACTACCTGAGGATGCTTCCATAAAAATATGACCAATCATGGCTTTGCTGTTCTTAAGAAGAAGATTTTTAAAGATATTTTCCTATATATTTCTATGTAAAACTTGGATCCCCAATTGTGGCCCCACCCTACCCCCAGGGGTCATGATTTGAATAAACTTGAATCTACACTACCTGAGGATGCTTCCATAAAAATATGACCAATCATGGCTTTACTGTTTTTAAGAAGAAGATTTTAGAGATATTGTCCTATATATTTCTATGTAAAACTTTGATCCCTCATTGTGGCTCCATCCTACCCCCAGGGGTCATGATTTGAACAAACTTGAATCTACACTACCTGAGGATGCTTCCATAAAAATATGACCAATCATGGCTTTGCTGTTCTTAAGAAGAAGATTTTTAAAGATATTTTCCTATATATTTCTATGTAAAACTTGGATCCCCAATTGTGGCCCCACCCTACCCCCAGGGGTCATGATTTGAATAAACTTGAATCTACACTACCTGAGGATGCTTCCATAAAAATATGACCAATCATGGCTTTACTGTTTTTAAGAAGAAGATTTTAGAGATATTGTCCTATATATTTCTATGTAAAACTTGGATCCCCCATTGTGGCCCCGCCCTACCCCCGGGGGTCATGATTTGAATAAACTTAAATCTACACTACCTGAGGATGCTTCCATATAAATATGACCAATCCTGGCTTTACTGTTCTTAACAAGAAGATTTTTAAAGATATTTTCCTATATATTTCTATGTAAAACTTGGATCCCCCATTGTGGCCCCACCCTACCCCCGGGGGTCATGATTTGAACAAACTTGAATCTACACTACCTGAGGATGTTTACAGATAAGTTTCATCTTTCCTGGCCCAGTGGTTCTTGAGAAGAAGATTTTTAAATGATGCCATTATTTTTTCACTAATTCCTAATTATCTCCCCTTGAAAGAGGGCGTGGCCCTTCATTTGAACAAACTTGAATCCCCTTTACCCAAGGATGCTTTGTGGCAAGTTTGGTTGAATTTGGCCCAGTGGTTCTTGAGAAGAAGATGAAAATGTGAAAAGTTTACAACAACAACGCCAACGCCAACGACAACAACGACGACAGACAACGGACAAATTTTGATCAGAAAAGCTCACTTGAGCCTTTGGCTCAGGTGAGCTAAAAAAGGTTAAAGGTTAAATATACTTAAAGTTTGATTTAAAAGTTGTAGAAAATAATATGAACAGGCACTTTTTTCCTGCAGCTTGTGGAGTAATGTTTCATTTTTATATACCTTTTTCGGTGCTTGATGGTCTGTCTGGCAGTTGATGGGAGGGGAAGGGGTTAAAAAGGGTAACTCTGCACACGGCCGATCAGTTGACGGAGTAATAGGAAGAAGACCAAAACTACAAAATCAGATGGCTATGTCTTAAAAAACACAGCATAGATAAAGTAATACTGTAAAAGTGGATACTGTATACAGGGTTATTTTCGCCCCGTGTTATTTTCGCCCTTTCACACTTGCAAACAGGTTTGCCCCGTTTTAAATTCGCCCAGTCATAGTTTTGTTTAAGAAATAATACTGTACTCCTTTAATTTGCCCCGTTTTAAATTCGCCCAAATGAGGGTAGGGCGAAAGGGGCGAAAATAAAACGGGGGCGAAAATTTCCCTGTTTACAGTATATTGAAGGGTTGAGAGTTTGACGATTTCGATCTATTACAAAAATGGTGAGTGGAAACTTTGATGATATACTAGTATTTAACAGTGCTCTTTAACAGGAATGTGAAAGTTGACACGTGGAAACTTTGAGGACTATTAGAAATTCATTAATTTCTTCGTTTTCACACTGGAAAAGTTTCCACTTTCGCAGTATACATTTTCTATATACTAATTTTTAATCTATAATAATGTATATTTAATAATAATATTTTCTATAATGTACATTTTCTATATAAATGCCAAAAGCAAGTATGAATCCTGAAGTACTATTTTCTTACTGTGAAGTTACTACATCAAATCTGATCACACTTACCTAGGTGTGAGAGGACTATGAAACAGTGTTTTCTGAACGGACTGATCACTGACCAGCACATTTTCTGTACGAGGCTTTACTTTCTTTTTTGTCCTTGGGCAACCAAAGATATTGGCAGGTGCCTCCTCCAGGAAATTTTCAGGGGTAACTGACACCTGGGAGAGAGTATGTGGCTGGGGCTGGGGGGTCTGGAAAATAAAGTGACAATCTTAATATGGTAATAATACATTTTTGTTCAACTCAATGATGATTCTACCTTATGTGCCATGAATGGAGCACTTAATACATGTAAATTAATGACAATATGGATGACTATGCCATACTTCTAAAACATTTGTGTCCACTTCCGTACAAGCTTGAGAGCTTTCTGACACTGGAGTAAGGACCTCGGTGACCTTGAGAACAGGGTTGGGAGCCTTGACTGTAGTGGGCATGGTCACTACACTGGGAACCTCTGTCAACTGCATGACTGGAGTGGACTGACTCTGGGCAGGAACTTGAAAGACTTGACATGGATCAGATTTGTCACCTGTTTATTGATAGAAAATTTAAAGTCAACATGTTTTCTGATTCATAGTTATTTAACAAACTCTGTTAATTTTTTTTTTTTACTAATTAAACATTATTGAAGAATACTATTCCTGATTTAAAGAAATGAAACAGATATAATTTTCCACCTGTTTTTTTTCACTTAAATTCAAATTCAGTATATCTTGATTCTTATTCATGATTATACATACATGCATGTGCTTTCAGTTTGTTCTAAAAATTCTTAACAAACGTTTTCTGAGTGCAATATGTTGTATGCAAGTTAAATAATTTCTTAAGGGTTAGTCCTAAAGCTTACCTAGTGAACATAACCTTTCAAAAGCTGACCACAACAGTGGATTTAACTTGAGAGACTTCTTATAACACTCCACAGCTTTTGAAATTCTCTCTGTTTTACTGAAACAAATACTATCCATGAACATAATTTCTGTTAAATAATAGATAAATCAGATTAACAGAGTGTCTGGAGACTTTTACACTTACCTAAAAATAGCACCAAGAATAGAAAGAGCATGACATGACATGCTACCAAACTCTGTCTCAATCTCCTCCACACTCTTAGCTTTAGAAAATATATTTCCCGTTAAAACTTCCTCAGCTTCAGATAACCTGAAAATTGTCATGATTCAAATTTAATTATCAAAAAAAATTATAACAATGCTAATCTAATTTTTTTTGCATTTTTTTGTCTATTCTTTTTCCTAAGGAGCATAGTAGGCATATTTAGGATGCCTTGTTGCAATCATACTTTCTGCATTATTGAATGCTTACTCAACTAGTGCACTGTATGGTACAATGTAAAATCAATTTTTTTTTGTGGGGTAAAATTTTCATGGATTGAGGGGGAACAAATTGGTTCATAAGGATTTAATCTAGATGTTGAAGAAAAACATGATACTGTAGTTTGCAATTTTAAACTTTTCATGGAGGACATGGATTCGTGGGTTTCGTTGTACCAGGAAAAGCAACGAAGATTAAACCCTCATGAAAATTAGTGATTTTACAGTATCTTTATATTTATCTAAACAAAATAGGACATGTAAGCAACTTACTTTCCAACGTCCATACAACAGCGAGCCATGAGGTATTTACACTGGGGGGTGGGGCAGCCTTGTTTCTGGAGTAAACCATAGGCCTGCATTAACTGTCCAGCTCTGTAGTAACATGTGGCTAGCAGGTACAGGGCTTCATTGTTTGATACTGTGATGTCAACAGATATTACACATTAGATGTCAACTTATATCAGATATTACACGTCTTTAAATATCAATATTATATTGGCTATTTGAAACATTCAGTAATGTGTCTACTGAAATTCAACCATTTTTAGCAGAAGTAAAAACTGCTAATTGTACAGAAATGCATATCTTCCAGTGAAAATTCTCAAATGGGACATAAAACAACATACAATAAGATAGATGTAGATGTATATGTTTACAACTTGTTAGTTGTAAATGTGCTCTGGATATATTATTCACCTAAGTTATGAAGAACTTGCTAATTATATACTGTATACAGGGTTTTTTCACCCCGCCTTATTTCCGTCCTTTCACACTTGCAAACAATTTAGTCCTGTTTTAAATTCATCCAGAGACAGTTGTGTAGAAAAGATTTTGTTTTCTTTAAATTTGTCCATTTAATATTCGCCCACTTGCAACCAGGGCAAAAGGGTCAAAAATAAAATGGGGGTGAAAATTTCTCTATGTACAGTAAATGTATTTATTATCCACCTTTCTATACCAAGTAACTTTGCAAAGCTTACAGATGCTAAAATAATAACTGGAGTTTGAAAATAAAATGTCATGTGTTCTCTCTCTCTCTCACTCTTTATTATTATTATTATATTGTTCAGAACCCTCAGATAAAGGCCAGTTAGATAATAACAAGAATCAATACTTACACCTCACTTACATCTACATAACAAATAGTCAGACAAACAGAATAAAGACCTACCTTCAGCATAAAGTCTCTCTGCCAGGAATATTGCATCAGCATAGGCATAATGATTTAATGAATCCCATATAGCAGCCTACAAAACATAACATTATATAATATACATAGCTGATCATTGGTATACTGAAATTTAATGGACAAATTGTTTCATGATGCTTAATATGACTTCCTCTTCCTAACTTGAAATAATGTACAATGTATCAGAATTAATCAGACTGTCTCTTACAATAGGAACATTACAGGAAATACAAGTTGGCTTGTTAAAAACAGGTTATAAATTAATTCTACAATTACTTTATCTACATACACAAATTTGAAACATTAAAAGAATGTGAAAGTGTGTGATATTTTAAACCTCACATGTTTAGATACAGTTGGATTAAGCAAATTGTTCAAAATTTCATCAGATCTTTTTCCATTTATCTTGTTTGTGGGAACTTAAATGAATAAGTCACAATTTATTTCTACGCAGTATTTTGGTTTTTGTCTGAAGTATTGTGAAAGACCATTGCATCATGTGTGTGATTAACATCAAGTCAAATTCAGTGTATCAAAAGGAATGCAAACAGCTGCGGCTGCCTATTTTTTTTTTTTTTTTTTTTTTTTTTTTTTTTTTTTTTTGATCTCTTGTCATTTCTTTCACTTTGTTAAAATTTCAACTGTGAGGCATATTAAATATGGCTTTATAAAAAACTGGAATAGTTGCTACAAGCTGCATGCTAAAGGCTCTAAATATGCACATTTACCAGAAAAACAAGAAATGGGAACCAATATCTAGCACACATTAATTTTCATGGGACTGATTAAACAACTTTTATACATGTATTCCCTTAAAATACTGTAAAACAACTATAATTTGCGACATCGACAGTTTGAAATCCAACTGCAACTACTAATTTTCGCAATTGAGAAAACATTCACATAAATTATACACAGGTAAATAATTGATTCACGGCAAGAAATATTTGTGAGTAAAAGGAAGATTGTGAAACTCACAGATATTTCTTGCATGCAAATAAAAGCTGGTTTACAGTAATTGTTATTTTAATTACATTTCATGTTTCTAGATAATGTTTATGGAGGACAATATCTGATTAATAGTAACAAATTCATAACAATACATGTATCTCCCTTATAACTGCAATTGGGACATGTGTATAATGTATAGCATCAGAAACATGATAGACAGTCTGTACTGGACACAGTTATCACTGCATTTGTTCTCTTTCCAGTACTATAGATTCCTTTTGATAGACACAATTTTATCAAGACTTATTACCCGTTAACTGCCATATTGGAAGATTCCTTCCAACCAATTTAAACTTGTCATACTGGGCATTCTGGTGTGGATGACATTGTTTTTCTGATGAATATACATTTGTGAAAGCCTCTTTTAATTCATAATTTTAATATTGTAAAGTTTTTTTCTCTTAAATTTTTGCCATACATGTTTAAAATTGGTTGACCCAAGGGAAGAATTCATCAGTTTTACCTCCAAGATGGTGGCCAAGGAATAACTCAGAGGGAAAATAAGTCATACAAAAACTATCTATACCAGGGATTTTTTTAGGGTCTCTCCGGGGCCGAAATTCGGCCCCATTCCCAATGCTGAAAAGTGCATGTTTTTCCCAAAATTATAACTAAAAATTCCCAATATGAAAAAAGTATTAAGTTGTAAATTATTAAAATAAAATAATGACAAAAAGGTGTTTATGTCCTCTATGTGCGATGTACGAGCCATCTGAGGAGTTCCGAAAAGTTATTCAGAATACTACAGATGTTGCATGCATACTTTTTAAAGCGGGATCGATGTTTAAAAATTAAAGTCGGGATCGTTAATTAATAAATAAACGTGCATCATGTCAGTCTCGCCAGTTTGCCTAGGGCGGTAATTTTCAGGCTGTGTTGAATCACTCTTATTCTTATAAATTAGTCAAACAATACCAATTAACCACTCATCTGGAACAAACCCACTATCAAATTTTATTTTAAAGAACTTATTATGTAAAGGTAAAAAAGATGACAACGTTGTATAAAAGTGTTCATTTTACAATGTTATTATACCCTGCGGCTTTACCATTTTTAAGGTCCTGAACAGTCTCTATTATTTCATATCACTAAAGCTGGTTTAGGCCAGCTTCATACTATAAAAAAATAAGAAAAAATATTAAATATTTGTCTTTTGCTTGTTTTTATTTGTATGAAGATATTTTCCCCAATTTTAACGAAATATCGCTATTTTTCCCAATCTTGACGGCCCCGGCCCCTGGAATCAGAGGGTAAAAAAATCCCTGTATACTGAATTTTGGGTCTTATTCAACCTGAATCAGTGTAATAAATGGAATATATTCTTTAAAAAATGTTTTATATCAGACAAACCAATGCGAATGCTTTTGTTTTATCCAATGTAATATAGTGTTTTTCAATCCTATTTTGAAATCAGCCTTTCTCATCCATTTTGGGAAGAATTTTACACTGAAATTTTAAAACACATTTTGGAATATACTGTGTGTGTACTTAAAAAGTGGGCTTCATATTTTAGCGGCTGTGGCGCAGACAACAATGCACTAATTCATGAATACTGCTAAGAAATCATTTATAAATACAATATACGGCAAGGACATGTATAGCGCTAATTCATGATTTCACCAACAACTCCATACCCAGTGGTTGCACTAAATTTTGAATATGCCAATTTATTTACATGTACAGTATCTTAATTTTGGGGAAAAAATAACCCCATTTCCTACAGGAAACTGTCTCCATTTGGCTGTGATTCTGGTTCATAAGAAACACTGGTAACATACTAGTCATAATTAGGTGTATATATTATTTATCTCCCTTCATTAACAAACTAATTATTAGAGTGTGCGATGCTGATTAAATTGAGACATGCAAGCTATCTTATAGTCTTATAACTTACAAACCACAGTATCAAATATGGTTTATTATTGCAATATGAAAACCTCAAATAACTTATACTGAAGCTTGATGTATTATAAGTTAACCTATAGCAACCTTCAAATTGTGTTTTGTTAACCTATAGCAACCTTCAAATTGTGTTTTGTAAATTACTATTACTTTAATAACCGTAAGACTTGCTCAATTTTCTGTTCTATTTTAAATTTGATAAAATAAAATTTAAAAAAATAAAGAGACTTAGCAAGTCTGTCTAAATATGGTGAAAGCACAAAGTATTCAGCACTGTTTTGCTTATATAGGAAGAAATTGGTTCTGTAGTTTTAGGGTGATACTTTGCTATAATCATGACAATATATATCTACTGTACTGCAATCATTAGTTTAATACATACATTTTGAATTCGGTATTATGCTAACAACGGGCAAAGTATCATACAGATAGATAGGTTTTATATATTTCAGGTACAAGGAGTATCTTAACAATACAGTTACCGTTGTTTATCATATGAGACTCAAATAATATCGATTCCTTTGACATCTTCAAGAAATATGAAAAATTATACACATATACACTGTGATTGGGGATTCAACAGAGATGAATTACTTCTTTTCATAAAATAAATATAATTTATCACCATGAAATATGCAGAAGAATACCTTAACTGGCTCCAATAACAACATTTTCACTTGTTACTGCTACAATCCGCCATTTATTATGGAACTTCCGAATAAATGTCACGTGACTTTCATAACAGTGAAAACCCAACTCAGACGGAGTTGCACCTATCTGCGATATGACAGGTTGTTCTAATTATGCCAAGTGATCACTTTGATGATTGTCAAATCGTGTCACGGTGCATTGATTATCTGTTTGTGGCACTTGAGAAATGTTTATGTGAAAAAAGGAAAATCACTCACATTATAACTCAATTTTCTTTCAAAATACGAAGTCCTAAATAAATAAATAAATAAATAAATAAATAAATAAATAAATAAATAAATAAATAAATAAATAAATAAATAAATAAATAAATAAATATCGATCGATCAAGAAAGTCAGTTTACAACTTTTTAACAAAGCAAATCAAGTTATATCAATGTTTATTAAACTGTTAAAGCAATATTGAACTTTCTGTAATGTTTTTGTTTTTAATATGTAAATATGTTATTTCTTTGAATAAAAGATGAATTGAATTTTTGTTGTGTGAAAGGCCCTAACACCATGGAACCTGATTAGTGCCCTAATCTTGGAGCCTAATTAGCGCCCTAATTATGGCGCCTAACAGATGTTCTAAATTTATTAGGAGTCTTGACACCTAACAATGGTCAGCGGCCCTAATACTTGGAGCCTAATGCCCTAACGGGTGCCCTAATCATGGAGCCTAATGCCCTAACAGGTGCCCTAATGACGTTAGGTGTCAGAGTATATATAAGGAGAGAGAGAGAGAGAACACACAGATAGCTTGTACTTGATATGTAAACTGCGATTGGATATTATTATACTCGTTGAAGCAAAACTCTGCTGTTGTTTGTTTTTTTTTTTATTAGATCTATAAAGTTCTATAGTTCCTAACCTAAACACGGGATCCACAATATTTTGTGACACGGGGACGTGGTGAATAGTCACTTCTTAAGGACTGGTTCCTAGAGTTACCGTCCGGAAAAAACCCGAAAAACGTCACAATTGGTGGCAGCGGTGGGATCCTAAGAAATTATTCTACGTGTTAAACAGGAACGAGACAGCACAGAGTTTAAAATGGAGACACCCATCGTAAGAATTAAGGAGAATTACGCCTAGAAAGGTAGGACAGTGCTTTGACAGTCATAGGAGTCGATACGGGTTGTAGAACAAGTTTGCAGCCCACAATTATAAGTCAAGAAATGCCAGACAATCCTAACCTTCAGGAGTTCTGGCAAAACTCGCAGGGCCTTTCTGTTCAAAACGAGTATAACCCAAAGTCAAGATTTAAGAGAATCCTATTTATCTGGGTACTCTTTGCCTTGATTGGATGTTCTCTGACGGTGACGACCTGGACCTGTTTTCCAGAAAACGAGATTGTGCAGAAATCTCAAGAAAATGCAGTAATTTCTCTGTTATTTATAACGAGTATGATATTGCTTGTTATTGTAATCAGAGTATTATGGAAGTGTGATCGAGGATCAGGTCTGCTAAATGCCAGTAATTAAAAGGAAAGGGAAATTTCTTTGATACCTAACGATACACCCTATTATGGTGGTAGTGCGCCTAATGCCCCTACAGGTACCAATCAGGAACCTAAACTCTTTGGGCAATCTGGACGCACCACCCCTGAATTGGGTTATCAGTCTCCTCAGGCAGTGGGGTACAATTTTGAATTTCCCATGGGTGATATGACACCTAGGAACAGTCCAATGATGATAGATGCTGGACAACGAACCAATGAATACCCAGTAAGAAGAACATTCTCGGGGCTCAACAATGATGTTTGGGATGAGTTTTTGCAGTATTTTGAAAATATCGCAGATATAAACTCATGGAGACCCGAGAAATCCCGCATAGTGTTGCTAAGCACCTTGCGAGGACAAGCTGAGAGCTACGCATATGGAATACCTGTTGCTGTACAGAAAGATTATGAGCAACTAAAGGAGAAAATGAATCAAAGATTCGGGCATTCTGCAATGAAAGAAAGATATATTGCAGATGTCAAATTAAGGAGAAGACTACCTGGTGAGTCCCTGCGAGATTTTGGACAGACTATCGAAGATTTATACCGAAGGGCCTATCCAGGAAATCCAGATTTAGTGGAAGAAAACGCTATAAAGTCCTTTTTAGATAAGTGTGGACAATCTGAGGAATTTCGACTAGCAGTAAAACGGTCCAGACCCAGGACACTTCAAAAAGCATGCAGTTCTTAATGCGATGCAAGAAGAATGCTTACGGATTGGGGAAAAAGAATTGTCAAAGGAGACTATACCAGACTACGGGCCTGTGTATGAGGTTGAAGACAAGGAATTAGATAATAAATTAGCAGCTGCAGATACTGCCAAACCCCCAAGCGCGGGTGACGGATTCAACGGTATCTATAAAAATAAGAGAACCCCAAGTACAATTCAATATGCAGGACCAGGGAGGAAGGGACGCCCTTACAACCCATGGTACCAGAGAGAAAAAGGAAGATTTCAACAAAGTGACAGTTCTCGAGACCAGAATTGTGTTGAAAAGGGAACTGATATTATAATTATTTAAACTGAAGATGACTGATGCCGGAGGCCAGGTGTCAGTCGATTCTAGACGGCCTATAACAAAGAAATAAAGCCCAAATCAGGAAAAGGAGAAGAGAAAATGTTGAAAACAAGGCCAGAAAAATCCCAAGACCAATGTGAAGCTACGAGTGTAACATACATGAACTTTTGATTTAATGTAGTGACATTTTATTTGATATAATTTTGATTTTAGATTTTTGTCTATATTAATATACTTGATTTTGTTTGGGTTTTGTGTAGGGCATTTTTCTAGCCAAATATTTGTACAATATTTTTGTAACTTGATTTTACATATAATTCGCGTTCATGTTTTAAATATTGATGACAGTGGAAGTCATATTTCAAAAGGGGGGACCAATGTAATGTTTTTGTTTTTAATATGTAAATATGTTATTTCTTTGAATAAAAGATGAATTGAATTTTTGTTGTGTAAAAGACCCTAACACCATGGAACCGGATTAGTGCCCTAATCTTGGAGCCTAATTAGCGCCCTGATTATGGCGCCTAACAGATGTTCTAAATTTATTAGGTGTCTTGACACCTAACAATGGTGCAGCGGCCCTAATACTTGGAGCCTAATGCCCTAACGGGTGCCCTAATCATGGAGCCTAATGCCCTAACAGGTGCCCTAATCATGGAGCCTAATGCCCTAACAGGTGCCCTAACTATGGAGCCTAATGCCCTAACGGGTGCCCTAATGACGTTAGGATATACAAGGAGAGAGAGAGAGTGAACACACAGATAGCTTGTACTTGATATTTAAACTGCGATTGGATATTATTATACTCGTTGAAGCAAAACTCTGCTGCTGTTGTTGTTGTTTTTTTATTAGATCTATAAAGTTCTATAGTTCCTAACCTAAACACAGGATCCACAATATTTTGTGACACGGGGACGTGGTGAATAGTCACTTCTTAAGAGCTGGTTCCTAGAGTTACCGTCTGGAAAAACCCCGAAAAACGTCACATTTCCATATATCTGTATTGTGTGTCATTAAAAAGAGCCACCACGCGAAACTTTAATTCATTCACTCCAAGGCCGTAACTAGGCTCAAACTTTTTGTGAGGCAAGGATTCTGGGGGCCACCCAAGTCCCAAGTGGGTCGAGGGTAGTGAACTGATGGGGGTTCTCGGGGGAGGGGGGGTCTCAAAACCTGGGTTTTATTACATTGTACATTAAAGACTTCATCTTTTGAATTTTTCACATGTTTTGAATTATTGTTTACATGCTCTCTAAACTATAACGAAGCACCTGATGAGATGATCGATTTTCAGAAATTGAAAGTTAAGTTGAAAGTATTATAATGAATTTAGTACAAAGATGCGAATAATTTCAGATCAAAGTAAAGCCATTTTCAATTTCCAGAAAACTCTAAAAAATTTAGTGAGGCATTTGCCTCACTTGCCTCTATGGTAGTTACGGCCTTGCACTCATCCTGAAAATACGATCGCGATGCATGCGGTACTGGCGTAGTATGCATTTCAAGTTGCAACGGCTATATACATGAGATTAATTACATGTATATACTCAGATCATATAGGAGGATCGACTTTTGGTCAGTTGAAAATTGACAGTCTTTCAAAACAACGTTCGATCACTCCATCCAAATTTAAATATAGGCTACATGCGGCACCCAAAGCATAACTTGTAGTATGCATCCTATAAAAGATGCAACATCAATGAATGGCATCTAAAATCACCTACCTAGCTGATCCATCTCGTAAAACAAGGTCGTAACTACCATTGAGGCAAGTGAGGCAAATACCTCACTAGAATTTTAGGGTTTTCTGAAAAGTGAAAAAAAAATTACTTTGAACTTTAATGAATGAATTAATTAATTATGTGTGTCTTTTTACTAATTTAGGCCTAATATTAAAACTTTCAACTTTTGTTTCAATTTTAATTGATCATCTCACCCTGCAGGTGCTTCACTGTCGTTTAGAATGCATGTAAAAAAAATAATTCAAAACGTGAATTTACTAAAATGCACGTTTGGGGACCCCCCCCCCCCCCGAAAACCCCCATCAGGACACTACCCTGGACCCGGTTGGCCCCCAGATCCTTGCCTCACTTAAAATTTTAGCCTAGTTACGGCCTTGAAAAATATTTGTAACACCGTGTAGAATCCAAATCAATATTCATAGCATTCATCCTTGTATGTTTTCACCATCCCTACAAGTTTAATAAAATTGGAATTATGTAGCTGTACTTTGGAATGAACCTGCTAAAGGAGTTGAACTTGATTACTTTTCCGTAAAATGTAGGTCATGATCACTTTCTTGCTGTCTTGCAGCGTTTGAAACCTTATGTAAACTTATATAGTTCTCAGTGCTTATTCCCAAACAGAGCTTGATCACAAAACCTGAAAACCCAAAATGCATCGAATGGCGAGTATTTTAGAAGAAATATAGTTTCAGCGATCAAAACTCTGTATATTCCGTGTACATCTACATCAATGCCAAAGAAAACCATGACTAAAGTGCAAGAGGAGTTCCAGCAAGCGAAACCTAGGGCCAAAGCCTTTTTGCATATTTGTAGGACATGACCAATCCCATGTGGATATAAAATTGCATTTTTATTTCATAAGTTATTTCTAATAAATAAATAAATAAATAATTAAAATAAATAAATAAAAGAAAGAAAAAGAGTAAGGCTTACGGAAGCATATCAATACCACGTAATTTTTTTAAGTTGGTAATTCCAACTTTAATGTTGGCTTTTCCAACTTTAATGTTGGTAATTCCAACTTTAAAGTTGGAAATTGGACGGACAGAAACACTAGAAGGAAGGACAGAAACTCTAGGATGGACGAGGATAAGAACGATATAATATCCGAGCTTTCTTCAGAAAGTATCCGAGTATGAAAATTATAAGACAAAAAGATTTTTTGAATTCTTTGGTGGTGGGAAGCTCTGGTGCCCTAAACGACCCAAACTGAGACAGACTCGTGGTGTCTTTAACTTCAAGTTCACAGGGATATATCGAGTCGACATATGAAGTAACTATTGTTAATTGATATTTACATTTGCAAATGTTTTCTTTTATATAAGACTATTAAAAGCAACGCGTATCTATATCCGTATAAACACGGGTTCCTCGCGTCATAAACGTTCGACGTAATTTCTCAGTCACGTCACAAAGGGTCGACGCGCAATCAAAGGATCAAACACGTGCCGTTGGGTTTGAAAAATAAAACGTTTCACGCGTTAAAGATTATAATCAGGCAAATATAAAATATGAATAAGTCACAAATGTAAATATAAGTAATAAGGTATCATTTTAAAACATCTATCGGGCTATAAATACGGGTTGGTACGAGATCAAATTTACCATAAAGCCCTTCGGGCTTTATGGAATTTGATCTCGTGACCAACCCGTATTTATATCCCGATAGATGTTTAAAAATGATACCTTATTTCTTAAATAAAACGTCGTCGATATATTTGAATGTCGAGTTGAAGGCTACAGCACGTGTTTTCTTCTTCTCATGTAGATTTTTTTTTAGGTTGTCATTTTTTTCAGACACATATATATTACCCCCTCCCCCATTTTGAAAAATGATGCTGAGTCTCTGATGATGAATGGTCAAATTTTAAAAACAAATGCATTTTCTTCAAAGTCCTTTGAAAATCATTGTAAATATTTTCAATTCATTTAACAGATTCACCAGACATCCCCGGCCTCCTAAATATTTAGCTACCTATAATACGAGCCCAGGCAGACCCGTTTACAAGTGGGAGGGATTAAAATAATCGATGCTACGATAGTGCCTCTTTGCAGTCTAGCTTTGACGAAGGCCTAAGCATTGCTTCAGCAAGGCTTTAACAACGGAGTATCCTAAAATTATAGTATGCGGCCCCAGCACGCTTTCGGAACTTTATGTCTTCACCGAGATGACTTTAAACATTACAAACATTGTTGATGTTTGACGTGGTATGCCGTGGCGTATGGTGGTTCAAATGATCCAACTTCATCTCAAGTTGCCAATGTGAGCATATGCGAAATGGATATACATTCTGAATAATCTTAGAGATGAGTGAAAATGCAACCTACGGAACGTTACAAAATGGTATTTTTGATAATCACTTTACACCGCAAACTGTCAACTGGAAATTGTTAGATCTTGTCGTCTGTATCAGATACAGGTTGTTATAATCTCTCATTATGATGACTGTAATGTCGGAAAGTGATGACGATCTACTCGCTGATGAAGGTACACCTTTTCTTGCCCAGTTCTGACCACGCCCCCTGTCTATTCAGCACTGAAAATGCATGAAAGAATGCAATCAGCATGTCATTTTGCTTTTGTTTGTTCGTTGAATATGTGAAGGAAATAGTACAGTTAGCACTCTCTGAATTTACCAGTACTTTAATTAATTAAATAATTAAGAAATTGAATTTAATTAATTGATAAGTAACAATAGTTACTTCCATTCCTGTTTCGACTCGATTTATCGATCCTGTGAACTTGAAATAAAAGACACCACAGAATCTGTGACATTTGTTTCAGATTTGGATGTTTTACTGACTAAAGACTATAAAGGTCAACTAACAACAAAATTGTTTGAGAAATGAGATGAGTTAAGCTTTTCCTTCATCAACTGTCCTTATTTATGTAGTAATATTTTGCTATGACCTGCACATGATATGGGGCTTATTTCTCCCAACTTATTCGATACTCAAAAGCATGCTCTGAGTATGTTAAATTTTAACCAAGGCAGGATGCTGACAAATAAGTTGTTGTCATGGGGATTTCAACAATCTTATTTAAGGTCATCCTTGGGTCATATTTTGACTGACATATTTCATACTAATTGTTAGGGCGCTTGTTTTATACTAAATTTGACTACAGAATATTCCAGATACCTGATCAATACAAAGGGCTCACAGCTGGTGTAACCAGTTAACAGGGGATGCTTACTCCTCCTAGGCATCTGATCCACCTCTGTAATTTCCAGGGGTCCGTGTTTTATGCCCTGTTCACAGATTTGTATTGTTTGTAGGTTTTTTTAGATTAATCACTGTTCATTTATAATCTTCATCTCTTTCATTTTTATAATGAATATAGCAATTGATTATAGGCCAACCCTATATGCACCCTGTCTATGCTATCAGAAATCTGTGTACATGTTTGAATTTATCTGTTGTCATTACCAAGGGAAATGCTTGGTCCCTTTAGTTTTTCTGTGATAGTGACTAAACTTATTTATATCTTTCAGACATTTATTCTTTTTCAGGATGTTCATTTCAGTCAGCACATTTATGAAGTCTAGTCTTTATTGTTGATATCTCATATAATATTTTGTTATACTTTCATGTTAAATAGTCAAATTTGATTGATTTAAAAAAAAAATGACATTAAAAAGAACTATTACCCTACCAGGTGCGTAAACCATGCCCTCCGGGTAACATTATATAATATAGCAGCGTATGACAATGCATGAACGGGTAACAGTATAAAAATTGTTAACTGCGCATAATGTCTGTGAGTATGGTTCACTGTGGCTTTTTCTTTTAAATGCATTCTATATAAATTCAGTATAACAAAAAAAAATTACATGTTTATTTAGAACATGTGAATTGTTATCCCTTGAAAAAAATAGTAAAGAAATGCTAGTTTACATTTTGTTCATTGAATAAGATCTTGAGAAACATGCCCCCAGCTTTTTGAGCAGTCATGCAGTGCCAATGATTTTCTCCTACCTGCACTTTTGATAAATACACATAAATAGGGATATGATAAGTTGTTCATGGATGGTTGATTCCACCCCTCCCCCTTCCTCAGCTCTGAATGTTTAGAGCTATCTGCTTTAGCATGTTTAGGTTTATTCCCACCTATCCAGATCCAGTCACCTGTAAAATTTTTCTGTATTTTGGCTGAGGGGAGACACCATATAGCCACCCTGCTTTAGATATTCACTGTACAAGTAATATATTTTCTAGATAGGTAAATAGCTTTTAAAGTAAAATTCAAAATGCTCAGAGAGATACAAATGTCTTTTGTTCTATATACAAGTTTCATGATATTATTGGTAGAAACTTTTATTTACATGTCTTGTGTCTTAATTTTTAGTGGAGCTTACATAAGATGTATGGTGAATTATTTTGATGTTGATGTTCAGTTTTTAAAGACATTATCATACAATCACATGAAACATTTCATAACTTGTCATTTGATCGGGGTTTTTGTGAAGGTCTACTTTACACAATTAATGTTTTAATCAATTTGAGCTCAGCAATATGTGACATATTTGTTGTGTATGTGATTATCTTATCAGTACATTTTATTTTTACTCTGATACGTGAAGTTATAAATATGTACAATGACATCGTGAAGTTATAAATATGTACAATGACATCGTGAAGTTATAAATGTGTACAATGACATCGTGAAGTTATAAATATGTACAATGACATCGTGAAGTTATAAATATGTACAATGACATCGTGAAGTTATAAATATGTACAATGACATCGTGAAGTTATAAATATGTACAATGACATCGTGAAGTTATAAATATGTACAATGACATCCTACATATTATAATTTCATGAATCAGCTACGGTAAAAATAAAATGTGAAATTGTAAATATGTAAGATGTCATCATACATATTTATAATTTTACGAATGCTACAAGCAATTTGTTCCTCTAGAGGCTACATTCATCTAAGAAATAAGATTTTAAAAAATTCTTTGTTATATTTAAAGAATAGTCTCTTTTTCGAGTAACAGTCAACATAATTGATATTCATGATATTAGCTCTGAAGAAAAATATTGATGGTCATTTACTTTTACTATTGACTGGCAAATAGAGTTTTCTTTAATTTTTATTGATGTTGATTCTTATTAGTAGATTGATTTATCGTGATGTAATGATACTGTTGCGACTTGCAGAAAACATGATGTCACAAAAAAAAAAACTAGGGTACACAATCATGGCTAGATTTGCTAGCACCTCTGAATCAATCAAACTGCAGATGATGCATGGGTGAGAAAAACCCGGATCCAGCTTTATTCATCATTGATTACTAACATTTATCAATATAAATATATATATACAGGTATCAAGAAGATGTTATGCTTGAAATGCTTAATAAACAGGTACACACAATGTTGTTATACCAGGAGGGGGATATTTATATGTTGCTGGTTAAATGATCTTTCAATTTGAACAGAGCCATCAAAGATATATTGACTTGTTCAAGTTCACAACTGGACAGCTTCAGTAACTAGAAATACACTGAACAAGTAGTCACTTAGTCATTTCATCTGCAAAACAAAAATATGTGTTGAATTTGAATTTTTGATGTTTAACTAAAACAACAATTCAATGACTAAACAGATTCAAAAGAAGTTTTTGGGTATTATGTCGAAATATTAAAGTCACATGATTTTTCTCCAAGAAACTTTGAAATTGAAATATAACAACGGTGACAACGGGAATCATTCTTAAAAACTAAAATCTTTGGCTGTTTGTTTGTTTGTTTTTTTTTGTAAGTAGGAGGGCTAGACATGATGAAATTCAACTCAATTTTTTTATCAGGCTAAATTTGTAAAAATTCTGAGTTTTATGCAAAATTCTTTCAAATTTTAAGACAAATTATTAGATATCCTAACAAATAGAATGTCCATAAAACCATCATAACTCTTTCTTATGCATGTCTTCAACATGGTGGAAATTTAATTGATTAATTATTCATGTGATTGTCAAATCTGTATGAACTGTCAAAAAATGATTACATGAAATAATTTGTGTTTAAAATTCAAAAATTGTATAAAAAAAAAAACAAAAAAAAAAAAAACAAAAAAAACAAAAAAACAAAAAAAAAAAAATCCATTGCTCAAAAGATCTGCACATGTAAAAATGTGTTTTTAGGCAAAGTCACGTTTGATTGAATTCTTTGCTTTTGTTTAATTATTTTTTAAAGGAATATTCTAGTACACCTTGGCAGAAATAACCTATGAAAATTCAATCATTTTCTTCAACTATTATAGAAATTGTATAGAAGTTTTGATGATTGTATATGGCATTTGCATTGAATCTTCATAGAGTCAGTGTCCTCAAGTTATAGAATCTGGTAGATTCATTGAGCTGCATGTGTCCGCTTGTTGATAAACATATAGCACATTTTATGATGCAATAAGATTTACTGTGTGGATCATAAAGTCCATGGTATATTTTATGATAATTGCAGATCAGAACATTTTTTAAAGCTTTAATGCATATTACTGAATTTTATGCTGGATTAAAAATTGATAAACATGAAATGTTAGAAGAGTATGTAAATCACATGTTTAAATATCCACTTACTGTTTAGAGAATAGAAATTTTATATTACCTTATCTCGATAAAGTGGAGATGAGCTAATACATTATCAAGATACGAGCATTACAAAATAAAAGCTTTGGTACTCAGAGTACTGCATCTATAAATACAATGACTTTGTATCTGGAGTTGTGTCACACCAGCAATTTTTGGCTCTGTAGGCTACAAGTCCTCTACAGTAATTGATATATTAATTTTTATATTGAGTACATGTATTATGAATGCTTTAAACTAGTTTTAAATCATCTGTAAATATGTACCGGGCATCTATTATTCTTTGAAATAGTAATTATATTCATAAAAATTACCCTGCTCAAAAACCTGTTTTGTCTCCCTGTGGTGTGATGGGGACAACATTTCATCCTGGGTAACCTATGTTAAATTTTGGGAAATGCTTTACATTGTTTTGGAAATTAACTAATAAAGTTTTTGGTACTGAAAAGAAAAATTTTCGTTAATGCAATATCATATTTTGGTAAAGCAAAACAGCAATAATGCTACCCAGAACATATGTATTTGTAAATTTTCAAATGATTACCCTGTTCATGTTGAATCTTGGTATCCCTTGTGATAGTGTGTTTGAGGTCCCTGTAAATGTGGATGCATTAATACTAATATTAATAACCTATTTTAAAAAGTCACTGTATTTTTTTTTAATACTTTGAAGTACATGGGTTAAATTGGGATTATATGTTCTATTTTTTTGGTATCACTAATTATTTACTGAGTAAACAAAGCAGTTATTTTATAGTAAAATCAGAGGACACAAGAAAGCACAGTTCATTTGAATTCACTATAAAAATTCACAACTTTTATTGCATGTTGTAAAATGGTTATGACTGTGTAGTGATGTGTCGAATGATTCTTTGAGTTTATAGACCCAATTATTCATAGGTTTGAGTTCCAGTTAATAGGCATGTCTTGAATAAGTATAAAGCTATATTTTGTCACTATGATCAGCCAGCACATGATTAAAACAATTAAGGTCTTTATATGTGTGATGTATATTGATAAAGTATTTTTGAAGTAAAAATTAAAATGGTTAATGGTAAGTATAAAAACTAATTTTTTATGATTAATGAGCATCTAACTTTATCTCTGGAAAAGAGACTGTGTACAATATACGAGCTTATATATAGTTAATTATTCATGCCATACTTTTTATTTTCCAATGTTTACAAAGTAGTAGTTAATCGAGCAAGTTCTGTGTCCATGATTAAAATAAATTTATAGTTTAGATAATATATTTTGTTTTGCTGCAGATTCTACTTTGATAAAGGGAGACAAATCAGGAGGGAAACATGGAGATGGGAAGATAAGTGGAAAAGCATGGGGGCATGTCAAGGTCAGACTTAATAACAATGAATGGAGAATCTTTAAAGAGTTTTAAATATACAGTACAGAAAAAATTAAATGTAATTACACATATTTTATCAATATTTTTCTGAAATTTTGATTGCCAAGCAAGCATGTTTTGTAATTATTTAGTCATTCTTAGAAACGATAAACTTTGTATGCAGTGGAGTCTAGCAGTTTTTTTTAAAATGTAGAACATAATGACCCGCTCCCAGAAATACCCCAACAGTGTGTTCTTCATCTTGGGAAATGAATTTTGTGAGAGGTTTTCTTACTATGGCATGAGAGGTAAGCTAAACACAATACAAGTATTAGTTTTCCTAAAAAGCTTGTCTGACTTGAGCAAATTTATTTTTACCCGAAGAATCAAGAAAAGTTAAATCCAATGTAATCAACATGACTCTGAGTCATGAAATGAATTCTTCTGAGCACTAAGAAACAAGAAAAGTTCAATTCAGAAACGTGGACATGAGTTTATTGTATCAGAGACGTGATTCTATATACATTATATTATTTTTAAATTCTTTTTTTTTCATGGACGTAGGAACCGGGGGGGGGGGGGGGGGGGGGTTTCGGGGACCGTGAGCTCAATAATTTCGAGGATTTATACATAGCTACTTTATGCTTGTGTCCCCTGAATTATGTAGATATTAACTTTGGATAATTTTTTTTATGCCCGATAAGGAATTTTTCCTTTATTGTGTCCACCCGAAACTGAAATTTTCTGAAATTTATTCCAACGGGCTTGTTAATGAATAGAAAGATATAACCAGTGCTTTTGAAAGAAAAAGTTACAACACATAAAAATCTAAACATCAATTGGTGAACAATTTTGATAATTAAGAAATGTCTTATTAAAAATAATAAACGTGTTTCAAATGAGCTAATATCTTTGCAATTAATTTAAAGCAAAAGAATATTCAACATCTATCCTTCACTTTGATATTTTTTTAAACTATGAAAAAATGAAACGTCTGCTAATTATGAATATGTGTAGATTTATAAAAATTCTAAAGGTAGAGGGACATAGTGCATGCATTGAAAATAAACATCCAATCAGTAGTTTATCTGATAGTGTTGACCTGACCAGCTTCATTCCTTCTGTTTTTGCTGGACATGAATGATGCAATTTTCGAGAATGGCCAAATGTTATGTAACCTGTAATGTATAATGTGATAATAATGATATCAGCTCCAATACTCTGGCTTGTTTGGGTGTTTAGCATGTTTCCTTTACTCCACATGCTCGCCAATTAATAGTTTAGATAGTATGAAGTTTCCAAGATCAAGTTATCACAAGAATTCTATTGAACGACTTGACCAACAAGCCTTGGCTAAATCTAATACTGTCTGACGCCATGACGTCAGACAATTAAGGTCCATGTAAACAGGCAATGAAATGCATAATGAACTAATTGTGTACTGACATCTCTTCTCAAATCATCCTTGTTACAGAAAACATCAGATAGACAATATGACAGTGTATAAGAAAAAATGAGTTCTTCAACAAGACTTCACTAATCTGACAATATAAAATGGTCTGTAAAGAAATAGATAAGTTCTGTTGCAAGACTTCAATCATGAGCATATTTCAGAATCCATATTCATCAGCTTCTGACTGCTGTCTCCATTCAGTTAATGATTTTCAAGAACAAAATTTCATTTTGAAAGGGATTTTCATTATAAAATCTCTTTAGTTCACTCCTTTTAATCCCTGAGATTTGTATGATTTCTGTCTGTTTATGTAGCTGTCCTGATCCTGTACCTGACTAAATGGCTGGGATTCAGTGAAGATGTGGGGACCTCCATATTTCACTCCTTTGTCATGCTGTGTTACTTCAGTCCACTTTTTGGTGCCATATTGGCTGACGGATACATTGGAAGATACAAGTAATCATATATATACACAGACATGTTGGAACTTAATAATTCACACTTTATTTACTATGCTTAAACATTATCCATAAATCCATAAGGGTACATGTACACAGTGTTTTTATTACATATTTGTATACTTATAAAGCTGTTGTGAATGATGTGTGCTGGATAATACAAGTAGCTTACATGTATAACTTATTTGATGATGGTGATATTATGTAGTTGATATGATTTCAGAACTATACTGATTGTGTCTCTGGTTTATGCCACTGGTAACTTAGTCATGGCCTTCACTGCTCTACCTCCCCCGGAATGGTATGTGGTTTACTATATTGTAATATACATCTCTAATTATAACAGAATACCTGTAATATCACACCTGTCTTTACTAGGTATGGTCCAGCCATTGGCTTGATTCTCATTGGTCTTGGTACTGGTGGAATTAAACCAAATGTGTCATCATTTGGTGCTGATCAGTTCAGGGCAGACCAGGTAACTGTGTTCTTAGAGGCATGTAGTGAGGGGTTTTAAAGTTCTGATAACCCAAGATGATTAAAATATTATGTGAAGTTGTTTGGAAATATTTCTTACTTTCTGAAAATATAGCTAGATATTTTAAGCTCACCTCAATAAGTCGCGATGAACTTATGCTGTACTCCCAGTGTCAGTGTTAGCATTGGCTTCCTGGTTAAAAGTTTTAGGAGCAAGTCTATTCCTACATTACTATAAGTCTTATCTGGACCAAACTTGCGTGGATGATGCATCTTGCGATGTATACAACCAGACTTGCCTCAGATGCAGGATCTGACCTAGATTTTGTTGATGACCAGGTTAATGTTTTAGAACAAGTCCAGTAACTATAAGCCCTACCTGGACCAAACTTGCAAGGATGATGCTTCTAGGGATGCACACTACCAGACATGCTTTCAATGCTGGATCTGTCCTAGATTTTCTAGATGAGAGACCAAATTAATTTTTTTTATGAGCAAGTCCATTCCCAAGTAACTATGAGACATATGGTGATCAATGTTGCAAGGATGATGTATCTAGTGATGCACACTATCAGGCTTACTTTGGAAGCTGATCTTAAGCAGTTACATTTCAAAATAACTAATAAATCCTACCCCTACCAAACTTGCATGGATGATTCATCTACAGATGCACACATCAGTACATTCATTTGGTGTGAGGCTTTGCCTTACAGTGTACTTCTAAATAATATTTGTTGAGGTGAGCTTTCGAATCTTTGATTACTTATGTTTTTATCTATAATGTACTCAAATCTTACATAATTTGGGGAACATTTTTAAAATTTATTTCTAGGAAAAAGAGAGATACACATTTTTTTCTGCTTTCTACTTTTCAATAAACCTGGGAAGTATGCTGTCTATTGTTCTGACTCCAATATTGAGAGGTTTGTTGTTAACAGACGAGGATCAAAATTTATGATTAATATTAAATGTAAAATAAGTAATGGACATGTATGTTAACATGCCTTGTACCAGATTCCAGATTATACACTTATATTATTAATATTATTCACTTTAAGTTTTTTAGTAAGATTTTTACTTTCACTTGTATTTTGTAATTTATTTCTTTGTTACAGCTGATGTTAAGTGTTATGGCAATGAATGTTATCCTTTAGCCTTTGGAATTCCAGCAGCATTAATGATTTTAGCCACAAGTGAGTACTAAACAATCTATGCAAGGGAAATGAAACTAAAAACAACCTTAATTCATAGAACTTTCTTTATCAAAGAGTAATGGTTGAAAATCATTCATTGCATTCAAAAATCAAGTAATTCCATTATTCAAATTCTGTGAATTAATATTTCCCATCATAAATGGCAAAACATTAGTTTTTAAAGCACTGTATTATTTTCCTTAGTCATTTTTATTGCTGGAAGCAGCCTATACAAGAAAGTGCCGCCATCAGGAAATCTGATAGGACGAGTGTTTAAGTGTATATGGGTAAATTTGACTTTATTTTTTTGTAAGAGATTCTGTGAAATTTTGTAAGTCTCTTTTGCTTAAATTTCATTGTTTCATCATTTGCTTTAAAATTTTCGTAATTGCTAAAAAATTTATTTTAGTAAGTGGAGTCTATCAAGTTTAAATTAAATCAAAATATTTGCATTCTCTCTGTTTCCTCCCACAATGAACCTGCACTCAGCAATTGCATTTATAGGACTGTAGATGCAACATCTTCTGCTATGAGTGCATTATTCATTTCTCACACTCGCACAGTACAAGCAACTATACTAATATAACGTGTTCAGAAGTATATGTAGGAATGTTTTGCAAAAGGAATAAATCTTAGTTTTTAATAATATCCTCCGGAAGAAAAGAAATTCAAAATGATTAGAATTACTGATTTATATCTCTAAAAAATTAATTTTGGTCAATGTATTTAATTTAAAATAAAACTTTTTACAAATTGAAAGAACTGCTACATCTTTAATTTTTCTGTTCATATTTATGCGTACTTTTTGTAAAGAACTATAACTCTTCACGCTAGGGTGTTTTACTTTCAAAAGAAATGAAATGTCTGTAATAGTATAACTATTTAAAGAACAATATCAGCTCTTAAAATGAATTTTAAGAACTTAAAAAACATAGTAAAACATTCTTAAGTTAAAATCAATATAAAAGCATTCTCTTTTCTCATCATACTGTTAAAATGTTAATTTTTCTCAGAGGGTTTTAGTACTTTGAATGATGACGTCACAGCTGCCTCAAAACATTATGAGAATATTTGAAGATGACATGGTTTGTATCCAGATAACTGTGGTTGAGATACAAATACTAGTAACTACCATATTGTCCATACATATATATATTATTTGTGATTTATTGGTGAAAAGGTGGATTAATCAGGTCTACTGATTTTATTATGTTTTTTCCTTCACTGGAAACAAGCAGCTGTGTCCCTTTGTAAGCCAGGATTTCCTCTGATATTCTTGACAACATCACAGAATGCAAATAAAAGTAATAAACAACGATTATTCAGTGAACATGGCATTATGAATAGCAATAGCTCTGCTGGCATATTTTCCATGATGCGCGCTATTGGTGGGGTGGTCACACTATACGATTTTACATTCGATTTACAGACGATTTTGACAAGAAATGAACAGGTACTTGTTTTTTTTTTTTTTTTTTAGATTGAAGTAGTTCTGATTATTGTAATAAACCTAAAAAGCATCATTATGAAAATATTTTTTCCCTTCATTCAGTTTAACATTACGTCATTTGCCCCATTATGACGTTGATGTTGACGTAATCTAGAGGTTATGTCTGAAGAAAACATACCGCATGTAAAGAACTTGTCCGAAGTATCTGATGTTTTCCAGGGTTCTTAAACTGACTAATGAAGGAAAATACATCTTTGTTTGTTTTTTTCATCTTGGCATAAAAAGATTTTAAAAAAGAACCTGCACTAGACTTTCGCTTTCAAGAAAGGTAAAATAGCTAAGTCAGAAAAGTTAAACTTTTTCCATTGACCAGCAGTTGACAAAACAACATTATTTGAAAACATTTGAAATATCGCCTTTTTATATTCACAAATTATTGTAAGTGAAATATTTACAGCCCATTGATTAGTATGTGTATATTTAAAATGCGTGGCTGGGTACACTGTAAATCAAATTCACCAGATGCTCCAATAATTAAGTTAATCAAAATTTTAATAAAAGTAACTTTTGGTAGGTAAGTAAAGATTGTTAACTACCTTCCTAAAAATATAATAATAATAAAATGATAAAAATTAGACTCAAAAACTTCCCTGATGATATGTAAACTAATCATACTTTTTTTTTTGGGGGGGGGGGGGGGTTCCAACTTCCAAGTCCAAGTTCAATTTATTCACTCAAACCAAAGTATTGGTACATGAGTTACAAAATTAATAACATACAAACATATATAGAGTAGTTAGAGGTACATGAACAATGCTACATCACGTCGAGGTGAAAGGAAATAAGGAAGATAATTCAAGGTGAAAAGACAGCAATAGTGTTTTTCAGTCTTTTTTTTTTTCGTTAGTACATGTAGTTCCGTGTATAAGGAGAGTAGGGGCGTTTACAGAGGCTCTTACTTGTAAGAGTAAAAATTAAAAACCTAATCTAGTTAACCACTTCATTTAGTACTTTTATGTGAGTTCTAAAAAATTAAAATCTACAATTTTAAATTATTTTACACGTTTACATATATATACATGAAATAAGTTGAATCTCTTGATGAACGCTGATATAATTAGAATCCGTGCAAATACTTAAAAAAACTACTTGTTCATATTATTGATAGGATTGGGGTGTTTACGCGGTGTCAAGTCAGAAGTATCTCGCCGTGAACCCCTAGCATACTGAAGTACTGATATGGTGTGTATGTACCGCAGATCTTAATTTACAGCAACATAAGCACATGAAAGATCTAATGTTAATTAGATTTATAAACATCCGTGCTGGTTTTAAAAGTAATATCTAAAACTTCTTTTTTTAAGATAAATGTGATGATTTGAATCAAGCTAAATCTATGATATTAAAAAAAAGTTTTTAATCATAAATTGGCATTCTATAAACACATGAATCTCCGTCCTCGCAAATTATGGTAATAAAATAATAGTTTATGACTTGTATGCTTTATATAATAAGCCATTTATAGCCAATAATTGCCATTTACTGGGTATCCTTATATTTTGTCATTTAATAATTTATTCATTCATTAGAGATGACAAAAATAAAGACCATTCATTTTGCGTCGCGGGAAATGTCATTGTGACGTCACGATTCTCATTGGAAAGTCGATTGAAAATCGGACGCCATCCGATTTTCAATCGACTTTCAGATTTTGCTTTTGACTTTCGAATTGGGTGGTCACACGGTACGATTTTAGTCGAAAGCAAATCGAATGGAAAAATCGGATGAAAAATCAAATGAAAAATCGCATCGTGTGACCGCACCTTAAGTTGTGCAAGTTTATCAGCAGTATGTGATTTAGCGTGATGTTTACAAATGTACTTTAATTACAATAACACACTTCTCATTTTTAGTATGGATTGTGTGGGAAAATAAGAAATTGTGGTGGCCCTAATAAAAAGGAACACTGGCTGTACTATGCAGAAAGCAAGTTTGAGGTTTGTATCTTCATTTTTTAACTTAATTTCATTTTTTTGTTAGAAGTTTTTGTGAACCAGTTCTTGGATACTGGATACTCAATACAGGAATTTATGGTATTTGTAATTCAATTTTCTTGTTTTAGATAGTCACATTGTGAAAAAATACATTTAGTTTGTTATTCACACAAATCATTAATTAGTTCTTCATGGGATTTCCTGACTTGTCTTTTGGTTGGTTACCGAACCCATTCCCAATTAAAAAATCAGCTATATCAAACTTTGGCTTTTCCTCTGTTTTTTTCCCAGTCATGTTACATGTAAAAAATACATTAAAAAATCCAATCTTAAAATCTGATTTGTCCAAATTCACAGATCTTAGTACCCGGAGAAAAAAAGAAGATTCTTGCACTTGAATAAAAGTTGTATGCATTTTAATCATCTTTGGTAGTAAAGTATTTTATGTTTTACAGTAAAACTCAGTTATAATGAACTCACTTATAAGGAACTTTTTATGAGTCCTGTAGAGGACTTTCCACTATGTTCCTCATACCAATATAAAGAATCGTGTTCATAAGGAAGCAAAATTCAAATTCCTATTGATTTCACTATAATCGAGTTTTACTGTATTTACAGCAAAAAGTTTATCAGAGAGGTACACGTTTTACAGAATGTGCTATTATGTTTAGTATATATAAGCTCTGTGTTTTATTTACAGCCAGAGTTTATCAGAGAAGTACAGATTTTACTGAAGGTGCTTTTTATGTTCATTCCTGCTCCACTTTTCTGGGCACTCTCTGATCAACAGGGATCTCGCTGGACGCTTCAAGCTGAAAAACTCAATGGAGACCTGGTATGGAATATTTTACTTATGTTCAACTAACAAGCTCATTTTTTAAAATTTAAGAGCAGATAATGCTCAGAATGATTTTGGTCAAATTCAGAATTTCATTGTTTTGCATTAAAGGCCCAGTATAAGAGAGGTATTCTTTTTGTTTGTTTTAAACTATCCATATATTCTCTTTCAGGGCATTTTTGGGACGCTAAAGCCTGATCAGATGTCAGCGTTAAACCCATTCCTGATTTTAATCCTCATTCCAATATTTGAAAAATTAGTGTATCCATGTTGTGAAAAGTGTCACTTTCTTACAAGGTATGTGTATCTGTTTAAAACATTGTCTCTTATTTATAACAGTTCTTTTGTAACAAAATTAAAAAAAATGTTTTTGAGAAGTGCAATAAATACCGGTACCTAATGTGTGGCACTGTCAATCTGACATCAGTTAAATGTTTATTTCCAGACCACTGCAAAGAATGTCGGCAGGTATGGTGCTAACTGTGATATCCTTCATTATGGCAGGGCTTCTTCAAATCAAAATAGAGGTCAGTTGTGTATGTAGAGGTTGAAAAACTAGATCTATTGTTTTATAGAATTTTAAAAAAGAGTGCAAAATGTATTATAGTTTTTATTTGAAGCATATATTTTATTATAACCATCAGTCCTGGTATAGTGTATAAGATGTAATACTGTGTTTTTAATTGATTGATTGATTGTGTGATGTTTTATACCCCATTTTAGTCACCATTGAAGCAGGCCTCTAAGTGGCCTCTAAAATATAGGCGCAAGCTGGCGCCTTATCAAAAAAATTTAGTAGCCAATGCAAATTTTTAGTCGCCAGGCAATTTTTCTAAGGCGCCAACTTTAAAAGTTAATAGAAGATAGGGACCCATGACGTGTCTAAGAAAACAAGACATTTCCACGGCTAAAAATAATTTCCCTTCTTTTAAATTTCCTTTTGCTTTTTCAGAAAAATTGTTATAAATGTGAAAATTTTAGGAAGTCGATGGTCGCCAAGTCAATTTAAACTGGTTGCCAAATTGGCAACTTATGAAAAAATTTTAGGCCCCAATCAAAAATTTTAGGCACCATGGCGACTAAATTAGTCGCCAATTAGAGCCCTGTGAAGGGCTTCAAATTTAGACCTTTACTTTGTACTCAGGGCCCTTGAGCAACAAGGGCTCTTTATCATGCCAATGCCTACTGTGACACAAGACCTCAGTTTTTAAGGTCTCATCCAAAAGACCCATGACTTTCACTTCAAAGTGCCAAGCACTTGGCGAAGGAACAGGTGCTATCTATTTTCTTATTGATTTAGGTTTGTCACGACCAATGCTTGAACCCACGACCTTCTGATCACATTGAGTTAATATGTATTTTCATTTATGAGAAACTAGAGGCTTAACCTTGTTCAAGGACACTGGCAGTTGCCAGATACATATTTTACCTCTTACCCAGATACATGTGTGTACCTCTTATCAAATTTTAGGCAAGTTTAGAATCTCCATTAAAAGGTGCAGAGTCGGGGGTAACCTTCTACAATGCTTTACACTGTGATATTAATGTAAAAATGGGAGGGGCACTTAGCTATGGAATAGCTCCCTACCAGGTGAGAATTTACTGTTATCCAGTGGCAAAGAAATATGCTTTATAAAATAAAATTTTACAAATATGTTTAATAATCTGTAGCATTTAAAAAAGATCATATACTGCATGTATTTGAAAACTATTAAACAATTTTAAAAATGACATACATGTACTTGTATGAATTTTTAATACAAAAAAAAAATTCCAGAAGAGTGAATACAAGGTGATAACTGCTGGTAAATATAAAGTTGATGTGAAATCGTGTCTTCCTTCTGTTTCTCGTGAAATGTCATTGGTACCTCTAAATGCCACCAGGATATTTGTTTGGTCTAAAGACAGCAATACAACTGATCTCAAGATAGTGAGTTTGAATCTTAAATATACCATAAAATGATGTTTTTTTTTGTGATTGTCCAATTTCTGCAGGAGTTGCTAATACATGTATTTCAATACATTTTCTTTGATTTTTTTTATGTTTGTCAGAAGCATTCTTGGAAACCTACATATGTGAATTACATTCCTATTCATGCAAACTCTTTCTTTTTTTTTCAGGTGGAAGACTTACATTCGCATCCATCAGAAGGGAATTCAAGGCTAAGGTAAACTGTTTGTTTGGGGGGTTTTGTTGTGCATTCTTATGATAATATTTCAGTCATATTGGGATACCACCAGTTGCTGGTGAGGGATCTTTTTCATGCCAGCCTTTACTGCGATAGTCCTATCTGAAGGAGTGGTCTCCACCTCCAGTAGTGGGATTTGAACCTGAGACATAAGGATCAGTTCTTTACTCCATGTATCTAGAGTGAATTGAATCCTTCATTATAACAAAAGTACCACTGTACATCATGTATTTATGATTGTAGTGAAAGAAAATATGTTCAGTGTTCTCATGATTGTACTGTCAGTTACCTTTAATACACTGTATGTCGATTGTGTTCTTCCCAAGATTTATCTTTTATTGTTATTTCTTATCATCGTGAAATGTTAAAAAAAAAAAACCCTCAATACAGAGCAAATATTTGGGGGACTGTATGCACTCCCGTTTTAGTAGAACACACACTAAGAGAAGCAGGTTCTTTAAGGAGTAATATTCTTTTTATGTAGTGTATTCAGTGATGCTTTGCCTGGTGCTCAGATAGTTGTTGTCCACTCCAGCCATCAAGGAAATATTTCCAATCAGTCGGGGGTTTTCTATCCTTCCTCGGAGCGGGAGAGACTCCCATTCCATACAATTGCACCTGGAAAGTAAGTTCTCCAAAATTAAAATTCTTAACGTATACATCACCCTTCTGACATGAAAGATAACTCTAGCACATTTAAAACAATTACAATCAAATCTTGATGGAGGCAAGGAAAAACTTTTAGATAACCGAGGATTTAGGATATTGAGGTTAAAATACATAGTGAGAAATTGATGGGGGAATTCCAACTCACTTTGACATATCTTTGATGTTCTAGATATTGATGTTTAAGATACTGAAGTTCAAATGTACATACATTTATGAAGTATATCCTGGTTAGAAGTTATTTTTGATGAAATTTTTACAAGACTGGCATGTGTTGCTATAAAACTATAACTACACGATTACAGTGTTAAAAAAAGGTGCAATAATTTAAAATTTATGTTTGATCATCATCTAAAATCATTTGAAATGTAAGTATTCAAGATGAAAAACAATTGGACATGTACACATTGAATTACAAAGTACATTTGTGGGTTCCAGACAAAGTTTACTCTGTTTTGTTGTTGTCAAGGTTTAACTCTGATATTCTGATATTTTCTTAGGTACAATATATACTGGCAGGACTCAGACAAAGGGAATTGGACCAAGCTTAACACTTCCATCACCATAGGACAAGGGGCTGTGTATAATTTATTAATAGCCAGAAATGGAACAAAGGTACACTGTAGAAAGCAATTTTTATTCTAATGAATTTCAAGATACATTATATACTATGCTTTTAAAAAGTGATGAAATATTTATACATGTATTTCTATTGAACTGATTTAAATTTCTTTTTTAAATATTATTGAGCATACTTCACACAAAGCCTCACTTATATTTATCACTTAAAATAGTAACCCTTCACTTTATCTGTGATTTTAAGACATGTAGTGTCTCTGTATCATGGAGATACTTCTAAAAATTAGTTTGATATTCTTATTTTAGAGTTGTAGCAAGTCATTTGATATGTGTAGTGTATCTATAATGTCAATAATGAACAGTGATTCTATCCTGTCATTAGAACCTTAGTTTTTCACTAGTTTGATTTTTTTTATTCCTGTATGTTTTGGAAGGTTGTGACCCATGTCTTGACCAGTGTAGAAGTAAACAATGTCTATTCTGTGGATGGTTCCTCAGTATTCTTTAGTTTATTCTTTTTATGCCGATTTTAGGTTGTGACCTGTGTCTTGACCAGTATAGAGGTTAACAGTGTCTCTATTCTGTGGATGGTTGTTTCAGTATTCTTTAGTTTGATCTTTTTATGCCAATTTTAGGTTGTGACCCATCTCTTGACCAGTATAGAGGTTAATGGTGTCTCTATTCTGTGGATGGTTCCTCAGCATTTCTTTAGTTAGATCTTTTTATGCCTATTTTAGGTTGTGACCCGTGTCTTGACCAGTATAGAGGTTAACAGTGTCTCTATTCTGTGGATGGTTCCTCACTATTCTTTACTTTGATCTTTTTATGCCTATTTTAGGTTGTGACCCTTGTCTTGACCAGTATAGAGGTTAACAGTGTCTCTATTCTGTGGATGGTTCCTCACTATTCTTTAGTTAGATCTTTTTATGCCTATTTTAGGTTGTGACCCATGTCTTGACCAGTATAGAGGTTAACAGAGTCTCTATTCTGTTGATGGTTCATCAGTATTCTTTACTTTGATCTTTTTATGCCGATTTTAGGTTGTGATCTGTGTCTTGACCAGTATAGAGGTTAACAGTGTCTCTATTCTATGGATGGTTCCTCAGTATTCTATAGTTTATTCTTTTTATGCCTATTTTAGGTTTTGACCCATATCTTGACCAGTATAGAGATTCTCTATTCTTTGGATGGTTCCTCAGTATTCTTTAGTTTGATCTTTTTATGCCTATTTTAGGTTGTGACCCGTGTCTTGACCAGTATAGAGGTTAACAGTGTCTTTATTCTATGGATGGTTCCTCAGTATTCTTTAGTTTGATCTTTTTATGCCTACTTTAGGTTGTGACCCATCTCTTGACCAGTATAGAGGTTAACAGTGTCTCTATTCTGTGGATGGTTTCTCAGTATTCTTTAGTTTGATCTTTTTATGCCAATTTTAGGTTGTGACCTGTGTCTTGACCAGTATAGAGGTTAACAGTGTCTCTATTCTGTGGATGGTTGTTTCAGTATTCTTAAGTTTGATCTTTTTATGCCGATTTTAGGTTGTGACCCATCTCTTGACCAGTATAGAGGTTAACAGTGTCTCTATCCTGTGGATGGTTCCTCAGTTTTCTTTAGTTTAATCTTTTTATGCTTATTTTAGGTTGTGACCCGTCTCTTGACCAGTGTAGAGGTTAACAGTGTCTCTATCTTGTGGATGGTACCTCAGTATTCTTTAGTTTGATCTTTTTATGCTTATTTTAGGTCGTGACCCGTCTCTTGACCAGTGTAGAGGTTAACAGCGTCTCTATCTTGTGGATGGTTCCTCAGTATTTCTTTAGTTAGATCTTTTTATGTCTATTTTAGGTTGTGACCCGTCTCTTGACCAGTGTAGAGGTTAACAGTGTCTCTATCTTGTGGATGGTACCTCAGTATTTCTTTAGTTTGATCTTTTTATGTCTATTTTAGGTTGTGACCCGTCTCTTGACCAGTGTAGAGGTTAACAGTGTCTCTATTCTGTGGATGGTTCCTCAGTATTTCTTTAGTTTGATCTTTTTATGTCTATTTTAGGTTGTGACCCGTCTCTTGACCAGTGTAGAGGTTAACAGTGTCTCTATCTTGTGGATGGTACCTCAGTATTTCTTTAGTTTAATCTTTTTATGCCTATTTTAGGTTGTGACCCGTCTCTTGACCAGTGTAGAGGTTAACAGTGTCTCTATCCTGTGGATGGTACCTCAGTATTTTGTGGTGACTGTTGGAGAGGTCCTCTTTTCCATCACAGGCCTCGCTTTTGCATACTCTCAGGCTAGTATTCCACTGCAATCTGGAAACATTTAAGAATCTTTTTTGAGAATGAATTATTTTTCTGATAATTTAAAAACAAAGCAGTGTTATGCATGCATGTCCTTAAACATAGTTAATATCTGAGAAGCAGAAAAAAATGTATATTTTTAGGTCACCTGAGTCACTCAGGTGACCTATTGCTATCTGTTTTCGTCCGTCGTCGTGCGACGTGCGTCGTGCGTCGTCCGTCGTGCGTTAACTTTTGAACATTTTTAACTTCTTCTCTAGAACCGCTCAACCAATTTCAATCAAATTTGGTATATAGCATCTATGGGTGAAGGGGAACAAAAATTGTGAATTTCATGGTCCCTGCCCCCCTGGGGCCTGAGGGGTGGGGCTAAAACCACCAAAAATAATGCAATCTTTAAAAATCTTCTTCTTTACTCCTGGACATCAAGCAGTCAAACTGTTGGCATCATTGTAATAAGCATTGAGCCCTCTACCAAAATTGTGAAATTCATGGCCCCAGGGTCAGGGGTTCTGGCCCCAGGGTGGGGCTATATAGATCATATAGTGAAAGTGCATTATTTCTTTGAAAATCTTCTTCTCTGCTCCTGGGTATTAAATAAAGTTACTAAGTACATAGTTATGATGAGTAAGAGTGCCTCTTCCAAAATTGTGAAATTCATGGCCCCAGGGTCAGGGGTTCTGGTGTTAGGGCGGGGCTCTATAAATTATATAGTGAAAAAGCATTAATTCTTTGAAAATCTTCTTCTTTGCTCCTGGGTATTAAATAAAGTAACTAAGTACATAGTTATGATGAGCAATAGTGCCTTTTCAAAAATTGTGAATTTCATGGCCCCTGGGTCAGGGGTTCTGGTGTTAGGGCGGGGCTCTATTGATTATATAGTGAAAATCCATTAATTCTTTGAAAATCTTCTTCTCTGCTTCTGGATATTTAATAAAGTAACTAAGTACATTGTTATAATGAGCAAGAGTACTTCTTCCAAAATTGTGAATTTCATGGCCCCAGGGTCAGGGGTTCTGGTGTTAGGGCGGGGCTCTATCAACTATATAGTGAAAATGCATTAATTCTTTGAAAATCTTCTCCTCTGCTCCTGGGCATTAAGATGATAAACTAAGTACATAGTTATGATGAGGAGGTGGGCCTCTTCCAGAATTATGAAAGCCATGGCCCCTGGGTCAGGGGTTCTGGTGTTAGGGCGGGGCTCTATTGATTATATAGTGAAAATGCTTTAATTCTTCGAAAATCTTCTTCTCTGCTCCTGGGTATTATTTAAACAAACTAAGTGCATGGTTATGATGCATAAGGATGCCTTTTCAAAAATTGTGAATTTCATGGCCCCAGGGTCAGGGGTTCTGGTGTTAGGGCGGGGCTCTATTGATTATATAGTGAAATTGCATTGATTCTTTGAAAATCTTCTTCTCTGCTACTGGAGATTATTTAAACAAACTAAGTGCATGATTATGATAGACAAGGATGCCTCTTCCAAAATTTTTAAATATATGGCCTCAGTTTTTGGGGTTCTTGAGGAGGGGGGGGGGTCTATTGATTATATAGTGAAAAAGCATTAATTCTATTAATTAATCCTGTCTGCTCCTTAGTGTTGAGCTGATAAATAAATTGCTTAACTATGATGAAAATGGGAGCTTCGTACAGAATTTTTAAATCTTGTGGTCCTAAGGGTCAGGGGCTCTGGCATAATGGGGGGGGGGGGGGGGCTTTTGATAATATAGTGGAAAAGTGTTAATTCTTTGAAGTCCATAGTTATGATGATGAGGGTAACTCTTCCAAATTTGTAAATTTCTTGACCCTTGGTCTTGGGTTCTGGTGTTAGGGTAAGGCTTTGTTGAATCTGTAGTGAAAATGCATTGTACCTGTGAAATTCTTCTCTGCTTCTGGGCATATCGGAAGCAAACTGAGTAAAAGTTTAAATGATATGAGTAAGCGTATTTCTACCAGATTTTTAAACATCTGGACCATTCGTCTAAGCATTCTGGTCCTGGGCAGGGCTCTATTAATTTGTATTCTACTGAGAGAAGTTATTCCCCTTTTCCATTCACCTTTGATAATTAATCACTGTAAATAATGTATTTGAAAGGTTAATAGAGTAAGATAATTATGCAAGATTGTTTATCGTATAATTAAAAAAGTACTTTCTTAGTTTTAATAATCAGGTAGACCTGTAAGTAATAGATAAATAAAAATGAGACAAAAATAACTTATCTTATTAAAAGTTCTTCTAAGACCATAAGAGAGGTCAATGCTAGAGGTCTTAATATGGGTTTAAAAATAGTACAGAAGCACTAACAGTTTGTTAATAGTCTGCATGGTGATAGTGTTAAGTGGGGGACAGATTAGAACTTAATTTATGAGTTGATACTGAATACCAGACTAATTATTTTGTTGATCCTGATCTTCCTACTTCTCTTGCTTTAGGGCAACAATGCTTCATCTATCAGTGTATTTAATTTCTAAATTGTTGTATTATACTCAGGTGACCGTTAAGGCCCTTGGGCCTCTTGTTTGTTTATTAATTTGACTTTTTTTTTTCAGGCCCCTATCACGATGAAGTCAGTGGTTCAGGCAGCCTGGTTGATGACTACAGCTGTAGGAAGTTTGGTTGTTGTTATTGTAGCTCAAGTTCAATACTTTACATCACAGGTAAGATTAAGTATTGATACTGACTCTCAGAAGTATTGTATACAGGGTTATTTTAGCCCCGTGTTATTTTCATCCTTTCACACTTGCAAACAATTTTGACCCATTTCAGATTTGCTCAGATTCAGTTGCAATTAAAAAGATAATGCTGTCATCTTTGAATTCGCCCCTTTTAAATTCGCCCACTTGGGACGAGGGCAAAAGGGGCAAAAAAAAAAAAATGGGCGAAAATTTCCTTGTATACAGTAATTGTTATAAATATAAAATATGACAGTGTATTTTTTTTAACTTACTTTACTGAGAATGCTTTAACAGCAGCATTGATCCAAATGTCAAAGCTAAGTTTTTGGATCCATTGTAATCCAAAATACATGTAACTGAAACCCTTACCCATCCATAACTTGCATGGATGATGCATACCACCAGTCATGCATTAGATGATGTATCTTACATGTAATGTGTATTTTTTTTAATGATGAATATAAAAGGTCTTAGACAGGATCTAATTTTTCCTCACATGTGTTGCATTTAGAGTTGCAGCTATCAGACTTGTTTTAGATAGTGCATCTGACCTATATTTTCTAGATAATCTACCAGATTTACACTGGTGGATTTATAGGGGCAAGGGGGGCTTAAATGTCCAATGATGTGCTTACATATGTATGAATATAAGGGGGCCAGACCCCCTGGTTTTATAAGTTTTCACACACACATCTGTTACACAAGTTTCTGGTTCTGCTCTGATTGATGGAGAAAATACATTTCTTGAGTAATAAAAAACCCTGCTTAGGCCAGACTTGCATAAATTAGGCATCTGTAGATGTTTTGTATGCTGCATATTATGATAATTTTCTAGGTGAGTAAATAGATTAAAGCTTTTAGAGCAGGTCATATTGCCAAGTAAATGTTAACTCTACTAAGATCAGTTACATGTATGTGGATAATGCATTTAGAGATATGTACTGATGGCCTTCTCTTAGATGCTCAAGTGACCAAGATTTTTCAAGAGTTTATAATGAAGGACATAATGATCAATGAAGAACTGCTTCTTAATGATTATTTATTTTATATCAAAGTTTGCCTTACTTAGATAACATTTGTTAAGAAGATTTTTGTAAGGCCAAACAAAAAAATATGTGTGGTTCTGGTTACACTTCCAAAAAAATTAGGGTAGGTAGGTAGGGAATTTTTTTTTTTAACAAAATGATTTTCTTAAATTTTTCTTACCTATCACTGCTTGCAAATAGCATTTCGATGTGGTGTGATAATATACTAGTCAATATTGGTAGGGGACACCTACATGCTAGCTTGCTTTGGATTTAACACTATTAAACACTCGCACTATGTTTTGCAAGGAGGCCGTCATTGCTGAAACTAAAACTTAAACTGGAGCCATTGATGGAAATCAGGGAAAATTCCAGAGAAAATATGAAAATTGCCAAAAAAAAAAGTTTAGGGTCGGGGGTATAAAATAGGGAAGGTCGGGTAACCGGAACCACACATATTTTTTTATTTGGCCTAATGATTAATTATTTATATATTTTTTGTGTAAATGTCAGAAATATCAGTTTTGATTTTTTTACAGGTGGCTGAGTTTATGTTCTTTGCGGCTCTGATGGCATTGGCTACCATTATGTTTATGGTCATGTCCTGTTTTTATACTTACTATAATACAAGTGGTCAGGGGAATGGTCTGGAGGATAAAGAAGATTTAATCATCAAGGAAGATAATGAAGACATTCCACTGAAAGATTCTAATCATCCTAAAAATAAGTGAGCATTCAGATTCTACACAAGGAATTTTTGATCGACTCAATGGTTCTTTGATGATTATTACTAAACAGTAAAAACAACTGTGTTTGTGTATGTTAGTCCTCAATTTATCTTACTGGAATATATTTAATATATTTATTTGACATTGTTCCTACAAGTTCTCTTTTCTGGTTTATATTAATATACAAATATTTTTTTAAAATAGTATTTTTATTAGTGATTTACATTTCTATGTATCAGTAGATAAATCAAAATACCATTTTTATCTTTGCACATAGGAGTCTTTGCTGGTACATATGGTAGTTTCACAGTGGTGCAATAAACAATACACACATGCCAAAAAGACAAAATTTATATTCATTTTTTAAAAACTGTTTGTTTTAAGAGTTTATTTATGAAGGTTGGAATGAGTATGTTATTTTCTTCCTCACTATATAATCAAGTAGCTTGCCATTTCCAATAAACAGTTTGCAGATTTATTTATTTTTAATAATAGAATTTTTGTTTGTTTTGTTTTTGTTTTCTATGTTGACTGAATACTTGTTCAATATGCAGATATGAGTGTGTTTTCAGCAGTTTTCTTTAAACTTTTATCCTTGAAATAAGATAATCTTGTTATTGTTTAGTTCAATCTGGACTAGAAAAACCCTTGACAGTGCAGATGATTTTTTCACGATTTCCACATATCATGTAGATGTATTTTCTGCATCTGGAATGTTTTGCTATTTTAACCCCAGAAAGGTAGCAAATTAATATCTGTGTTGTTAATTTCTGTGGTTGCATCATACCACAAATATTTATTTATAGGCTATCAGTATGTTAACCAGATTCTAGGTATACAGCAGAATACTGCTATGTTGTACAAGATTCAATGACATGTTGACCTTATTCACTGTGAAAACTATAAGTAAGCTCCATTGTCTTTTAGTTACTGTTTTGAATTGTTTCAAATATATTTTATTTTATACCTCAGTACATGTAAGCGCATTTTTTCCTTCAGATATTCAGTAAGCAATTGTAAAATCATAATGTAATGTTAGATTAAAAGCTACCTTTGCTTGTGCAACACTTGCCATATTTGGTAATGAAAGATTAAGAATTTACAGACTGTCTGAATTCAAATTCTTGAAAAATATTTTTGAATTTCTTTTTCTAATTTTTGCAAATTTGTCTTATTCTCAAAAAATGGACAGCAGCAGAAAATAGCTGATATAGGGTAATTGCAATAGATGTATTTCTAATGCAAAATACAAACTTGCATTAAAATAGAGCATATTCCAACATCCCATTTTTTAGAACATTTTAAATATATAATAAAATTACTTCAAAATTTCCCAACCCAGCTAAAAAGTAACTTGCTTGGAGCTTGGGCTTACAAGACAAACAAACTGTAATTTCAATTTTTAACCCATTCTATATTTAAGAAACCATTTCACCTTATTTTGAGACATTGATTGCTCAATTAACAACCGAGAAAAATAAATTAGTATGGGCACCAAGTAAGATAGAATCTCAAATGTAGGTAAACTATATTTAGAAGTATGCAATACATTAAGTATGAGTACAGATGACGTCATTGTCTCAAATCATACATACAAGTATGTTTTTATTTGACTTTATACACATCCTCAATAGATCTGTTGGTATAATAGAATACTTATGTATCAATGTTAAATTTTTGAGCTAAATATCTTTTTCAAAATTGTCCTCAATATACTTGCAACATGGCTGAACTGTCAAAAAATTTTTAGTTGGAAAATTTCAATGTTGAAGCTAAATTTTGTCTTGAATTAAAGACAAATGCCTCAATTTGATGTATTCATGGGTTTGAAATAATGATAATCAAGATGCAAAAGTTCACCTATATTTATGCTTAATGTTAAAAGATTGTTTATCTTTTGAAATTTGTAACTTTTATTTTTGTTAAATTTATTTTTCTTCTTGTTTACAAGTGATTTATTAAATAAAAATCTATAGGATTATATTTGACTTTTTTTAAATTGATTTTGTTGAATCTGTATTAAAATGGACATGTTGGAGAGAAGAACAAAATGGAGATGAATTTAAAGACCCGTTTTAAGTCTTTCATTCACGATTGGCCACCTTATGTTTGCTATTGTGATTCCTTGTACAAAAATAATTACTAAGCAATCAGGTAGACAAATAATCCCTAGTCAAATTTAGTATTAAAACAATGACCTAATAATTGGTGTGAAAAAGGTCAGTCAAAATAAGACCCAATTATAGGATGTATTTGCTAACAAGGTCATTATAATGAATTTGCTCACTTTAAACGATGTTGTTGGAATCCCTGTAAGATCAACTTATTTGTCACTTGCCTGTCTCAGTTAAAAAAATTATCGTACTCAGAACATCCTCTTGAGAATCGAATAAATTGGGAGACATAAACACCATATGCAGGTGAAAATGTAATATATTAATTATTACATAAATAAGGAAAGTTGTCGATGAAAAGGAATAAATGAAATAACGAATACTGATCGATCTAAAAAAATAAAAATTGGTGAACGGGGCATAAAAAGCTGAAGTCATCTCATTTGTCAAACAGTTTAGTACCTAAGACGTAAATATAGGTAGTGACTGTTCCTTTGCCAAGCGCCCTGCACCAGAAGTGAAAGTCAGGGGTCTTTCGGATGAGACATTAAAAACCGAGGTCCCTTGTCACGGTAGGTGTTTACACGATAAAGATCCCTCACTGCTCAATGGCCCTGAGTGCCGAGTATAGGTCTAGATTTGAAGCCCTAAACCGCTATATGGTGACGTTTCTAAATGATTGAAAAATTCACGAATGAGACGTAAAACAACATACAATTAATCAATCTAGCCACAGCAAGTGTTTTATTCTCATTTAAAAGTTTTTTGAATAAATTCTCTTCATAGGAATATAAAAACAGGTCGGATAATTTAGTAGCACAATTAGTGCCTATCTGAAATTCCAGCAGATTGTTGTTGGAAGACCTGGTCTCTAAAGACTACATAGATGTTGTCTCCAAAGACTACACAGATGTTGTCTCCAAAGACTACACAGATGTTGTCTCCAAAGACTACATAGATGTTGTCTCCAAAGACTACATAGATATTGTCTCCAAAGACTACATAGATGTTGTCTCCAAAGACTACACAGATGTTGTCTCTAAAGACTACACAGATGTTGTCTCCAAAGACTACACAGATGTTGTCTCCAAAGACTACATAGATATTGTCTCCAAAGACTACATAGATGTTGTCTCCAAAGACTACACAGATGTTGTCTCCAAAGACTACATAGATGTTGTCTCCAAAGACTACACAGATATTGTCTCCAAAGACTACATAGATATTGTCTCCAAAGACTACATAGATGTTGTCTCCAAAGACTACATAGATATTGTCTCCAAAGACTACATAGATATTGTCTCCAAAGACTACATAGATATTGTCTCTAAAGACTACACAGATGTTGTCTCCAAAGACTACATAGATATTGTCTCTAAAGACTACACAGATGTTGTCTCTAAAGACTACACAGATGTTGTCTCCAAAGACTACACAGATGTTGTCTCTAAAGACTACACAGATGTTGTCTCCAAAGACTACACAGATGTTGTCTCCAAAGACTACATAGATGTTGTCTCTAAAGACTACACAGATGTTGTCTCCAAAGACTACACAGATGTTGTCTCCAAAGACTACATAGATGTTGTCTCCAAAGACTACACAGATGTTGTCTCCAAAGACTACATAGATATTGTCTCCAAAGACTACATAGATATTGTCTCCAAAGACTACATAGATATTGTCTCCAAAGACTACATAGATGTTGTCTCTAAAGACTACACAGATGTTGTCTCCAAAGACTACATAGATATTGTCTCCAAAGACTACATAGATGTTGTCTCCAAAGACTACACAGATGTTGTCTCCAAAGACTACACAGATGTTGTCTCCAAAGACTACATAGATGTTGTCTCCAAAGACTACATAGATGTTGTCTCCAAAGACTACATAGATGTTGTCTCTAAAGACTACATAGATGTTGTCTCCAAAGACTACATAGATGTTGTCTCTAAAGACTACACAGATGTTGTCTCCAAAGACTACATAGATGTTGTCTCTAAAGACTACATAGATGTTGTCTCCAAAGACTACATAGATGTTGTCTCTAAAGACTACACAGATATTGTCTCCAAAGACTACATAGATGTTGTCTCCAAAGACTACATAGATGTTGTCTCCAAAGACTACACAGATGTTGTCTCTAAAGACTACACAGATGTTGTCTCCAAAGACTACACAGATGTTGTCTCCAAAGACTACACAGATGTTGTCTCTAAAGACTACACAGATGTTGTCTCCAAAGACTACACAGATGTTGTCTCCAAAGACTACATAGATGTTGTCTCCAAAGACTACACAGATGTTGTCTCCAAAGACTACATAGATATTGTCTCCAAAGACTACACAGATGTTGTCTCCAAAGACTACACAGATGTTGTCTCCAAAGACTACATAGATGTTGTCTCCAAAGACTACACAGATATTGTCTCCAAAGACTACATAGATGTTGTCTCCAAAGACTACATAGATGTTGTCTCCAAAGACTACACAGATGTTGTCTCCAAAGACTACACAGATGTTGTCTCCAAAGACTACACAGATGTTGTCTCCAAAGACTACACAGATGTTGTCTCCAAAGACTACACAGATGTTGTCTCTAAAGACTACATAGATGTTGTCTCCAAAGACTACACAGATGTTGTCTCCAAAGACTACACAGATGTTGTCTCCAAAGACTACATAGATGTTGTCTCTAAAGACTACATAGATATTGTCTCCAAAGACTACATAGATATTGTCTCCAAAGACTACACAGATGTTGTCTCCAAAGACTACACAGATGTTGTCTCCAAAGACTACATAGATGTTGTCTCCAAAGACTACACAGATGTTGTCTCCAAAGACTACACAGATGTTGTCTCCAAAGACTACATAGATGTTGTCTCCAAAGACTACACAGATGTTGTCTCCAAAGACTACATAGATGTTGTCTCCAAAGACTACACAGATGTTGTCTCCAAAGACTACATAGATGTTGTCTCCAAAGACTACACAGATGTTGTCTCCAAAGACTAC